ATGTGGACCTTTAGCGATAAGGCCTCAGTGTAGTGACTTAGTTTTAGTGGGGGTTTTAGTGGTAGAATAGGTATTTTTTGCATGGGTGCAAGAGTAGCTGTTGGGGGGTGCAAGAATAGTCATTCTCTTAGCAAAGTGTCTCATGTTGAGAAGATGGCAAATCCACCTGTGTATGAAGTCAAGACTAGTCTACGGAAAGAGGTCACAGTAGCTATTTTATGTGCTCGCCTGTGGTGCTCGGATCCGGCGTGACAACAAGACTCTACATCATTGATGTTCTCCTACTCCTCACGACGTCATGCTGTCAGCACAGGATGGCCTATTAGGTACATAAGGTAGTACTGTGCGGTTGAGACTCCAAGTGTCACAAGCGGGGGTCAGAACAGTTGACGGAAGTCCACCAGGAGATATCTCGAGGTTAGTGATGAAAATCCTTGCTCTGAGACTCGGAAGGGCTATCTCACCATCTAGGACCGAATAGGTGTGATGGATAGGTACCTAGCTAGTCAAATACTTGTGTTAGCAGCTCGTCAATTAATCGATCTGACCATCAATGATCATTTGGGGCCGGCCCCGTTGTAAACCGGGCGAGGTTCGTAGGCCGCTGGGTGGGGGGTGGGGACCCTTGCGAAACCGAGTGGTCCGCGCCAAAAACTCCGGGGAACAGTGAGGGCTAACGCTTGGCGCCTCGAGTTGCTGGGCAACGCACCACCCCAAAGTCAACAACCTCACTTGAGGCGCTCTCCCGTCCCTCATCAATGCAGACACCCTGGTCATTCTCACATTCCAACCCAACATATTGCCTACTGCACACTATTACCTACTTCTCCTAATATCACCAGTCTTGCAACCTGCTCTGATAATACTTAGCAGGATTAGAAAGAGGCACGTGAAGGAGACGCCCTTCGCCTGCAACATCTACATCGAATCTATCGAGATATCGACGATCAACTAGACTTGTCAGCAACAGAAGGAACAAATCTACAGTCGCATCATACTGTTGGGCTGGGGCGAGATGCCAGCAGCTACGATGGATGGCCCCTCGGTCGCTCTATCGTGTATGTACTGTCCAGCGCAATACTGCTCACAATCTCCTGCTAACTTGGATGATCTAGTTGCGAACAACTTCTGGGGCAAGGAGGATGCCGGCGTAGGACCCCTTCTCGGCCGTATGGCCGCTGCCAAATCGACAAATGACGAGCTCAGATCATTCTATGCCGGTATGTCCTAGTGCGCCAAAGGCCATCAATGGCAAAACATTGTTACTGACTCGTTTATTCCAGCTCGAGCATCGATCGAAGACGAATATGCGAGGAAGCTCCTATCACTATGCCGGAAGTCCCTGGGCTCGCAAGAAATGGGCACTTTGAAGACTTCGCTTGATACTGTCAGGGGCGAGTTGGAGGGCATGGCCAAACAGCATCAGAGCATCGCTGCCCAGATGAAAACGGAGCTTGAGGAGCCCCTCGCCGCTTTCGCCGGCGGCATGAAGGAACGTCGCAAAATCATTCAGAACACGGTGGAGAAGCTGTTGAAAGTCAAGGTTCAGCAGACACAGATGGTGAACAAGGTAAATTTGGCCCGAACTCCGACAGTCAATGAACGTTGCAAACATTTACTGACATTTGGACAGACACGCGATCGCTATGAACAGGAGTGTCTGAAGATCAAAGGCTACTTGGCTCAGGGACACATGGTCATGGGACAGGAAGAACGCAAGAACAAGGCGAAGCTTGAAAAGACCCAGATCAGCCTTGCTACGACCAACACCGAGTACGAAAGCGCCGTCAAGGCTCTCGAGGACACGACTGCCAGGTGGAATAGAGAGTGGAAGGCAGCTGCCGACAAATTCCAAGACCTCGAGGAGGAGAGACTCGACTTCACAAAGAGCAGCCTGTGGACCTTTGCAAACATTGCGTCCACCGTCTGTGTCAGCGATGATGCAGCCTGCGAGAAGATCCGTCTCTCGCTCGAAAAGATGGAGGTTGAGAAAGACATTGCAACATTCATCAAGGAGAGAGGCACCGGACAGGAGATTCCCGATGCGCCCAAGTACATCAACTTCTGCCGGGGCGATATCGATTCCCAGTCTGAAGTCTCAGAGGACGAGAACTATTCAGTCGCTCAGTTCCCAAGAAGCATCAATCCAGCATTCCGATCCTCATCACCACAACCCTCAACCTTTGAGTCGCACCATGATCCAAACTCAAGTCTGGCTCGGGAGATGGGACATGCTATCACCGATACCCCGCCAAGTCGAGAGCAGACCTTGACGCCGGCCAAGATGGCACCTCCTCCCGTTATGCCAGCCCAGGACCGGCACCGGGGCGGACAGCCTGACGGATACCAGGTCCAGAGCCCGCAGTATGATGCTAATGACTTTGCTCCAGTTCCCCATGACCCCTACCCGATGGACGGGATGACAATGCTCTGTCGGACTCGACCAACTTCAGACCTTGGCTCTCAAGTTAGCTCGCATGTCAGCTCCGCTCACTCTGGGCGACCTTCGTCCCGAGACTCGCACAGTGACTATTCTAACCCGACATCATTCTCTAGTCAGGAACCGCCGAGTGGTAAGGTCTCACCTGTCAAGCAAGAGCCGGCCGTCGTCGAGCAGCCGGAGAAGAAGGTCCTCAAGAAGAAGAGCGGCTTCTTCCAGAACCACAGCCCGTTCCGTCGCAAGAGCACCAAGGAGGTGGCGGCGCCTGCGGCATCCAACAGGAACACCTGGCACCCATCTAACTCTCAAGGCAGCACTGGGTCTGGTAGGAGGGGACCCTTTTACGGGGGTGATTCATCATCGCAGAACCTGCTCCGTGACAACACTGCCAGCCCTGATCCCATTGATGCCAATGCTAGTCTGGCACTCAATGTTGGCAATAACGTCTTCCCCGTCTCGAACCCCGAGAGAGAGCGCAAAGCTGCGCCTGTGGAGAGCCAGGCGCCGCCCGATGACGACCCGATCGCTTTAGCCTTGGCTGAACTGAAGGGCGTTACCCTCGGCAAACAGTCATCTACGAGGCAGTCTGCCGACCACTACCACGGTATCGCCACACCAGCGCCTGGCACCCAGGCGTTCTCGCGGTCTGGGCCGGCTGCAGGCAACAGTGCAGTGGCAGCCGGGCTCAGGGGCACGCCACCCCCGTCGTACGACCAGCAGGTCCAGAGGCTTGGGGTTCCCCAGCCGGCAGTCACCTCACGGGCCATGAAGGAGACGTCGCAGAAGTTTGTCGAGCAGACTCGAAACATGTTCAGCCCGCCTGGTGGCCAGCAGGGCCGCCCGGGCTCCGGCTCGGGCGGATACGCCGCTTCCCCGAGCCGCTCCGGCACCAGAGGCCACGACATGCCGCGCACGGCATCCCCGGCCCCCCCGCGCAGCGCGTCTCCGCGCCCCGGCACCCGTGCCGCGGAGACCAGGCAGCACATGTCTGCGTCTCCGACAGCCTATTCCGGCAGCCAGTCTGCCTACTCTGGGAGCCAGCGCCAGTCGTCGCACATGTCTTCGAAGCGCGGGTCCGACCAGGGCTACTACCGCCACAACTCGCCCAACAACATGGCTCGCACGGCGTCCCCGGCGCCTTACGGAGCGGACTACGCCCGTCCCGCTAGCAGTCAGATGAACCATGACATGGCCGTCCAGCTGGCGCCCGTGGGAGACGACGGGTACGGATCCCAGCGAGGGCGAGGAAGCCGCCCTGGCACCAGCACCGGCTCTCGGGGAGCCATGGCCTTCTACGAAGGCGGCGGAGCGGTGCAGCCGGCGTCGCGGCAGCGCAGCAAGAGCGTGGCTGATCCCAGTCGTCAGTATACGCGAGACGGCCGTCCCATCATGCATTTTGGTAAGTCTTAACAACCACTCCTCCGCCTGCTGCAAGCTTGATATGACAGATGAAGACTAACACGCCACCTAGCCCGAGCATTGTACGTTTACCAAGCCGCCATCCCGGAGGAGCTCGGTTTCGCCAAGGGCGACGTCTTGGCCGTTCTCCGTCACCAGGATGACGGGTGGTGGGAGGCGACGGTGCATGGAGGCAGCGGTCAGGTCGGGCTGGTACCCAGCAACTACCTGCAGCCTTGTTAGACGTGTGTGCGCGAAAAGCAACGCATCAATTGGGAGTTTTGTCCTTTTCAACCCCCTCCCCCGGGAATCGGTCTGCACATAAATTGCCATGGGTGGCTTTTCCAGTTTCTCTATCCTAGGCTCATGGAATCCTGACTTGTTGGAGATCATGGCTGATGATTTTTTTTATGGGATCATGAACTGGATACAATGGTTTCTAGTGTGTCTGCAAATTCCATGTATGGCGCTTTTCCTGCCTGCGATGTTGTTTAGCGTTCAATGCATTCATCGTATTCAATCATTCTTGCTGCTGTCGGGGTGTAAGACTGTTTTGTAAGCTAGGAAAAGAAAACTTGACCATTTGATTCTATTGAAAAGAGGCATGATCTTTATAAAATCGTCCCGAAGCCTGAGATTCCTGTCCTTGTGCGAAGTGACCCAAGTATATTTAGATGTTGAAGCTGAGCTCATTCCGTGATTGGCAGGGCCCTGGTGGTTAGTTGTGTTGGGGAAATGCCTGCGGTACGTTACAAGTACTGAGGTGTCTCGAGAATTTAGTGAGCAAGCACATGCCAATCCAGCTGTCATCCCTGCAACCGACGTCAACGTCCACCCCATCTATTATCAGGCGTGTCCCGCCGCAATCAACATGCCGACGCGGTTTAGAAGCTTGATCATTCCACCATAAGCTCTCGGGCACTGCAACCGAAGTTCGAGCTCAAGCTCAAGCTCGACTCATGCCCGTACAGTGCTCGTTATCATAGGAAAGCCATGGTCAGTCCGCCCCAGCCTCTCCCTCACTCGCTGACGTGACGCCGTGCTAACCGGAGCTCCCGCGTCTCTCCCAGGCCGTCGCGAGCTCTTACATCGACAGCGCATACCGCGCCGCCTCGTCGCCAACCTCGAAGACGCTGGCCAAGACGGTCTTTGCGGCGGTGCTCCTGATCAGCGGCGCGGCGGTGCTCCTGGGCCTCGCGTTCGTGGCGTACATCTTTTTCTACAATGCTTACCTCCCGGACCAGATCACGACGGTGCCGGTACATCTACAATATGGGTAAGAGCAAGAAACTCTGGGATCATGGGATCCCCCCTGGGGTTGTTAGGGAGACATATTGGGAGACTGATGCGAGTACTGGCGTGGGTGCAGATACCAACTGAATCCCTACGGCATGGCCGACCTGCGCTCCCGAAACCTCAAGGAGCTGCAAAACTACGACATCACGGTGCATCTATCGCTGCCGCGGTCGCCCGTGAACATGGAGAGGGGCAACTTCATGGTGGAGCTGTACCTCATGGGCAGCGGCTACGTCGCCTTCCCCGCGCTCGTGCCCCCGACGACCGAGGAGTTCATGGAGACGCGGCCGGTCCTGTCGGCCTCGTTCCGCCCCGCCGTCCTGCCGTACACGGACCCGACCACGTTCAAGGCCTCGCGACTGCTGTTCATGGCTTACCACCTGCTGTACCCGGCCCGGTCGGAGACGCTCACGCTGAAGGTGCCGATGATGGAGCGCGTGGCGTTCGCGTCGGCGGCGGCGGTGCCGGCATCGCTCTACGTGGAGGTCAAGGCCGGGCAGACGCTGCAGACGTACGGCGCCGAGGTGACGTTTGTCGCCCGCCTGAGCGGGCTGCGGTGGTTCATGTACCACTACTGGGTGTCGTCGGCGGCGCTGTTCACGACCCTGTTCTGGCTGTTCGAGGTGCTGTTCATGGTGCTGGCGTATGCCGGGGCGACGGCGTTGATCGCCTACATCTCGGCCGAGGCCGGCGGGCCCGTCGTCAAGAGGGAGCCACGGCCGCAGCAGCCCGTTGGCGGCGGCGGCGGCTCGCAGAGGACGGCGCAGATCAAGCAGGAGACGGACGGCGGGAGCTCGTCGCGGACGCTGATGGGGTACCCCTCGTACTCCGGCAAGGAGCTGGAGTCGTCGCGGGAGGCCACGCAGCAGGAGGAGGAGACGGCCGGGGAGGAGGCCGGCGACGAGGCCAACGAGTTTGACGAGGAGGACGTGGCGAGCCCGGGCCGGTCTGGTCCCGGCTCGACGGGCTACAGCTCGGCGGGCGCCGAGGGGCTGGCGCGGCGGAGGATAGCAGAGCGGGACATGCCGGGGTCTTAGAAGGACTCGAGGAGGTTCACGAGGCGGCGGCCCGGGGGTTAGAGGTTGACGTGGGAGGGAGGGGAGTCACGAGGAGTTTTTGCCGGGTGCTAGGTGCTTGGCCGGTTGGCTTACTCGGTTTCCTGAGCCTACCTTACCTACCTAGGTACCTTTTCACTTACCTCTTTTTTCGTGTTACCTAGACGGGCTACCACCTTTCGATGATACCCGAGCGTAATGACAGGTTACGTTTACCAGGTTGTGGATTCTTCGCTCGGCATGGCTGAAGATGTCAAGCAAAGGTAGGCAACGCAGCATGGCTCTCACTGAGTGGCACGAGTGAAGACAAACACTGTTGATTGCTCGCCGAATAAGCAAATGCATGAAGGAGTGAAGAGGACTGACTACCTATTCATCGAGACATGAATCCCGGTGTCCATGACTTAGTACTATACTTGCTCACCGCTAATCTGCCAATCCCGAGCTTGCAAAAGAAGCGCTGGGTGCAAGGTTGCTAGAATTGGAGGATGTCCTGCTGACCAGTAGCGGTCGGTAGCGTGTTCGCAGTGGATGGTTTTAGCGTGTTCGCGCTAGGAAACCCACCCAAGAGCCCAACCACGGGGGGACCTCCAGCTCCCGCGAGTGACCGATTGGACCGTCCTCCGTCTCCAGGTCTGGCTGCCCGTCTCCCGTCTCCCGTCTGCTCGAGGCTTGAATGAGCGACTCCAACGTAATCAACCGCCCCCCCCTCTCCTCCTCAATTCCCATCCTCATCGATGCGCGTGTCTCTGCGTCAATCTTACCCCATCCGCCATCTCCACTACCTCGACCCGGTGGTTAGATTGCAGACGACCCGAGTGAAGCTAACCGGTTGTGCTCCAGCAACAACCTTGAAACAGGGCCAGCCTCCACCAAAAACCACTTTCTTTCTCACCACCCCTCCCCCCAAACTGTTCAGCCTCAGCACTTTCTTTTTGCATGTTCTTTCTTGGGCACGGCGACACTGCTTCGCAGCATACTCTAGAGTGCACACGAACCCCGGCGACACCAGGAACAGGCCGAGGCGGTTCCTCCTCTTTGACCAGCAAGCCTCTTGTGGGCGCCTGACCGAGCACCGGACAAAGACGTTGTCATCGAAAGGCGAACCGTGCTCGCACTTATTATTATGTGCCCTTCTTCCACTTTTTGCTCGGCCTGACGTAAATATAATCCCCGAGCTCAGCCCGTTCAGATGGTCCAACCTGTCACAAACTGCAAGGTTGACCTCACCAGCAAGCCTTGAAGCGGCCACTCTCTCCTCAGAACCGTAACCCTTTTTATTTCGAGCGGAAATTCGAGCCTCGAAGCAGACAAGCCGATCCTGGACCGCTTCTTGCTAGTCCCGCCCCCGCCTCTGAAAGCTTCAAAGCTTCCCACTCCTTGTTTCTCCAAGCGACACCCAGATTGGAAGTCTCTGCAACTCTCTCTTGACACGCCCGTGTGCGACGACTCCCCGCGCGAAATCCTGCCCGTCCGCACACCGTAAAAATGCCCTGCTTCAAGGGCATCGCGGTCAGCATCCATGCAAATGGCGCTCCGCTCCCCGAGTACGGCATGCAGAAGCAGTCGCGTGTCTCGCGCATCAATTCCTACATCCCCGTCCCGCCGCCCCAGATAGACTCGGGCAAGCCCGAGCCCGCCAAGTTTGCCATATCCATCACCCTTTTGACGTCGGGCCTCGCCATCCCCTACTCGACGCCCAAGGCCACCGAGGCCAACCCGTACCCCAAGCCCCAGCTGGTCGGCACCCTTCCCCCCTCCACCGCCGAGCGGGGCATGTCCGGCGTCGTCACGCCCTACATACCCATGACCAACTCGGAGCACGAGACCATCGCCGCCTACATCTACTTTGACGGCCGAGCCAAGGAGGAGGTGGCCACGCTGCTGCGACCGGGAGAGGAGACCTGGGTCAATAGTAGATGGGTCCAGGTCCCCATCTCCGAGGGCGGCGGCCTGGCCGAGCGAGAGTTCCTCTTCCGCGAGGTCGGCTTGGAGCGATGGCTGAACGGACTGGACCTCGAGGGCCACGACGCGGCCGAGAAGGTGGAGAAGCGGCGTCAAAAATTCGAGAGGCGACGACGGCGGCAGGAGGCCATGCAGGGCGGAGGAGATCTCGACATGGACAGCAAGGCCAAGGCGTCGCGAGACACGTTCCGATACGGCAGCGCAGACTCGCAGTCGCCGGTCGAGGCGGTCTCGGACGACTTCTCCGACTCGATGGACTCGGACGACGAGCCCCCAGAGGCCACCGGGCAGATCAAGGTGGCTATGTTCCGCGTTCTCGCCTCGGGTGAGATCAAGAAGGGGGAGTACTCGCCGCAGTTCGACGCGCACGACGACGACGACGACTACGAAGGTGGAAACAAGGCGGACACCGGCAATTCGATCGACGCCGACGTCGAGCACACCACTAGTTTTGCTAAGCCCAAGACGCTGGACCCCAAGACCATCTCGACCCAGACGGTCACGGGGATCGATGGCCCGGAGAAGCCCTACGCCACCTTTACCTTCTTCTACCGCGGTGAACGTAAGTGCAGCAGCTCCTCATGCAGATTTTTTCCCCCCTTTCCACACAAATGCTAACAATGTTTCGTAGGCCAACTACAAAAGATGGGTGTTCTGCCGTCCTCCAAGGGCCAGCAGGCGACTCCCACGTCCAACAAGCGGCGATCTGCCCAGCTGGACTTCTCTAACCTCGGACCTCTGAAGACCGGCGGCACTGTAGGCTTCTCTACATTCCGTGACAACGCGAACGACTCGGGCAGGCGACGCAAGCAGCGCAAGAGCGTCGGCGGCATGGACGAGGACAGCGAGTCAGACGACGACTCTGACCAGATCTTGGGCAGGATGGAGGACGTTGACGATAAGGTCGTCAAGTCAAAAGTCGACCCCGAGGATGCCAAGGTCACCGGCGAGCTCGCCGAGGGCGTGGATCGTGTCCGCGTAGGTCTCTCTGCTCTGTCGTGCGATGTGGATGACGATGATGAACTGACTCCGAGGAAAAAGCTCAAGAGGCAGCACTCTGCCGACCCGGACGGCAGCCTCGCCGCGTCCGGCATGCCGCGCAAGTCGCCGAGCGCGGGGCCCTTTGGCGGCTCCGAGACGCCGCCCGAGACCAAGGGCGGACAGCCCATCCCCGGCGCGTCGTCGTCGTCGTCGGGGGCGGCGGCGGCGGGGGGCATGGCCACGGGCACCGCCGGTATGTTTGGCAAGAGCTTCGACGACGCGATCGTCGGCAGCCCGCTCAAGAAGCACCGGGCCAGCATACACGGCATCGGAGACGAGAGCGAGGAGGCGCCGCGCCCCGCGAGCTTTCCACCGGCACTGGGCGATGTACTGGCAAAGGCAGAGGCGGCGCAGCAGCAGAAGCAGCAGCAGCAGACGAAGCAGGCGGCGGCCGTGAATGAAGAGGAAGAGGAGGAGATATAGACGACGAATCTCTCTCTCCGCGCATGCATGTTCGGCGCAGCAGCACCTGCCGCCAACGAACGACCTTATCATGACAAGAGCAAGTTTTATCTTTCCCCCCCTTATCAGCACCAAGGAAACACAGTCCTTTGCAGTTGTTGGCACCACTTGCCCTTTACCGGGCGGGCTGCTTATTCTGGATAGGCGATGACGTGCATATGATACACGAGCAATACCCGCTTGCTTTTGTGTTTTTTTTTTTGTTGTTTTTTTCGCGACAACCGGAGCATATAACCAGACACACAAAGTCTGGCTTTTGTTTTCTACCGCCGGGAATGTACACCCTTCCCAGGAACATCTGGGGGAAATGGGGTCAAACTACAAATCTGGTGCGACCTTTTGACTGCTGATGTATATGGCGGTGCAGATTTCCCCATTTGTCGGTCGGGCCCCCTTTTTTTTTCTCTTTCTTTTTAGACTACTCGAGAGAAAGATCATATATCCTCTTTCTCTAGGATGGAATCTACTAGCAGGACCAGGAAGGAACCAGGCAAGGAAGGAAGGGAAAGCACGGAAGATTTGCAAAACAGGACTTGAGAAGCGTGTGTTTCGTTGTGGCGTTGAGAGAGTCCTTGAAAGATAGAAAATCGGCGGGGGGGGGAGGTTGTGGTGTCTTTGTTGAGGGTTCCTTCTTTTGTCAGCTTTCTCCGTTGCCCAGTACAGCAGGGAGCGAGCGGGGAGGGAGAGAGAGAGAGAGAGAGAGAGAGAGAAAGCGGGTGGAGGCGGCGCGAGAGGGAGGGCCTGTTGTTTACTTGAGAGAGCAGCCGATGATGATTCGTATCTTGAACCTACGTCGATGGCGGGGAAACGTTACGTATCCAGGCTTAACTATCCGAGCGGTCGAATTCTTGCAGGAGCAGTGGTATATAACTGCGTGAAGTAGTCGGACAAGAGATGTGTGAAATACCAGCCGGGAGAATATGCATATACACCCCCCCCTCGTTTCTCGTGTGTGTGTGTGTGTGAAAGACCAGGTCGACGGTTTGTGGAGAGATGGGGCCTGACGAGATTGATGATGAGGGGGTTAAAGATATATCTCGGCGACTGTTGATGAGAGCGCTCGACTTCTTGCCAGGTGGTTCCAGGGACTTTCATATCAGACATTCTCATATTCGATGATATCTAAGACCGCTGACATAGACATACTACCCAACGTATGTTCTAAAACGAAGACCCGGAGACCCATATCAAATGCCATACACAAACAATGCTTGCCCTTTCCCAAAAGGCAGTCCAGTCCAGTCCAGTACCGCCCGAAGTCCCTTCATGCGCCCAATATCATATCTCCGTGTCTTTAACAATGAAAAAAAAAAAGGGAAGGGGGGGTCACTTCTACTCCATCCCTCCCAACCAACCAAACAAACAAAGAGAACAAAAACACTCCACTCGTATAAGACAGACGATGGCACTAGTACGTATTCCCACCGCCCACCATGTCGTTCAGGATGTCCCGTAGGATAGGCTTGCCCCTCAGCAGCGCCCTCTCCCCGATCCTCGCCCTCTTCGGACCGCCGCCGCCGATGCCGATGCCGCCCTCATCCTCCGCCCCATAGTTCTCCTTGCCGTCGGGCAGACCACCACGGCCACCACCACCACCGCACCCTCGGACCACCTTCTTCTTGGGCGTCTTGCGCGGCGACGTGGTCCGCTGCTGCGTGCCCAACGCCGCACTAGCCGCCGTCCCCGCCACGCCGTCCTCAAAGGCGTGGTGGCCCAGCGCGTCGGCCGGCAAGTCGTACACCCAGGCCCGCTGCTCCATGAGCGCCACGAAGCGCGCCAGCATCTCTCCTCCTCCTCCCTCCTCCGGTTCCACCTCCCCGTCATCGACTCCGTCGGCGCCTGGGCCGCCTGGGCCGCACCCGCGCAGCGTCTCCCGGCTGCCCACGACGAGCAGCTTCGTCTTGGCCCGCGTGAACGCGACGTTGATCCGCCGCCAGTCCTTGAGCAGCTCCCCGATGCTGCGCGCCTCGTTGCTGCGCACGAGCGACAGCACGACGACCTCCTTGTCCCGGCCCTGGAACCGGTCGGCCGTGTGCATCTCGACGCGCGCCGCGGCGTCGCCACCGCCGGCGCCGGCGCCGCGCGACATGCAGTGCTTGAGCAGCGACAGCTGGGAGCGGTAGTGCGTCATGACGCCCACCTCCGAGGCCGGCACGCCGGCGGCGAGCAGCGCCTCGACGAGCTGCGAGACGATGCGCGCCTCGGTCGGGTTGACGATGCGGTTGCCCTTGGCCTCCTCGCGCGCGCCGGCGATGGCGTCCGTGTTGACGAATGCGCAGCGCGTCTGCGGGTCGAGCAGGTCGCGCAGCCAGCAGGTGCCCCGGCGGGCGCCCGGGCAGAACGAGTTGGCGGGGCCGGTTTGCGCGCCGGCGGCGGCGGCAGAAGAAGAGGAGGAGAAGCGCATAAAGGTCGCCGCGTCGGTGTAGTGGAAGCGCCTGAGCGCGTCCATGTCGGGCACGTCGAGCGTGCGGGAGCGGACCGACTCGGTGCCGCACTTGAGGCGGCCCTGGTAGATGAGCGTGTTGCTGAGGGCCATGATGTCCTCGTTCATGCGGTACTGGTGCTCCAGGTTGACGACCGAGTCCGGGTGCGCGTCCGAGAGCAGCTTGAAGAGGGAGATGTCGAGGCCGCCGAGCCGGGCCTCTTCGTTCTGGACCAGCGGCGGCAGCTGGTTGTGGTCGCCGACGAGGACAAACGTCCGCGCCATCCGGATCGGCCCCAGGCAGATCGGGAGGGTGATCTGCGAGGCCTCGTCGACGATGCAATAGTCAAAGGTCCGCTCGCCGAAGACGGGGTGGCTGATGCCCAGGCAGGTCGTGGCCACCACGGGCGTGTCGTGCCAGGCACTGTGGATCTCCTCGAACGTGCTCATGGGCTGGCCCGCGAGCACGGCGAACTCCTGAACTTCAGGGTGCACCTTGGCCGGAGCTCCCAAACGCAGAATGGGGATGTTGTCGGTCTTCAGCTTCAAGAGGATATTGTCAACAGCGGTGTGGGTGTAGGACGTAAGCAATACACTCTTCCCCTGGCTGATCAGAGCCCGGATGATGTGAGCAATGGTCGTTGTCTTGCCGGTGCCCGGCATACCCAAGACAAGAGCGTAGTCTCGAGCGCTCATGACCTTCTGAATGGCCTTCTTTTGGTCCACATTGAGGCTGCTGTCGTCTGTAATGGTGTATTGCGTCGGCACGGCCTTGAACGTGGGCGGCACCAGATCAACCACCAGCCGTCTGATTTCCCTAGAACCAAACGGTCCGTCGGCCATGACCTGGACCAAATTATTCCGCACAATCGCCATGCCGTTGCTGAATTCGTCTTTATCGAGCCTGTAGCGCACAGGGGGCTCCTTGATCCTACCATCCGATGCCTGGGTTGGGACACCTTCAGGGACAACCTCCATGATACTAGCAAAGACTTGGTTGTCGTTCTCGTCGAAGCCCCTCTGACGGATGCGCGCATTGTGAAGGCGCCGGTCAACAGCAACACTGATGCGTTGCTTCCGGACGGTTGTGACATATCCAAGAGCCAGTGCAAAGTGCCCTTGCTCATCGGAAACAACGATGGGCTCGCCGACAGCGAGCTGCGAGTCCAGAAAGGAGAAGCCCGGCGCGGGTTTCGCTTTGATGAAAGTGTACTGGAAGCGGTTGATCTTTGGACTGCTCTTATCCTCCAAAGCTGACCCCTCTTCAATGATCACATCACCAAAACATCGTCCGAGTTTCTCGCGTTCAGAGCTGATCATGGTCCAAAGCTCCCTTCGAAGCTTCTGGCTCTCCTTCTCCTCCTTTGTGAGTAAGTTCTCCCACTTGAGGAAGAACTCGCGATGAGGAGGAGTGAGGTGCTTGACCACTTCGTCAAACTTGTCTCCCATGCCGCTTGTCTCGCCGTCCCCCTCATCTGCCAACTTGTGGTAGATGAAACAGGAAGTCTGAGCGTAGCATTTGCTACAAGCGTGCTTCGCCTTCTTCATGGGTGGTAGCTGCACATTTCGCTCCCGAATGTAGCACGCGAGCTGATTACGCTGCTGGATCATCTGGCGCAGTTCGTGCCGGATAGCGGGTATCCTGAATGTCTGCGAGGTCTCCATGTAGTAGAGAATGCCATAGACGATCTCGATATCGTAGCGGTCGGAGAGGAGGAGGTTGTAAAGCATGGTCTGGACTTGATGGTTACTGCTGACGTTGCGGCCGGTCTTCAGCTCGAACGGAACAGTAAGCGTTCGTCGATTTGGTCCCTCGCGCATCGTCACTTGAACTGTGGCATCGATGTTGCCTTTCAGGCCGTACATGGGCGACCAGACGTGCTCTTCAACATCGAGCAACTTGCTCACGCACATGTTGATCTTCTGGCCGTTGCGATCCTCGACCAGGGCGTCCGACCGGGGATGCCCCGAGACAAAAGCCTCGGCCCAGTATCTCGCCTCCTTCATCTTCGTCAGTAAGTGCTCTCGGGCGTCAGTCACGCTGACTTTGATGGTGTAGAGCTCTTCGACGTGTTTCTGGATGGCCCGGTCGACCTTGGACGCCAGGAACTCTGCATCCCAGCTGTTGGCCATCAATGCCTCCTGGAAGATCTCATGTAGGAGGGTTCCGTAGACGAGAGCAGGCGATGCTTCACTTGTAGCCTTGACACGGTCTTGCAGCACCGCGCGGCGCATACAACTGAATGAGTCGGCAATGACTGTAGAGGAGATCAGCTGATCGGGATGAAGGATCAGCATGTTCTGAGTATTGTCGATGATGCACATGCCGGTTGATTCGAATTTGCCTATGATGTGGACATACGACTTGGTGCTGACAGGCGTGTCCACCCAGTCGCCACGGAGATGTACAGTCATGATAGAGCTCGTCCTCTCTGCTTGGATAACAAGAACCTAGGTAGATTGGTCAACATGGTTATCTGAGATGAAGGCAATGTTTTTTTTACCTTCTCGGGGAATTCTCGACCAGCGTCATTTTCGTAGGAGCTGTCGAGCACGTTCGTGACAAGGTATCGCTGGATGATTCTAGACTTCTGGGATGACTATTGGGAGAGCTTTAGCACGCGTATTTACGATTGAGCTATCAGCCAGTACATACATTCGTTAAATATGTAGATGAAGTAGGCGGCTTCATGGACTGCGTAGCTGCCAATTCGGCAGCATCAAAGTCAAAGTCACCAAAGTCGTCGCTGTAGGCATCATCTGCCTCAGTAGCTCCGCCACCCGAATCACCAATATCGGTAGGCGATTGTCCTGATGCAGCAGGAGCGCTGATCTTTGGCTCATGCATTTGGGAGGCAGCTTGGTCAATATCTGCAATGATATCCTCGGCCGCAGCAAAGACATCATCATCAAGATCTCCAAACTCGTCCTCCTCGTCTTCAGCTGCGACTGGCAACGGACTGGCTGCCTTGCTATCGCCCGAAGGCACGACTGCCGCGTCGCTGAAGCTGCAGCCTCCCTCCTGTGGGATCAGACTTGCATCAAGCTCCATCAACGTGTCATCGTCGAAATCATCGTCGCCAAAGTCTTCTTCGAATGTGTCCGCCTTGTGAGTCCCAGCTGCCACACATTTGGGCGCTTTGCTGGGAGAAAGAGCCTCTGGTGTAGAGCGCTTTTGGGGAGACGGCGATCTCTGTAGTAATGTGTGCCTTGCGACCTCGGAGTTGTCGAGCTCACCAGTGACGGACTTGAGCAGTGCAGAAACCATGGAGGACTTGGAATCGGAGGCTTCTTGCCTCAGCATGCTCGGTGAGCGCCCGTTACCTTTCTCTACCCTCCTCCGTTTTGCCCAGCTGGTGCCGCAACTAGCAGCTCGCCTGAAGCCTTTCTCGTCGGGTCCGTTGGCTCCAGCATGGGCCGGTCTCGGTGAAGACGACACCATGAGATTGGCCAGCATGGGGTTTGCCCGCCCAAGAGGGGTATTGCTAGTACCGCTCAATGAGAACCGATCCCACAGCTCCACCGCCGGGTCCGCCTGTGGTGATTTCAGTGCTTCTTTTAGCCGTCGCATGTTCACGGCTGGCGTTGTTGGCTTCGAGGTGCTGGGAGACGAGGTTGGGGAGGAGCTCCTAGCCCTCTTCTTTCCTGTCCTGTGCAGCATTGGCGAGATGACGGCGGATAGTTTGTCCCGCTCGTTGTGCCAAAGAATGCGTTCGGTTGGCGATGTGTCCTCCTCCTCGTTGGCATTGTCTGTTGCGCCCATCAGGTCTTGCCAGGCCAGCCGCGCGATTGGAGTCATGGCATCCAAAGGCTTGGGCATGGCCGGCGGCGACACATTATGTTTGCTCAAGCTCCCATGGTTTTCCTTGTCGGATTCTCCCTTGGTAGCATCAGTCGTACTAGTTTCCTCGACGGCGGGCTGAAACTCGAATTGGTGTAGTTTGTTCTTGGTGACTTCAGATATTGGTACAGGCGGCCTCGGCGGCCTCGAAGTCCTCGGTCCTCCGACTGCTGAGCCGCTCTTTGACCGGTTCCATTGGGGTCGCTGTAGACAAGATCAGTACACTCTGCCCTTGATAAGGTGGAGATGTTCAGAGGCATAGTTACTCTGGAAAAGCGGTTCTGCTCAGAAAACGACTTCTGGAGTGTCATTTTGGAATCCCATGGCTGTATTAGCAGACAGCACTTAGGGGTATTGTGTAAGAATGGGACTTCGATCTGCCATGGGACGATGTGTTGTGATGCCGGGTGGTTTGTTTGCTTGCTGGGATGCTGGTGCTGCAGGGCCAATTGAATGGGCCAACGCGGTGCAAGACGCGATTACTTTACGAGTGTCTGACCCGCGTTCAGCCACCCGAGTGCGATAAGATAGCGTTCAATTATTAGTGGGCTGGAGCGGGAACGTTTTACAAGTACTTGTACCTAACTACCTAGGTAGGTGTACCTAGTTGCCTGAGTACCTGACTCAGCAGACCAACGACTCTGCGATGAGTTGTGGGGTGTGCAGAGCTGGTATCATGCTGGCCCAAGCTCCCTGAGCAAGATCACCCCACACTTTCTTAGCCTCCAGTCTATCCGTTGTCGCCGCATGTCCCTTAGCTCTCAATCCGTCTCGACGTCATCCTCACACACAAAACTTCGTCTGATGACCCAACAATCTCCGCCGACACAAGGCAACAGACTCGCAAGTTGTGCTGCCGTGTGACCATATTACTCAGACGATGGCGAGCAACGACAGCAACAACGACCCCTACAACACGGGTCCCATCCCGTCAACGCACACGCGCGAGTGGCTGCTCCAGAACTCGACCAAGCTCACCATTCCCTGGGAGGCCCTCCCGCAGCTTCCCTTCTGGGGCCCGCTGGGCGGGTTCACCCAGCCATGGTTCCGGGCAAACATCGCCGCCAGGGTCATTGCCGGAGCCCACCTGATGAAGCGGGAGCTCGAGCAGCCCGAGATCGACGCCCTCAGTTACCACATGGCCAAGGCGCTCCGCACGCGCAGCATGGAAGTGCCTATCCTTCTCGGTGCCGTCTTCGTGCTCGAGAGGCGAGGCCGCAGCACGTTCAAGTTTCCCTTCTACCAGCCGAAGCCGGGCTTCGAGCCACTGGTCTTCCCCTCCAAGATGAGCCCGCTGCTCACGGGCACGACGGCCAGGGCGGCGTGGCATGCATGCCGAGCCAGTGCCTACGCCGTGGTCACGCACTTCTTCGTCTCCCTCTTCCTGCAGTCGTACTCAAACATGACGTGGATAGCACACATGCAGAGGGATGAGAGGCTGAACGAGTTCAACAAGGTAGCCCGCTCAGAGATTGAGCACGAGCTCAAACGGCGTGCGGCTTCCGGCGATGTGCGCCCACTGCCGGGGCGCTCACCGATCCCTGCCGAGGGCTCGGGAGACTATCAGCCGGCGTCTTCGGAGAACCAAGACTCATATGCTGAGGCTTCGCGCTCGCAGCCTGCGCCGCAGAGGTCATGGGCTCGCGATTCATATCAGGGCCCCGCTCCCCCAGCGGCGCAAGAGAGTCAGCCCTCTCAGCTGTTTGAAGATGACGCATACGTTTTTGATGATGCCTCGCCGGTGGCACCGTCGCAAAGGCAGAAGCCGCAGACCTCCTCATCCCCTTATTTTGCTGGCACCGCCTGGGACAGGGTTCGGCAACAATCCGGGGCTCCCCGCCCCGAACCGGCGGAGAGAGGCAGCAGGGATTCGCAGACCAGATCTTGGGGAGATCGCCAGCAGGTACAGAGGCAAAGCTCAAGGACGGGACAGTCAGGCACCGAGTACACATTTTCCCAAGCCGAGGAGGATCGATCCTTGCCGAAGGAGCAGGCGCAAAAGGATTTTGACGCCATGTTGGAAAGAGAACGTGCTGGCGAGTCTGATGACCGGCGGCGCAGGTGGTAAGGACTGGTATGTTCTCATGTATAATTAAAAAGAAGAAATATCGCTGAGGGCGTCTGGATTGTATCAAGCTCAGCTCCTGAAATCACTCGCAAGGTGTAGGTCTGGCCCATTAGTCCTGCTGCGATGCAAGTCTACCATGTACAAATAATGCAACAGCGAAAGAATCCTTTACAATCCAGGCCTATGTATCACTTTTGAGCACCACCTCTCTCAAGTGGAAAACACCGCGACATCACTAATCTCGAGCTCGGAGCCCTCCCCGCCTCTTGTAGCGGCGTTGGGAGTCTTGACCTTGGCAATCGCGTCGGGAAAGGACCCTCCCACGGCGACATTGAGCAGCAGGAACCGGGGCATCCGGGCCAGGCTCGTCCACGCCGCCAGGTCCCCGACCACGGCGCCCGACACGCTGCTCGTCGGCCGCCCGTCGACGAGCCAGGTGATGGTCTCGCCGCGCCAGTCGCCGCCGGCGTTGGTGCGGTCCACGTCGACGGCCACCGTGTGCCAGTCGCCGCGGCTCACGGCCGCCGTGGCGCTGATGCCGTCCGTCTCCCGGCAGGGCCCGCCGGCCGCCACGCCGCAGTGCACCGTCTGCCAGGCCGTCGCGGCGCCGTTGAGCGTCTCGAGCACGTCGATCTCGCCGACGCCCGGCCAGCCGCCGTAGTTGCCGCGGAAGGCGGCCCCGAGCGACCAGAAGGCGGGCCAGATGCCCTGCTGCGAGGCCGCGGGCGCGGCGCCCGCGCGCAGCCGCGCCTGCATGCGGAGGCGGCGGCCCGGCGCGCAGGCGAAGTCGTGGGCGGGCGTGGTCTCGATGCGGGCCGAGGTCCAGCGCCCGCCGCCGCCGCCGCCGAGCGCGAGGGGCGTGATCTTGAGGGTGCCCGCGGCCGTGGCGGCGATGTTGTCCCTCGACGAGGTGTAGGTCTGGATCTCGTTTGTGCCCCAGCGCGCCGGCCCGCCGGGGTAGCCCGTGCCGACGTCGATGGTCCACTTCGAGGCGTCCGGGAGCGAGCCCGGGCTCAGGGCGGCGAAGTTGTCCTGGAAGAGGACCTGGACGAAGCCGTCCGGTATCTGGATGTCCCGCGGGCGGTTGCTGACTGGGTGTGCCGCCACTGTAGAGGTGGAGAGCAGAAGGGAGAGGATGGAGAAGAGTGATAGCGCCATGGTGGAAGGGGAGTCTGAGCAGTCCGAAGCAGCGCCGTCCCTTTGATTGCAGCAGATACTAAGAGGAGGTGGACTCTATAGCTCTCTACGCCCTCTACGCCCTCTGATCTCCGTCCAGAGGCGCGAGGCATATCGCCCTCTTTGTACTCACCTCGCCTCTTGCATGCCCTCCTCTCTGTCGCCGCGAATCATCACCTGGCCTGGCCCCGACGAACAGAGACAGCCCAGCAGGGTTGTTCAAGTCGAAACCATCACATATTGCATCCATGTGAGTCCAGATCTATCCACGACGGGCATCCCGCACTGCAACAGGTCTATCTCGTGCATGGACCCCCCCCCCCCTTCCCGGACAAGCTTAATTGCATTGAACCCGGTGCGGCAGGAGAATGGAACCGCAGACGGCGGCAAATATGCCGTTCCGCGACACCACCATCAAGCCACCCGCGTGCGTGGGCATGAACTCGTGGAGGGCGTCCCCGCCCAATATCGGAGATTCATGGGGCCTTTCATAAGACTGCTCAAAGCCATGAACCTATCGTTCTAACGGTCCAAGCCACCGTCGGAAACAAGATGTCCATTGTCCATCTGCATGAAACAGGGCTTGGGCCAGGCAAGGCACTGATCGGCCGTAGACTGAGCTGGAGCTCGCCACAGGTGAGTTCTAGACTTGCTATTGCTGAGTCGAGCAATAAGACATGGGTGACAAAAACACCCTTGATGCAGATGTGGACCAGTACTTGTAGTGTTCAAGAGAGCCAGGAAACTCGGCGAATGAAGATCACCAAGGTCTGACCATTCGTCTGGCCAATGAAGATGGGACGGGACCTGCAGTACGGCACGCGCTATCTGGATCTCATGTCTCCATTGTCGATCGTTTCGATAAACGAACTGGGAGACCCTCTGTCTGTAGTTGTGAAGTCGTAACGAGCGTTCAGAATGGAAGTCAACCCCCGGATACAAGAGACCGTGGCTTTGCCTTTGAATCATTTCTATCGCTTCGATTCGCTCTTTGCAGCCTTTCATTTGCTGTGCGCCGTTTCGATGTTCAGACATCATCAGGACTTCCCCACCTCCGTGGCGCCAAGACATTGAGGTCGAACAAATTGAATTATAATACCTGCTTTTGCATTCTCGGATTTCTTTGGAACCGTGGCGTCGTGGAGTCTACTTGTATATGATTTCCTCTGTAATTGTCCCCGGGATTGGAGTTTGCATTCGATCGTGTCGTTGGCAGATATTATTCGTTGGTGGTTGTCGGGGTGCCCGACCCCTGAACTCTCATACACCGAACGTCGCAGCCAACCCCAAAGGTGCCTCCTGTGTTTGACAGGCTTTGGCCCAATTGCCAGATATCCCTTTTGTCTAGGACAATCTCATAATTGTAAATTTCTGTAGATCATAAGCTGTGAAATATCGATTTTCTGATCGTTTTCTTTACTTACTGGAATCGTGTGTGTACCTTTCATTGCTGCAGTTGGGAATTTCAAGATGGAGATCTACCAAATGAACCTCGCAGGGCTTCTCGCCCTCTGCGCCGCGCTCTTCGTTGCCCAGCGCAACTCTTCAACCTCGGCTGAAAGCAAGCCTGAAGAGAAGGATGAGAAGAGCAAAGCAGCAGCAGCAGCAACATCCCAAGCCCGCGAGGCCGCAAAGGCCTCTCAGAGGGCGTTCTTGATCGTCTACGCCCTGGTCATGGGCGCAGACTGGCTACAGGTAAAAGTTCAGCACAGCAACACGACACACATCCATTTCTAACACACTACATACATAAAAAAAGGGCCCCTTCCTCTACTCGCTCTACACAGACGAGCACAAGGTGGCGCCCTCGACCGTCTCGACGCTCTTCACGACGGGCTTCGTGTCCGGCGCCGTCAGCGGCACCTTCGTCGGCTCCCTCGCCGACAGCCGGGGCCGCAAGGCCGTCTGCATGCTCTTCTGCCTGCTCTACTCGGGCTCGTGCCTGCTGACCATCCTTCCCGGCGGGAGTCTGCCCCTGCTCTTCCTGGGCCGCGTGCTCGGCGGCGTCAGCACGAGCATCCTCTTCAGCGTCTTCGAGACGTGGATGGTCGCCGACGCCAACTGGCGCGGCGCCGCCGCCGGGGGGGACCTCTCGCGCGTGTTCGGCCTCATGAGCACGACCAACAGCGTCGTGGCCATCGCGAGCGGCGTGCTGAGCGAGTGGCTCGTCGACGCGGCGGGCACGCGCAAGGCGCCGTTCGCGGCGAGCGTCGTCCTGCTGCTTACGGCGCTGTGGGTGATTATGGTCAATTTTGTGAGTGTTTTTGTTTTGGCTTCTGTCATTCTTCTGTCTTACAGCTCGTCTCTCGCATGTAACATTATTGACATTTTTAATCATGAAGCGCGAGAACTACGGAGAAGCAGCAGCATCACCAGCAGACAAGGATGCCGACGCATCCAAAAGCGCGTCTGGCGGCGGCGGCGGAAAGACGCTCAAGGACGTCCTCACGGACCCGCAGATCCTGTCCCTCGGCCTCGCGGGCACCATCTTCGAAGGGTCCATGTACCTCTTCGTCTTCTACTGGACCCCGGCCCTCAAGTCGGCGGCGGCAGCAGCCTCGGCCTCGTCCGCCGCCGACCTCCCCTACGGCATCATCTTCGCCAGCTTCATGGCCGCCGTGCTCGCCGCCAGCCTGGCCTTCAACCTCGTCATGGGCCGCGGACTCGTGCGCTACAGCTCCCTGCTGCTGGGGCTCATGGTGGCCTCGCACCTCGTCTTCTTCGTGCTCGCGCGGGAGCCGCAGCCAAAGCAGCCCGAGGACGGCGGCAGCGGCAGCAGCGGCAGCACGGAGCAGCGCACCTTCTGGCTGTTCTGCGCGTTCGAGGCCTGCGTCGGCGCCTACTGGCCGTGCATGGGCTACCTCAAGGGCCGGCTCGTCGGCGACGCCGTCCGCGGCCGCGTGTACGGGCTCATGCGCATCCCGCTGAACCTCTTCGTCGTCGCGGCGCTGCTCGTCTCCTCCTCCTCCTCCGGCGCCCACGGCGCCGTGTTCAAGGTGTGCTCTAGCCTGCTGCTCGGCGCGTCCGGGGCGCTCATGGCCATGGTGCTCAACCAGGAGGGGTTGCCCTGAGACTGAGAGGCCAGGCACGGAGAGGGTCGGGTGGGTGGCGGGGGCGGAAAGGGAGGTAGGATGAACTGTATGATTAGTTTTGCTAGATGCCAAAAAGTTAGATTCGATGTTAAGAGTCTTGTTGTTTAGTTCCGTTTCCACGTCTTTTCCGCTGGGCTTGCTCGTGTTAGTCCGGAAACCGGAAAATAGACTCGATGCTGGCCCTGTATTCTACGTAGACTTGCCGGATGAGAGCGAAAAGCAAACGGACGTGTGACCCTACCAAAGCCAAGGTTATGGTCCCCATGCCAGTTCAAGGTCTCAAACCAAGCCTGGGGCCTCATACGGAGTAGTCATCCCCGTGAAGGACCCCATCCGGCCACGCCTCTCGCGTGCATACACGACGATGGTTACACAGGAGGTTGCAGACCACAAGGCCCCATGGGATTCGTACCCACCCTCAATCTGCAGACATTGATGGAATGAGCAACCACATGGAACTAGTTAGATGGAGAGGATGGAACTCATCTGGCGAAGCGAGATCACCAAACCGCTTGGCCGCGGGCCACCCAAGGAGATGCTGAGCCCTACCGAGTCATTTCCTCTGCTTTCTTAACCGCCCCCTTGCCATTGGCCGCCGAGACGCTTGGCCCCCCTTGGAATGTTGTGTAACCTTGGGATGGCCGAGGAGGTTGGACTTTGGGACAAGACTCTTGGGGGTTCTCCATTCATCAAAAAACTTGGCAAAACAATGAAAGAAGGTGTGTGTCACAATGTCCCAAGAGACGCGCTTGAACACACGGCAGCGCACACGGGAGCGTTGTGTTGTGGAAGGACGTACAGATCTCTATTTCGACGCAACATCAAACACAATTGCATACGAGATTGTCATCACAACTTGAACGATTTAGGTGAGTAGATTTACGAGAGAAAAAAAAAACGTGTAAAAACGTTCGGCGGCAGGTGTGCCTCGCGAATTCTGACTTGTCTATTCTTTCTTTCCAAATAAACTCTTCTAATCAACACATGACATTACACGCTCTGGCTTTCTTTCTTTCTCGGGGCAAAACAAAACAATATTTCTGGCCGCCTCCCTCTTTTGGCAGTAACAACCGGGGATATTATAAACAGTGGTAGTGTCTTTCAAAAAAAATCTGGTCATCCGACCCATATCAGTGTCTCTGCCCAGAGGGCAATCAATGCCATCCAGTTGGTATCGGTAGAGGCCCCAACACGAGAAGGGGGAGAGGATGAGAGAGAGAGGGTTTCGTCATGAGTATCCATGGATTCGTCAAGAAAAGATTCGGGGTGAAGCAAGAAAAAAAAAGATTTTGTTGGTGCTCTCCAAAAGAAGTGCCAGATTTTTGAGTGTTTCAATCCCTCATGCCTGAAAGCCTAGCCAACTTGACAAAAAAGACACGCGCGCAGATCATCTCACTCCATTACACACAGACACACACACACAAAGTCCCCATTTACAGGACGATGTAGGTCAGGAAGAGAGCGGCGCCGGCGGCGACGACGTTGGCAGCGGCGCGGGCACCGCTGTTAGTGGTAGTGGCGGGCGTGGTGGTGGCGGCGCCGGTGGGGGAAGACTTGGTGGAGCTGGGGGAGCCCGTCTGGCTGGCCGAGGTCTTGGTGGAGGCGCCGGTGGACGAGGTGCTCATGGTGGTGGCGGTCGAGGACGAGTTGCCGGTGCTGCTGGACGCGGCGGAGCTCGAGGTCTTGGTGCTCGAGGCGGCGCTGCTGGAGGAGGCGGAGCTGGAGGAAGAGCTGTCGCTCTGCTCGCTGTTGTTGGAGCCGTCCTTGTTGATCTTGATGCTCTCCCACGAGCCCGTCTTGTCGCCGTACGTGTAGCTGGTGGCGCCCTTGGAGTAGTCGGTGATGGTGACGCTCTTGTAGAAGGCCTTGAAGGGCTCCGAGCCGAAGGTGGTGTAGCCACCAGCCCACTCGACGGTGCCCTTGGGGGCGTCCTTGCGGCCGGCGACCCAGGTGCCGAGCTTGATCTGCATGGGGGTCTGGGGGAAGGTGCTGCCGCCCTTGGCCTGGGCATAGGTCAGGGTGCGGACGACCTTGTCGTCGATGAGCCAGTCGACCTTGTCCTTGGTCCAGTCGATCGTGTACTTGTGGAAGCTGCTCTGGGGGTTGGCGATGGGCGAGAAGCCGCCGCGGTCGTAGGTGGTGGTGTCACCCTTGCCGAAGTAGTTGGTCTGGACCTGGGTGGTGTCGCCGCCGAGCCACTCCCAGTCGATCTCGTCGAGGTCGTCCGACTGCAGGACGACCGAGGTCACGACACCCTGGCCGTTGGAGGCCTGCAGGACGACCTCGACCTTGCCGAAGAAGATGTACTTGGACGAGGTGATGGTGGGAGCGTCAGTCTCCTTGCCGCAGGCAAAGACGGCACCGTTGGAGCCGTCGTAGGTCAGGCTGGTGCCATCGGCAACCTTGAAGAAGCTGTTCTTGCCCTTGGTGAAGTCGACGGTGATGGAGGAGCCCAGAGCCGGGTCATCAGGGCACTCTGATAGTTGATATGTTAGTTATGGCTACATACACGCACACAAGAGAGGAATGACGCGATCGTAGTAGCTGCTGAGACGCGTCGAAAAGCCAGCAACCACCGAGATAGACACAGAACCACTTACTCTTCTCACGGGGGTTGCACTCCGTGAAGGTCTGAGCAGCAACGAGGCTGGAGGCAGCGAGGGCCAGAGTGGTGAACTTGACGAGCATGGTGAATAGACTGCTGTTACCGTGCGGATGGGTCCTCGTGGGTATGGTTGTCAAAGGGAGGAAGAAAGCCTGTTCAGAGGGGCGCGGAACAGGTTTATGTGTGCTGGAATGGGGAAGGGCGTCAGGATCCCTTTTTCAAAAGCCGGCGCGAGGAATGCTGGTCAATATCTCGGGTGGCTAGTCTATTGTCTAGGTCTCGGGAAACTGCGAGAAAGTGGATATAAAACGATCTTGAGGGAGATCGGTAAGAGCGAGCGAACGTTCAGAAAAGGGCTGTTGTATTAACGAGAGACGGAAGCTGCAAAAAAGCTGATCGTATTAGGGCAAGAAATATGGAGAAGTGATGTGCAAGAGAGAGTGGGAAGAAGCAACACGAGACTCGACGGGACGAGGTGAGGACTTTATCCAAACGGGGGGTGAGAGGAAAAGGCTCAGGAGACGGGGGGACGGGGGAATGGGGCCATCTGGAGGCTGAGCAGGCTGCTTCTTCCACCGTTCCAACCCCCCCTGGCTAGAAGAGACAGAAGCACGAGGACTGGAGGGCCAGGCACTCGGTTGGCAGACGGACAAAGCAGAGGGCAGTGGAGACGATGTGAGAAGTGAGGGTGGGTTTGGGGCATCAGATCCACGAGGGCCCCCCTGAGATGGGGATGTGAATACCAAGCCGTGCCAGCTCAGGTACCGACATACGAGCGAACCAACTGTCAGCCGCTGTCGAGTCCAATGAATAGTTACCTAAGGGCTTCCAAGGACAAGAATAGGCCCAAGGACCAGTCTGGAAGGGGGATGGGCCAATCCCCAGCCGCCGTCCGAATTCCCATGGCTCGATCCCACGATCCGTGTCTGGCACCGTCTGCGAGTGTGGAATGCTCTGGATGTGTGGCACTGCTGACAAGATGGCAAGCAAAGGACAGCCTGGACGAAGGCCTCCACCCTCCCTGCGGCGCGTGTAAGCGTGGTGTACCTTATTCACCTCTCACCCCACCCACCCCTGACCCGGACTCGCCTTTGGTGGCCCTGGAAACCAGAGCAAGGACGCATCCCTGCTAGCGGTACCGAATTAGGCTCGGCCCCCCGGCCTGTAATGGAGGGGACCCCTTGATGAAGTCACCTCATGACACCAATGGCAGGCGGGATACGAGGAACCTTCTGGCCGGCGAATGACACACTTTTATTTTTTTGCCCGTGAGATGGCCGCCAAGTATCTCAGCATTTCCTACGGGCTCGGCGTGCGGATCTCTCTGCCGTAAAAAATCACCCAGAAGAGAATAGCTACAGGGGACGACCAACAACAGACAGACAGGCTCATTTTGTCATTCAGGCATGCAAGAATGCCAGAACCGCATGTTGGCCTGTCGGCTCGCTCACCATCTGAGCACAGCAGCACATGGGCGTGCGCAGTGCAACCGACCTACCGAAATGTGGCTGGCGCATCATCGAAGTTTGTGCACCGATGATCGCTGGTTGCTTGGGACGAGATTTCTCTGTCTACCTAATCCGTACTCTGATCATGATACTGAAGCAACGTGCCGTTTCCCGGTCAGCTCTCCTCCTCCTGTTGCTCTCTCTCCCCGCTCCCGCAGATCACTGAAACATCCACCTTGGAAGCCCGTACAGAGCAAGGACTTTTTCTTCTTTCGCCCTCTCTCGTACCGCCGCCCGCATTGAGGCCCGCTGATCATCTCTTGCAGACGCCGGGTTTCCGCCCTCTATGATCAGCTAAGCCTTAACGAACGATAGGGGTCTTGGAAACCAGCCTAACCCAGCCTCGGCGCAATCTGCCCAAACTGCGCCAAGTCCAGGCTAATGTGCCATCAGCGCAGGTACAGGTCGCCGTCGTTGCACCACTGTTCCCCAGACCCTCTGGCCCCCCGTCTGTTATTTCGACTCTGCCGTGTTCGTAGGGCACGATCGTGTGTACCGTACCTAGGTATGAGTTCCCTTCGCCTCTCTCTCTTGATCGATGTGTGCCACGAGATCTCTGTGTGTCGATGATGCAATGGCGTCCCAGCGATGCACACTGTTCACGGTCATCGAAGGCACAAACTCAGAAAGATTGTGACCACTGAATAGCTATTGCTTGGCTACTGCAGCGCGTTATTCGCGCTCTCCAACAACCAAGCAGTCAACTGTCTGTCCTCTTGCCCTGCTCCGTATTATTGGGCCGGCGTTTCGCTGGCTTCTTGGAACTCTGAAACCGTTTGTCTCTCCCTTGTCCTTCCTCCACGTTCTGTCCCCCCCGTGATCAATCCTTCCGGCACAGTCCTGCCGTTCACGAAAGGATCCGGTCCTAAATCCGGCTTTACTGTCCATACGCCGTACAATCATTTTGGTAAATTGCTGTGTGCGTTGGAGCGAATGCGCATGGCCATTGGGTACAGCAACGTTTCATCTCGGCCCCAGCAAGCACAAATCACGGCAGGCCCTGGGACCAACCCCCTGCCCTCGCTGCCTCTCTGCCACTGCCCACTGCCACTGTCAACGAAACACGGTGAAACAGGTTGGCAGACCACTCAATAAGCTTGCATAGGGAGTGGGCGGTATTGAAGGTTGTCCTCTCGTGATGCTCTGCTGTGTTGTGAGGTGGGTGAGAATTTGGCGCGTGCATGTGGTATGCCGGCATTGGGGCTGTGCACACAAAAAGAATGGCATCCCAGCCCACACCAAACAGCACGTTGGCACTGGAATGGGGCATAGGTACATTAGTTGAATGGCTGTTTGTGTGTTTATGCTTGATCTTTGAGCCAACCCTCTAAGACATTTAGCCTGGGCATAATTTTAGGTACAAGCTCCACTTGCGTCCACAGGACCCGAAGGCACCAGACCCTCGAACAGACTGGTCTGGTGCGTTGCGCTTTGTCCTATTGTCGCCCACCAGGCTACCTACGGAGTAACTAGACCCAGACCATTGCTCCTTGTTCCCATCTCACAACGAGTTAGACGCATTTCGCCGTGGGGTTGAGGCCGCTTTTTGGGTTAGAGAACGACTCTCGTGTAACGCCACTCTAAAATTATACCCAGTCGCTCGGCCCTGGTCTGCCGCGATCCTTTCCGCCCCAGACGGGCACGCCGCTGACAACTTCAACCCATGACGGCCGTGATGCTCAAAATCCTCCGGGACTTGCCCGTCATTGAAAAGAAAAACTCCCGAGAGAAAAAGAAACCCCACAATCCGAGAGGGTCCTTTCGCTGCGTGGCACTGGATTGGGGAGGATTGTTCTCTCCAGTCGACAAGATTGGGGGGGTCTGTCAGGCCCCGGAGCATCGGGAAGATGCGCTCAAGGAGTTAAGGTAGGTTCTCGCCTTTGATCACAGGGGGGCTCATGAATAATCGGAGCTACCACTCCTTACCGCCATGACCACTTCTCTTTTGCGGCTAGAAATCCTGCCTTCACTCTTCTTCCGACTTCGAACGGGCCACACGAAAGGATTCAGAAGCAGAGATACGAAGTAGGTTGCAGATCATATCCACAGCACAGAAAGACGGGCGCCAGCAAATCCGTCAAGAAACTTTGGCGGTATGGAAATTCTTTGGCTCGGCCTTGGCTCTGCGTGCTCTAGAAATGGCATCAAGTCAAGCACTCTCACTATCACCGTGCGAAGCGATGTATTTTGCCGTCAAGTCTTTGCTCCTTCCAGGACTGAATCGATCCTGTTCGGGGAGACGGAGTGTGCCTTTGTTCGATTGTCATCAATACCAGGAAGTTGCGCTCGGTCTCGAGTCGTGTTTACGAGTCTCTGAAATACCGATCTGCGGTCTTCTTCTCATTAACCGAACAGCGTCGACCGGGCTCATATCGTGGTGATGAGCAAGGCTTGTCGGATATTCCAGGGAGAATGACTACTCCGGCCCCCCCTCCTCGTCTCTTCCGGCCTCCTAAAAAGATACCTCTTGGCCACTAAGATTTCTATGGCAAAAGAAGTCACCCGCCCCACCGCATGCCCACTATTCACGTGCCTTCATCCCAAAAGAGATAGAGCCCCATAAGGCCCACTAATCTTAGATCTTAAATTATTCTAAGATATTTTTATTAAAATAAATAAGAAGAGTATTATTTTAAAGCCTGAAAAATCTAAAATATTCTGATATAATTTTTATAAAGAGAAAGTGTTTTTTCCTTAAGGAATTGACTTGGAAGTGTGATTTTTAGGGGGGCCGGAAGAGACGAGGAGGGGGGGCCGGAGTAGTCATTCTCTATTCCAGGTCCAGGTCGTTCAGAGGTCAATAGGGAGATATTCTCATCGTTATCGACCTGAGGATATGTGACTGCAAATGGATGACTCTGCAAGAGAGCAACAGAACTGCCTGAGCTTGCACCAGCAGGTGATCGACAAATACATGCACAAAGACCTACAACCTCAGTTTAATGATACCGCGGGCAGAGCCACTTAGGTAGATCAGCACAAATGCGATCAGCCTCTGAGCTATCCAGCTTCTCGAACAGTGCCACTTGCACCACGTCCTGTCCAGCTGTACAGGACTTACGATGCGATGGAACATTCGGTCTTCCTCGCCAAACTTCGCGATGCAATATCAGGTTTCCCGGGCTCTCGGACGATGATCACAATTTCACATCACGAACGGCCAACGGCACGGCACGGGTATTCTGGACATGTGCTCTCTCGCTTCATTTGTATGCAATTGTAGGGGGGAAAACGCCTTCCGGATTATAAGTTGAAAGGTACATTAGGTTGTCGGGTCGTACGGCTGCGCCCTTGACACGCCCTGAGTCGAGGTCGGGTCTCTCGTCCTCCCGACTCCTTGTCTACACACCACACTTCCATCAAGTCTCATAGGCCCATCAGTAACAAACCAGTGCTTACATGACGATGCAGCACGAGTTCGTCTTCTTGGCGCTCTTGTAGAAAGCTTTGCTCTGTGCGCTCAGGTCAGACGACTTGGCGACCAGATCGTCGAGCTTCTCTCCTCGTTGAAGCACCTATTTAGCCTGTGTTAGTCGTCACGTATCTCGACCAGCCCCAAACACGTAATGTCCTGAGTCTTCCGGAGGAACATACACTATCGATAGTCTTGTGGAGCACAATCTTGGTCTCGTCGAGTTGTTGCTGGATCGCCGTGATGCTGCTGACCTGTGCCGGGTCCTGGGCCGTCTCGAGGTGCTTCTTCAACGGGGCGAAGGCGACCTCGTTGTCCTTTGTCGCCTTGAGGTCGGCGGGCTTGGGGTACTGGTTCAGGAACTCGTCGACGACTTTGGAGAGGACCGCGTGCGCCGTCAGCGACGGGTAGTCCTTGCTGATGATGACGCCGGCGATGCCTTCGGAGCGCGCGTAGCAGTGGAACATGTAGCCTGGCGAGTGATGCACGTCAGAAACAACCCTCTCTCATCCCTTGATCGACAGCCCATCTCCGGAGATATCAACATACCCTGCTCCTCCGCGCTCTGCCTTTGTCCAGGCTTTGTCCGCTCCGCGATGGTCTTGCTGACCATGGTCATAAAGTTGGCGTACTCGTTCCTCGTGAAGCGCGAGAACTCGCTCAGCTCGTGCTCGCCGCAGAGCTGGATGGCGGGCTTCTGCACATTGTCGAAAATCTAGAGAGAGCGCGCACAAAAAAGAGGCCCTTGTGTCAGCGATGTCGAGGAAAAACCCCTTCACAGCATGAACCAGGAAATGATGGCTGCCTACCCCGATGTAATAGACCTTCATTGTGGCGATGGGGCTCCGGGACAGAGCGGTCGAGGTGGTTTGGAAGAAAAAAAGACAAAAGAGTCGATGCCGCCGAGTATCGCCGACTTCCAAAAGGCTTCCGAGGGCGGTATGTTCCGTTGCAATACTCGTGGCGGCGTGGCCAGTTAGTTCTGTCGCATGAATGAATCGGTCTTGTCTCGACTTCCCCTCCAAGTGTGGCGGTCAGATGCGTATCGCTATGCAATGCAGGGGGTGCGCAGTGACCCTCTTATCGCCAAGGCGGTGAAAGATGGCACAAATTGCCGATACCGATTCATGCGCTGAATGGGCGGGCCAGTGGTTCAGCGCTCCGCCCCAGCTGGAGAGGCCTGTAAAGCCAAGTTCCAGGCCCGCAAAACAAGCCGGCGAGGGCCCGACACTTCCTTTTGCTTGGCCCGGCTGGGCACCGGTGTAGCGCGCCCCGGACGGCACTTGGCAACGGGCAGCGTTGGAAACCACTGCTGGTCGCTTCCAGTCCGCTCAATTTATTTAACCTTGAACGTCATCTCCACCGGAACCTTGAATTCTGCGCTGTGGGAAACCTTATTCATTCGGACCGGACGCAGGCCTTTTGCGGGTGTAACCCATCCACTACCTAGTAAATCGCTTTCCCATGGCTCCCAACCTCCTCCTGCCCTTGCATTGCCGGTAGCGGAGATCCATGGCCACACCGCAGCGTACTTTCTTAGGCCGTGGAGCATGTGGACCTCAACAACCTCACTCATATTGTCAATTGCGTGCAATTCCTTCGGGAATACCTAGGCACACATTGTTTTCCCGATCAAGCTCAACCAATGCGAAGCCATACCGCGACTAGATCCGGGGATTCGATCCCGCCACCATTCCCCGCTTGTAGAAATTTGGGGAGTCAGGGCGATCGTCGGCTCCGATCATTTCGTCCTACGCCGTAGGAAGATATTTGCATCCTTCATTGCACTCCTCCACGCAATCCTTCAGTGCAAGAAGCTTTATTAGAGAAGCCAGAGCGCGTGCATTCTAGGAGAGCCAGCATATCTCTTGTCTCGCATTTCTACACACAACAACAAAGCTCTATTTCTAAAGAGTATCTAAATTTTATCTCCCATTTTACCATGTCGACCGATCCGGCGCAAGCAGACAAATCGGCCGTTGCTGCCGCCGAAGAAGGTAGCCCCGTCGCACCGCAAGGCTTTCAACATGTCCACATCGACCCCGTCGTCGAGAAGCGGGTAATCAAGAAGTTGGACAGACGAGTTCCGGTCTTTATGTTTGTGGCTTGTAAGTCGTCTTGAGCCCTCCCAGAGGTCTTACATTTCTGACTCCAACAATAGTTTTGCTTGCTTTCCTTGACCGGTCCAACATTGGCAACGCCGAGACCGCGGGCATGAGTAAGGACCTCAACTTTAGTGATGCTCAATATCAGGTACAATCAACATGCATGGAGACAATAATCTGCTCTTAATACTAATGTTGCGACTACAGTGGCTCCTCACCATCTTCTACATTCCGTACAGTACGCTCATACTCACTTTTGCTAACCCAGGCATGACTGTAAACTAATCGCACCGTGTAGTTCTCTTTGAGTGGGCTGCTATCTGCTGGAAAATCGTGCCACCCCGTGAGTCTAAACAAGGTTGTCATTAAGGCGACACTTTTGACTGACTTGCTGTCTACATAGACATTTGGGCTGCCGTCAACGTCTTTACTTGGTACGCGCTATCTAAATCTCTCAGTCTAATTGAAGAGGGCATTTGAGCAGGAATGGAAGTATGGGGTCACTAACACGAAGTGCCACAGGGGTCTTGCCTCTGTTCTTCAGGCCGCCGCCTTCAACTGGGAGGGCCTTATGGTCTGCAGATGGTTTATGGCCATGGCTGAGGCCGCCTTCGCGCCAGGCGCGCCATACCTCCTGAGCTTCTTTTACAACCGTCAGGAGCTGGGAGTCAGGGTCGCCTTCTATGTCTCTGCTGCACCTCTGGCTACCACCTTTGCCGGTAAGACTTCAATCTCAACCGCTTCTTATCCTCCAGTCCAGGCATGGCATAGTGAATAACACAAGCCAACAGGCGCGCTCGCATACGGCATCACCTCTGGCCACCCATCTATCGCCAACTGGCGCCTCCTCTTCATCGTCGAGGGCCTGCCGACCATAGTTCTCGCCGTGTTCCTCTACTTTTACCTCCCGGACTCCCCGGACACGGCCCGCTTCCTGACCGAGGAGGAGCGGCAGGTGGCCAAGGCCCGCTCCGTCCAGCAGAGCGGCCAGGAGGGCAAGGACCGTGTCGGCCACTTCTCGGTCAGGGAGAGCCTCGCCGCCTTCAGGAACCCGCAGACCCTCATCCAGCCCCTCATGTACTTCAGCTGCAACGTCTCGTACGCCTCGCTGCCCGTCTTCCTGCCCGCCATCCTCACCACCATGGGCTTCTCCAGCATCAACGCCCAGGGCCTGTCGGCCCCGCCCTACTTCCTCTCCTTCCTCGTCTGCATCGGCTCCACCTGGGTCGCCGACCGCACCGGCCAGCGCGGCCTCGTCATCGTCGCGCTGTCCGTCGTCGCGGGCGTCGGCTACATCCTGCTGGCGACGGTGCGCACAGTCGCCGTGCGCTACTTTGGCGTCTTCCTCGCCGCGGCGGGCGTCTTCCCCTGCATCGCCAACATCCTGCCCTGGGTGCTCAACAACCAGGGGACCGACGCCAAGCGCGGCGTGGGCATCGCCATGCTCAACATCATCGGCCAGTGCGGCCCCTTGCTCGGCACGCGCGTCTTCCCCGTGACGGACAAGCCCTACTACGTCAAGGGCATGGCCATCTGCGCCGCCTTCATGTTCTTCAACGCCTTCCTGGCCATATCGCTGCGGACGTACTTTGTGTGGAAGAACAAGCAGTTCGAGAGGGCCGAGGCGGCGGCCGTTGCGAGCGGCGGCGGCGGGGACGACAAGGGGCAGCAGCTGGCTGATATGGCGACGGCGACGGAGATCGAGGGGACGTTTGGGTATAGGTACATCTTGTAAGAGTTGTACATAATTACAAGTGCAGTTGGTGGTACACAAGATGTCGGGAGCATTACTAGCTTCTTTTTGAGCAAGTCTACGACCACGATGTTCCGTGGCATTCGGTAGATAGAATGAAGATGGTGATAGTCACGATACGGTAGCCCGGCTTTGGAACGGTTACGCTAAATAAAAATGTCCGAGAGGAGCCTTGGCCAATTCTCAGTTGTCTGTTGCTTCTAGAAGGCACTATCTATTTTTCTAAATGCTCTTTTCAAGGCAACATCGGCCCATGTGTCCTGAAAAAGCAGGGGTAAGATTTGGTTGTTGCATTGGGGCTGGCCCGACAATTAGGTGAGAAGTGTGCTTTTATCCTCCGAGTGATACAGTGGCTCCTGCCCCGTTTACAGTCCCCAAGACGCTCTCAATTCCAGCAAACGTTCTACGCCGGGACTGTTCATGAAAGTGAGGAATGGTAGGTACACAGTTGACTGTGATCTGTGAGTATCAATCTAGTCACTGCTGTACAACCGACATACCTGATATAGCAGCTAGCAGGTGACAGTAGGCCTCTTGGTTCATTCTTGGTAGAATATTCCATCTTTGCGTTATTGAGAAACTCGAGTGGCATCGAGCTTCTCTCACGGGGTCCTGCGAACTTGGTGCTGGGAAAGAGTGTCAATCAAGTATCGTAGAGCTTGATGTGGGTATCTCTTTCTCAGAGTGTCCTTCATGCTTGGTCAAGGGTCTCGGAAGACCATAGGAGTCTCGCCTGCCAAGATGAGATTGGTAAGGATTTGATATTTTTACGTTTGTAGCAGATCTGAGAGAAAGTTGTAGAACGCCTTCGGCTGGCGGGCGGAAATAGAGGTGCTAAGCACAGTCTGGTCGATGGAATTTTCTCGTGTCGATTAACGAGGGATCTTGGAGACTTAGTAGACTGGAGGAATCAGTGCAAGGAGGTAGCAGTGAGGAGAATGTCATCTCTTGTGTTCCAGGACAATCAAGGCTGAAGTCACAAAAGAATTAAGACTGAACGGCGAGGCAAAGCCATCGTTGGTAGAGAGCTTTTCCAGCTCGAGGGACCATGGAGAGATAGAATGGTAGCGATTTGATTGTTCTGTTGCGGACAAGACTCAGTCGGGTGAGTGAGAATTTGGCTCTTTCATGTCCTGGTCTGCCTGTCCGATTGAATGCGGTTGGTCCGAATTGACTGGTACAAGTCAATAAGTAGCTTCGCTTCGTTGGGTATGAAGTTCTGATGCTTGGGCACCATACTGTCAGGGACAAGGGCCTTGACTGGCCTCGATGAGGGTCAAGGTTGTGTAGGTGTTAATGATCAGGATCAATCTGACCAGGAACCACAGTGCAAGACGATACCCGAGAATCAGACAGAGAGCAGGGAGGTGTTCACGAGTAACGTACCGGACTCGATCCCACAATCAAAACGCTCCCCAAACCAAAGAGAAAATCTAGAGACAGAATATCCTGCCGCATACCGCGTCTCCTTTGCCAGGGTTATTCGTTGTCATAGAAGTGCACAACGTCTCGGACTTGATCCATGACATCTCTCTGCTCATAGCAGGGCTCCAGCTCGAGGAGAAGGCGGCGCGCAAACTCTTGCTGGCTAAAGAAGCCAGTCTTGCACACCTCCCACCACGACGGGTAGATGCCGCTCGCGTTCCACCCGACCACGGCCGTCACCCTGCCGTCCTTGACGAGGATGTTGCGGGCGTTGAGGCTGCCGTGCGTCATGGGGAAACTCCTCTCCCCCCTCGGCAGGCGCCGCAGCCCGGCGACCGCGTCATCGGCCTCGTCGGTGTCGTCGGAGCCCTCCACCTCTCGCTCCACCAAGGCGACCAGCATCTCGAGGAAGGCTTCCTCGCTGTAGCAGGCCCGCGAGCCGCGCTCGTGGAAGAAGGGGTCGGGCACGCCCTTCCCGTCGAGGGCACCTATGTAGGGGAACCGAAGGCGGCGCATCTGCAGGACGTAGTCGGCCACGGTGGAGACGATGTCATCCCTCTCCGTGGCGGTCAAGTCGTCCCACACCTGGTTGAGCTGCTCGCCCTCGACATAATCCGTCACCAGCAATCCTTCCTCATCCTTCGTCGCCTCCCGCACCATATACACCTGTGGCACGGGAATGTCGGTGTAGAACCCGACAAAGGCCATAGTTATAGCCTCCATCTCCTGGATGTAGTGGCCAACCTTGACGACCTGGCCCCTCGTCCCGTAGTGATAGGCCCTGCCCTTGGACGCACCGCTCTGGTCGTCGAGTCTGGGCAGGCTGCAGAGCACTACAGGGTCTAGGAATCTCAAGAGTCCCGGCGACAATGCCAGCTCCAGGGGCAGTCGAGCCCGCTCGAGCGGACGGGCTGGGAAGAGCTTCTTGTCGGGAAAGTTTGATTTCCCTTTCAAAGGACGAGTACGGGGGAAGATAGAGGACTTGGAATTGTCTTTCTCAAGAGGACCATCTGGGACTGGAAGAGACTTGCGGTGCCGTGGTTGTCCCCCACACTCCTTGGCCTCATCCATCCAATGATTAATTTTGACCATGGCATGTATGGCTGGTAGCGGCGGCGGCGGCTTGAACGACGGTTGTTGGAGACGGTCGAACCAGGGGCTCTTTCGGTGAGGTGGCATCGACAAGATATGAATGTGTGATCAGCAACTTGGTCTGCTACACGAAGTAAGAAGAAGACTTGGCCGGTATTCAGGAGAGGATCCTAGGATACAAACCTCCTGCGGCATAGATGTGAATCTATGATGGGCAACCCGGTAGATCGTGGGAAGTGGGAATGAAGGAAGAAGGATCAACCTGCAATTCAATGTTGGGAGCGGGCTTTCTCTTATAAGAACCTCTGACGGCTCTAACCCTAGCTCGCGTTATCAGCTCGCCCGAGGATCTCCAGCCTGAGCAGTTACCCAAATTCGTGGCCCGACCAAACACTGCCTGTCCGAGGTTGGAACTTGCCGTAGCAGAAGTCCTTAATACTTGAGTTACAACTAGACCAGCGAGGACTTCCATAGCCCGGGAGGCAAGCAATGAGTAGAATTATGGCCAGAACCAGATTGTTAAGATGAGTGGAGTCCGGCTAGATCATTGACTTGGGACGAAGCAGGATACCTAGGTAGTTTAGAAGAGCTTTGGAAAGGGTGTATTTTGGTGGAAATGGGGCCGAGTCAGGAGGCTACCTGTTTTGTGGCTGTAAGACCTTAACCTTGACCTTCCGAGAGCTACCATGGTGGTCTCAAAGTTACCAAGCAGCATGTACACGCTCGAGCCGAGCCTGCTGCGCAATTAAACTCTAGGTTCGACCACGCGTGTCTGACTAAGGTAGACGGGCGCCCGATTCCACGCAAACTCAGCTCAGTCCAAACCAACCCTATCGCCAGGCCCGCAGGGGGCAATTGCTAGGTCTGTACGAATATGCTTCTAGACAGAGAAGTGTAGATCGACAGGAGAATCTCTGGCAATGGTTGATTAGTGAACAAGTGCTCCTCGGATGGCTATGAGGTTCGCCCCTCGGGAACTCTCACGCTCTGGGCACATGGATACTTTGCGAAATGACAAGTCGACGACTGTTCTCGCGTCGAACTGGGACCATCACTTTCACTCATCATTAGGTTGGTGCTGCCACAACATTGGTTTGGCGGACATCGCCATCGTTCTTGAAACCATGTTGCGGTCGTTTTGAGGAGAGCCCCGCCTCGACCCGATTTCCTGGTCGATCGGTGGCCGCTTTTGACTCGTGAGCTTCAACTGCCAACACAGCCGGACGTGTGTATCGTGGCATTTATGTAGTCGTATTCGGCTAGGGCTTATCAGCCGATGTTAGTAATGTGACCGCCTCTCGATCTACAGGGAGGTGAAGGCCGTTATTCTGCTTAAGCAAATGGGGTTCTCGTGGGCTGTTTCCGCACAAAAAGCCGGAAATCCGATGCCACTTCTCAATGAGAGATCAGAAGCGATAACATATGAATCGTTAGCCATACCACAAATAAGGTCCATCAAGTCACGATGAGGCAAGTTTGAGAGGATTCAGTCCTCCACATGTCGACAGAACCCGAATAATTGGATCCGAGTGGGCATCGTCAAGACCATTCCCATGGTCTATGGGCTTGTGGAATTTGCTCAAGGGTGTTCCGCGGTTGATTCGGCATAATTTTCTCTCCCACCAGCCTCTTTTCCTGTAACGCCTTGTCTAGAATAGACAGTGCAAACATTTGCCAATGACTGACTGATATGGAGGGCTTGGAAGCCCTCGATGCCACGACACGTGAGAACAGTTGATCGCATAAAAAGCCCACATCCCGCACCCCGAACTGCGGGAATGCTGACCATGCTGGCAAATCATTCCAATCTTTGCATACACCATCGGCGACCCTGTCCCATCCGCGCTCGAGACAGGCCGAGCCAGGCGGTGAACTGTTACACCGCATATGAGCATGCTTCGACGTCGTGTCGTCCAAGGGGCCCCGGCCGGAAACGGGGAGGGCGTCGTGCGTTTCGGCCCGTCGCATCCCACTTCTCTCCCGCATCGCGGCCCCCCTTCCGTCGCACAGAGGACGCTTACACCAGAGCCATCGAGGCCAAGTCTGTAGCCACTCGCGCGCGTTGCGCAAAGGGGTCTCAAACAGACCACCTCGAGGCATGTGGAGAGCTGAACCTTGTCTTCGCATGGGATAATTAGCTATTCGCCTCTCTCGCGTCCCCATTGGCCCGAGGTTGCTGGCCTGGAGGAGCGGGTCGCAGCTCCCGTGTTTGTCTAGCTTCGAACCCCGTGCTAATGCCAATTCCTCCATTAGCAGCCCCCGCTTTCACTCGACGTCTCTGATCGGCAGGTGGCGACCTCCGATATCTATCAGGACGAGGAAGCAGCGCATGTTGCGACTTCCTGCCCAATGGTGGAAGCTGATTGGTGGCGTGCGGGAAAGGGTAGGATCGCGGTATCCCCGGACGACATGTTTCATCTTGTGATGATAACTGAGAGTGCAGCCGGCCATCGGGGTGAGAGTTGACATGTCACGTAGGACTTGACTCAGGCTTTGATTGATACTACTGCATTGATGGGTCAATGCAACAGCCACGATGGATGATTTGGTGACAAAAGACTTTGTCATCCCGACTGTCGATATTGGGCCATACCTCGACGATCCGGGCTCTGAAGCGGCGCAACAGGTGGTCCAAGATGTGAAAACGGCCTGCACCACGTCTGGCTTCTTCTCTCTAAAGGGTCATGGGATCTCGAAGGAGCTTCAGCAGCAGCTCTTGCGAGCAGCCAAGTCTCTCTTCTCTCTCCCACTCGAAGACAAAAGAGCCCTTTCCACCGGCACTGTGCTGAAGAACAGGGGCTATGAGGTGATTGGAGCCCAATTGCTTCAACCCGGGGCTCTCCCAGACTTGAAGGAGGTATGCCGTCCTGCTCCATGGCTTCGGGAGCCGGAAGGGGACAAATCATACACTAACATAGTAGGAAGGGATTCTACATCGGACAACCGATCCCGGCAGGTGACGAGCGCGCGAGACGGCACCCCTTTTTCATGGGCGAGAACGTATTTCCGCCCAACGTACCAGACTCGGAGATCAAGGAGCCCACCGAATCATATTTTCAGGCCGTGTTCCAGCTATCGCTCAAGGTGATAGAGATCCTTGCCAAGGGGCTGCCCTACGGGGATGGCATCTTCGACGACTTTGTCTCCAACGACCCAGTCTGTACCCTCCGGCTCCTGCATTACCCGCCACAGACGTCGCGAGACGAGCTCCAGCTCGGCGCTGGAGCGCACACCGACTTCGGTAGGTTTGCGAGCACTTGTCCAACGCTGGATTTGATTTTTCTCTTCTCACGACTAACCCCCCGCCGCTTCTTCCCTCAGGTGCCATCACACTTCTTTATCAAGACAACATGGGCGGCCTCGAGGTGCGCAATCCTTCCACGGGCCAGTGGGTACCTGTGGCTCCTGACCCGGACGCCTACGTGGTCAACATCGGCGACATGCTCGCCATCTGGACCCGGGGCATCTACAAGAGCACGTTGCACCGCGTCATCAACCGCTCCGGCGGCGACCGCTATTCCGTGCCCTTCTTCTTCGACGGGAACCTCGACGTGCGCCTGGCGCCGCTTGACGGGAGTGGGTGCGACGGTGGCGAGGCTCCGACTGTGGAGGAACACATGCTCGAGAGGTTCGGTACTACGTACAAGGGAGGGAAGAAGGGATAGAAGTGAAAGAGGCGAGCCGGCCAGACTCGCTGGAACTGACTGTGCAATGATAGGAGACAAGATGCAGGAAATATGCTGTGACTGTGACTGTGGCTGCAACCAGCTCTCAACTCCTTGTGTCAAGCGATATCGGAACAGAGCTGGGAACGGTGGATGAGATTAACCCGGACAGTGAGCTGCAAGTAATGACTAGCCTCGGATCTCCATTCTTTCAAAACATAGGCTGTGTTCTCCCACAGCGTGCTTCATGCTTTCCAAATGGAAATTTAAGCTTGTCTGCTCGAAAGTGAAGCCTTGCCCGTTCCAAAAAGGGATGATCTCGACGTCTGTTGGTGGTATGTCTGACGTAAGTAATGTGCTCAAATAACAACAGCAGCATTGCACTGGACAAATGCTCGCAAGATCATGGCGTTTGGTAGGCCAGGCGCTCCAAGCTCAGGGGAATGTCCTAGAAGCAATGGGCTCACGGAACCAAACTTGACTGCTCAGATCGAACCGAATGTTCACTATATTGTGGAACACAGGTTGGGGGCCTTTCGTTCGAGCCAGCAGAGGGCAGACGAGAGTTGTCCAGGCGAACCAGACACTCTGTCTGTGTTGGCTTTCTGTCATGTTGGGTGTGTGTTTGGCCCAGAATCCTAATGCAGGATGTCAACCATCGGACTTTGAGACCGGTGTGGAGAGGCCAAGACTGATTCCAGCCAGGCATCGGAGACTGTCCTTGACCGAGTCGAACATATGATCCAGGAGGTGTCGAGGATGGAGGGGTTGTAAATTCCCCGACTGGCACCTCTGGCCTGTACGCGTCTGGGGTAGCCACACGACATGTCGGCCAAGTCAGAGCTGCTGCGGAGAAGATCGGGTTCGGTCTGGGGAAAAGACACCAGTGAGACGTGCCGGGACAGCAGTCAATCGGCCGCATTCCTCCCGTGCCCACCACACCACCGTTGGGGGGACGAAGGGCGGGGAAAGTCAAGAAGGATATTTGCAAGCGGGTGGGGAATATCCAAGTGCTTGCAGACAAAACCTGCAATAAGACGCGCCCAGGTGGATGTCGACGGGGTGCAGACATACGATCACGCGGACTGCCGGACGAGAGGACTGCAGGCGGCTGGCTGACCACGGTATTCGATGTGGCTAGAGGCCTCCAGATGTGATGCCATCACGCAGTGGACCTCACACGCAGGCCCAAATATATCTCATTTGTAAAGCTATTCCACCAATAGTGTCAAAGGGATTCATGTCCTTGGGCTCGTTGGGCAGACGTACAGTTCTTTAAACAATGGATCGGGGATCACGAGGCCAGCTTTGCGATGGTCGGCAACGAGTTCGCGAAGGTTGGAGTAGCCGACGAGCGTCAGATAGCGTCAGAGAACCTAGGAGGATCGAGGTAGGATCGTCGATGCGTCAGGGTCGAAAGGGACGAGAGCCCCCCAGGAGGATAGACTTCTCGATCCTGCAGGCAGAGCCCAAGAGGCTGATGTGGACGGCGAGCCACGACTGCAGGTATCTCTGAAGTACCACAGTCCCAGAGCTATGGCTACTCCTCATAGCGTCCCCGAATGCGTAACTCTGGACGTCTGGGCTTCCAGGCGGCGAACTGTGGACAGCAAGCTACGTAGGTAGTGCATTGGCCACACTCAGCATCCCCTGCGTGCGCAAAACCCATGATTGGGCTGCAAATATGCCACTCAGGGGCACCCCAGAGGCCAAGCATCTGGGGCGTTGGGATTTCAAGGAAGGACCTGGGGCTCTGAATAGACAAGGATCGAGTGGCGTGAGTTCGAGTCGCGAGTAGCGTGGGGGTGACTGGCCGGGGGTTTCTCGCCTGTCAAATGGCGGTGATCAGCACTTTGATTTTCTCAAGCTGAAATCGTCTTTGTTGCACACCTGATTCGCAGAGGAGCGAGGATACACAACCTCTCAATCCCGGAATGACAATTGGATGTCAGACATTTGCTCGGTGGAGGAGAGCCGCAAAACGACAACTTGGGGCACCACCATTTTGTCCGCGCCCCCGAATTGTTCCGGGAGCGAGTCCATGCCACAGATCTGCAATGTTCATTTGCTGATGATGTGTATGGGAAAGATGGCAGTGGCTGGAACGCGGACAGTCCGGCGGTCAGATGCGAGTGCTGAGCTGACCCTTTTGGACCACGAGCATCTGGGCTGGTGGAGGTCTGATTCCCTCCAGGCCTCCCTGTTCAGTCGTTGGCTCAGGGGTGCTCGACGTTGCCTCGGAAATCATGCAGAAGTTGCACGAGTTGCGGTAACCGCGCTTCTTAACGACAGAAATATTTTGGGCACCTGGTAATAGACTTTGGTTCGAGGAGACAGACTTGTTTCGACCAACAACAGCCTGGCTCAAGAGACAAGGGTCCGACCAGTCAGACCGACCACAGAGAGAGCCCGGCTCCATCTTCTCACCAGGATAAGACCTCATGGACGTCCTCTCTTCCCAGCATTATCATTCCTGAGGGCCTAAATTCAGGGCTACAGAAGAATAGTCCATAGGGCACTGCTTGATGAACTCAAGGAATCGACCACTGCATCATGGTAGCCAAGTCTCAGAAAGACAGGCGGTGTTTCAGATGAAAAGTTGATCAGCAAAACTTGTCCGCAATCACCTACCTGGCTGGCATCAGAGTTGAAGCAGCAATGTTTCGAGATCCCAAAGCACGGACCTAAACCCCCACGGCGTGGCATCGGCAGACTCGATCCCAAGACCATGTCTTTGGACCCTCCTCCTAGCCGCTCGATTCAAGTAAGCGGAGCTGGTCTGCCACATGTTGTACGCCGTGTCAATCTGGCGTGGGGTGACTGATGTGCTCTCTTTCGAGTGTGGCAATGTCATGATACGGGATATGGACTCAGTAACTGCCGAGTAAGCTGGGAAATGAAAAGTGTCATCACTTGAAAAGGCGATGATATCCGCTCAAGATGACGGGGACTTCTGGTTCTCTCAGTCCAAAGAAGCCCGACAACATCCTATCTTTCGACGTGAGGCTATGCATGACAAGGCATGGGACCATCAGTAATGCCTCAAAGCAGGTCCGCTCGTTCCCTGGGCTTCAGACCCAGACCGCAGGGAACAGTCAGCATCGGGCTTTGATGCATAGCGTTCATGTGTTATGGAGGCACAGTCTTTACTACCAACATGGGCCAAAAACAAGAACAGGATGAAGATCTCGCGAGCGACTCCGACGCCGTGGCGGAATGGTGCACAACGCATCCTGAGTAGCTGGCTGGTGATCTCTTCTCTGACTCGTGCGCCTGGAAGAGGAGCCGTATGTCAGACGAGGCGATCTCGTCCCTCTCACCGACCCAGGGCGTCACGAACAGGCTGGGACGAAATGAGAAAGCCAACCACAGCCCTCTTGCGGAGAATCACACAACAGAGACTCCCAAGGTCGCCAATAGACCGAGTGCCATCTTCAGATGTGCATATTCCAAATTGTTGTCCCCACCACGCTCGACAAGGCCATATGAAGCGCCTTTCCGGACTTCGCGAAGGCACATGATGTGTGACATCTTCAGACTGCATCGATCACCACATAGTGAGACACATGACAGAGCAAATGCAGCAAAAATGCACAACATAATCGCATGGCAGCGATGCGTCCTCGTACAGAGAGATGCCAACAGGCAGCGGCAAGGGGCAGGCACTTGAAGCCAGATCTTGGCATGCAGATCCTGACTACTTGCAACGTAAGATCAGTTGGATGCGAGGAGGTTGTTTTCCCAGGATATCCTTCAAAGGCCATGTAACAAGCAAACGGCACATTGCCCAAGTTGGACTCGCCCGATACTAACCCGTCAAGCGAGTCCTGCGAGCTGTGCTGTCTGACCCAGGGCCATAGTACCCCGCGGAAATGGCGAGAAAAGCACGTCCCTGCGTCAAGCACACAGAGGAGTGACGGAATCCTGACATGATTGCTCGGCAATTTCGAGCTATGCCCGATGCCGCTCCCTCAGGCCGTGTGCTGGCGTTTCATTACGAAACCTCTCGGGGATGCTGGGGTTCTGAGGGCCCCCTTCGAGTTGGCGTGATGACTGTTGCAGCTTGAAGACCTAGTGTGGGCAGTTCATATGTCGGTTCCTTGTCGGTCCTGCATTTCCTTCTGCACGAGATATCACTTGGTCCTCCATCGTAAGTAGCAATTTCGAGTCGGACATCTGTGTCTGCCATTTTTGGCGTGTCTGACGGATGCGGTGACGGTCCGTTGCGATGACACGGCCTGGAGTATTCTCCCACGCACTTCAAGGACACGAGAGGTATCGGGTTCCTTGATGAGGTTGAAAGAATGTATGGGATCGCCCAACCTAGACCCCGAATGCTTCAAATGGACCCTCACTGACCGAGCTAACCCCCACACAGAACCACAATTCCTTGACCAGGTTCTTGGAGAAATCCCTGCTCGGTGCTTGGTGCTCGCCTGGTGATGTTGATCCTTCTCCTCAGCTCTGTGAGCCGTGGTGTTGCAAGCGGGCTCATCTGATAACAGGTCGCTTTTCTGCAACGGTACTTGGACCTTGCAGCTCACCGTCGTCCCGCGCACATCCGAAAGCTGGACAAGCCACTGCATATCGCTTCCCTACAAGACATTGTCAGGGTTGTTGCAACCGTCGATATCTCTGGTTGCCAGGTTGCCAGTTGCATCCATTGGGTAATGCCCAGCACAATGTCGGAGTTCCTGCGGCTTCGACCGTACAGTCGCTAGGTACCTTGCACCCATCTGCTTACGTCGAACGCAGGCCAGAATAGGACAAGCCTGATTCGACGCGGCGGGCTCGATCGAGCAGGTGCACGCATGCTGCCGAGCCCGGCCTGATGATGGCCGATAATGGTGCTTGCGTCCTGGCTGTACTCCTCCCTTCGAGCGATGTACACTCAAAGTATTCCTATCTAGGCCTGATCGAGTCGGCCAATATTTTCCAACATCCTCGCTAGCTTTTGCCGAAGGACCAGCCAGGCCTCAGAGTAGTAAACATGACATATAAAAACCCTCTTTCCGTCAAGAAGTCTTGCCTGGCCATCCTGTTTTCCTTTTGACAGCAGCAGTCGAGCTTTTGGTCTTTCCTCTGTCGGCCGTACGCAGGCGATCCGGCCCCCAAGATCTTTGCCGCCGCGCACTCGCAACATGTCTCCTCACAATGACGCACCCTCACCGGCCGGCAGCTTTGCCGTCGGCGGCTTCAATGCTTTCCCTCTGCACTCTGCAGCTTCTCATTTTCGTCTGGGGGGTTTCACTACAGCTGAAGCGCCATCACCCCTGAGCAGCTCCTACGACTGCAGCTCCCTCGACGAAGACTTGCACGTTGATCGACCTCTGGTCCCGGGAGTCTACGTCCCTACCATGTGCTTCTTCGAGCACGGCACGGAGAACGTGGATGTAACCACCATTGCCCGCCATGCCGTGCGACTGGCCCGCGCCGGTGTCACCGGCCTGGCCACTCAGGGCTCGAACGGCGAGGCGGTCCACCTCACCCACGAGGAGAGACAGCTGGTCACTGCCACTACCCGGAAGGCCTTGAACGATGCCGGGTACACGCACCTGCCCATCGTCGTTGGCTGCGGCAGCCAGAGCACCCGCGAGACGATCCAGTACTGCTGCGAGGCATGGGAAGCAGGCGGCGACTACGCGCTGGTGCTCCCGCCGTCCTACTATTCCCCGCTCTTCGCACCATCCTGCGGAACGGTCCTCGACTTCTTCACGGCGGTGGCTGACGCCTCGCCCATCCCCATCATCATCTACAACTTCCCGGGGGCGGTGGGCGGGCTCGACCTCTCGTCCGATCTCATCGTCGAGCTGGCGGCACACCCCAACATTGTGGGGGTGAAGCTCACGTGCGGCAACACGGGCAAGCTCAACCGCGTGGTGTCTGCCACGCGCAAGCTCGCCAAGAACTACGACGCCCGCCGGCCAGAGTTCCTTGTCCTCGCCGGGTCGGCCGACTTCACGCTCCAGTCGCTCGTGGCGGGCGGCCACGGCATACTCGCCGGCCTGGCCAACATCGCACCAAAGGCCTGCCTGCAGACCATCGAGCTCTACCGGCAGGGCAAGCTGCGCGAAGCTCAGGAGGTGCAGGACATCGTCGCACAGGGAGATTGGACGGCGATCCAGGGGGGTGTCGTCGGCTCCAAGGCCGGGCTGGAGGAGTGGATGGGCTATGGTGGGTATGCCCGGTCGCCTCTGCCGAAGCCCACGGCAGAGCAGTCCAAGAAGTGGAAGCAAGGTTTCAGGGAGCTAGTTCTGCTGGAAAAGACTTTATGACACTCGCACATGGTGATCGGGATCGTTGTTATCGGATATCAGGACCAGATTAATGATCACTGGAGCATATCTCGGATGCAATGTGACATTTCAACTCTCCCCATTCCCCCCCATTCATTCTCACTGAGACGAGTGCCCTCTTGTGTGCCCTCCTGTGTGCCGTTCGAGTCAGCACGGCAGCATGTACGCAGATGCAAAGGTCTAGTGGGAAGCCTTGGAGTCCTCCGACACGCGTAATCGCCGTGAAAACCTTATGCTGTGAGCCGGATAGCATATCTATCATAAGGTTCTGTCCTCGGCATCATTACGGTGCGGCCCAACCAGTACCACAATGCGCAATGTACCTACCACGGGAACGTGATACGGGCCGAGCCATGTCCTTGCTGCCCAAGAACCCTAATGAAAAGTCAGCATTATCAAGCCATTTTGTCGGTCATAACACCTATTCTACTTGCAGACCTTTTCCCTGGAAAGCTTTCATCTGCACGATTAGCAACTCTGTCCGTTCAACAACAAGTCAAAGTGTTATCAATCTTCCAGTGTGGTCTGCTGCCCTTGTTGCAGGCGATTGCATGTTGTACAGCTCGTTCCACCGAGGCTGGAGGGGAAAACACAGACAATCTCCAGGTCTTTTTTTGAACGTATCCAAGTCATGTAAATTTTCCAGAGCTGTTACGTGAGCGTCCACCCCTTGGTCCGGTACTTTTCCTGGACTCGAAGCACCTTTCAAGTCGTGAATGCTGACACCACATGCGCGAGGTTACGTTATCTTTTTCATTTATTCACGAGCCCTTTGCAAAATCCCGTAAACTCGAGGGCTCAACAATTTTCTCTAGCTTCGGGCTTCGTTCCCGGCTCGCTCGGTCAAGGCCGATGCAGAGAATATGCAGGGTAGTGATGGCTTTTCAATAGCTTAAGAAGGCTGACTGCTTCACGAGAAGTACCCCAGCCGCCACATCGCCAATAACCCTCCGGGGGATGGTTTCACGAAACGACTCAGCTGTCACTGACGGAGAATGTTCCAGGTTTTGATGTTATCTCCGGGAGGTTCAGGTCAAGGATGGGACCGGCTGGGAGTTGCTTGTATTGTATTGAGAATATGATATGTAGCCCACTACTGAAGGAGAACTCGAAGCGAGCATCACGGGACGTGAGGCTCATGGGAACACCCTGGTCTCGACGCGCAGCCCAACAGCACATACCCGACACTGTGACCCTCCATTCCGTGGGCCTGGGAGATTTGGCCTCGAGTGCCTGTGCTGCTGTCTAAACATAGACATGCCATGTGGACGCCACCTCGCGGGGTTCCATGCGCGAAACCGGCTTGGCTGACGCTCTCGGGAGAGCATTCGGGTGAACCATTCCCCAAAGGGCTTCGGTGACCCCTGGAAAAGAACCCCTCTGTCTCGCTCTGCAATCTGCCATCAAAGGTAGATGGCATGTAATCGAGAAAGATGCCAACTGGAAGACGTGGAAGGTCGGACGAAGCCATGGTGGGCTCTTGTGCTACCAATAAACGTCGTACTCGCCATGCTACGGACACGAACAAGCCACCAGTCCTCGAACAAGTGTGGTGGACTCGGGAGCCAACAACGAAAGCGGCACGCTGAGCGAGCATGGAGCGGCCAAAACCGCAACCATACGGCCGGGCGCAGACGAAGGCGACGGCTGACCAGAGCCGGGAGCTCATACGATCCTTGCTTCCTGCCGGCAACCGTCTTGTGCAGCTCGATTGGGGGACTCCATTTTCGTTGGGAGCTGATGAAATGCAGGTGATGTGGGAAAAGAAAAGCGCGCGTACCTTTGCTTTTTCTTCGGTCCTTTCTGACCTGGCGCGCAATGACGATGCGGAGGCGGGTGGGATACGAAGCTGGCGACCCGCAAGGCTGCCCCTTCACATTGGAGGATGCCAAGGGTGAAGGCCTCAAGTGGTTGAGGTGTACGAAACAGGCCCAACCCATGCGTCAATAGCGCCGACAACGTTGGCAGTGGCTTCTGGAGGGAACCGCCATCACCGTCGCTGGCACGAGTGTTGTCATACGTTGCTCCGAGCGGTTTGCGCCCCTAGTCGGGATCGAGTTTGGCGGGCACAAAGAGATCTGCCAGGCTATTCTTCCCACCGTGCAGGCGGTAACATTCGTACCGTTCAAGCCTTCCTTTGCTTTGTTTGGGTCCTCTTCCTTTCGTGTACGGTGGAGATCTGGCGAAGTGACGGTGAAAGATCAGCTCCATGCAGGTACAGCTCACCATGGCGCGAACAGCGCATGGCCTGTGGTGCTGTTACAACAGCCCGGGTGGGCTGTGTAGCTGAAGAGCTTCTCTAGTTGTTCGAAAAGTGCTTTGGAAGTTCCGAGAGTTGAGAGTGAAGAATGACTAGAGTCGGAGAGATATAAAACCGCACTTGTCCTCCATTTCATGACGAAGTCGCTGCATCTCACCATATCTGAGATTTTGTGCCCTGTCAAATTTTTCACGACTGAGGATCTTGCCATAAAACACTCATTACCTTAGTCATGCGGCTACCAAGAGTCTCACTTCTCCTTACAGCGGCCACGGCCGTCAGCGCTCAAGTGGTTGGCATCCTGACAGGCATCAACGTGTCAACAGGCGAGCGACCGGCGAGGCGGAACATCAATGACCTTTATGCAGAGGGAGGACCTGCGTGGTAAGCGATTCCTAAACAAATAGTTAATCTAAAAACACTCCATTTCCTGACAACCTTCCCAGGGATCTTTACATTCAGGGGTTGATATCCCTCCAGAGCGTCAACCAGAGCGACTGGTCGTCGTACTACCAGATAATGGGTATGTCTCGGGGATGGTGATACCGCAAAAGAGATATGAGAAGAACATACTGACGCCTGTGCTACTGACTGTAGGTATTCACGGCCTTCCTTTCACGGGGTACAACGGGGTCGAGCAAGTTCCTGGAGGAGCTCGGATAGGATTCTGCCCTCACGGTGTAAGTCAACTGCTATTTTTCATGAGATATGGAGGCACTAACTAACTGCTGAACAGCAAATCAATTTCGGAACGTGGCATCGTCCTTATGTCGCCCTTTACGAGGTACGTTGCTTTGTTTTCTTCAGAAGAGGTTGTCAAATACCAAACGGCTTTGTTACTAACACCGAACCGAATCCCAGCAAGTCCTTGCACAGCATGTACAAAGGGCGGCAAGCAACTATACTGGTACCCAGGGCCCGGCATACAAGGTTGCGGCGGCAAACTTCCGGATAGGATACTGGGACTGGGCGCACGAGGCGACCTTCCCACCTGTGACAATGCTGCCTACGCTCACCATCAACACCGCCGCCGGACCTGCGACGGTTCGCAACCCGCTGTACGCTTACGGTTTCCAAACCTTTCCATTCACGGATCCAGACTTTGGCGGCCATGGTCAATTGACTAGATATCCACAAACGAAACGATGTGCAAACAGGCGGGGGGAACAGGATTGGACCAAGGCGAACTCTCTGCTGTCAGGCTCGGCCGATTGGTTTAGGGACGCAGTCGTAAGTGATCCATTCTTTGCCTTTTTTTACAAAGGCTTTTGCGCTGACATCTATTACGAAAAGTACGATGTGTTTACCCAAGCCCAAAGCTTTGAGGAGATGACAACCTCTTCCAACTCTGGACCGAGCTTCGAGGATCCTCACAACTCTGTCCACAACGAGGTGGCTTGCTTCGGAGTCAACAACCGATACGGACATATGTCCCAGCTCGCATGGTCCGCATTCGATCCCATATTGTAAGTCGTCCCATCAATATGCTCTTGTGATGGCTTTACCGACTAACCTAGTTCACAAACAGCATGCTGCATCACACCAACGTCGATCGGCTGATAGCCATGTGGCAAGCTATCCATTACAACGACAGCATGTTTACATCTACCGCAAACGGTTTCGCACTCTATGGCGTCCCATACGGACCCGTTACCCCCGACAGCCCACTGAAGCCTTTCAAGGATGCGAGCGGCAATTTCTACACCAGCAAGACGGTTGAGCAGATCAAGACTTTCGGATATACCTACCCCGAGATCCGCGACTGGGCGTACACACGCGATCAGCTATCTGGAGCCGTCATCCAGCAGGTCAATCTTCTGTACGGAGGTGGTTCGGCCGCTTCCGCGGGCAAGACCAAACGCTGGCAGTACTCTCGATTCGCGCGCGGTGCGCTGGAACAGAGGAGCGATGCTGCCAAGGGTTCCCCGCAGCCTGCATCAAAGGACTATGCGGTAGAGATCAAGGTTGAGCGAGAGGAGTTGCCGCTGCCATGTTCCATCGATATCTTCCTGGGCGACTCACGAGTGGGCACGACAGCCATCCTGGGCATGCCCGAAAAGGGTTGTTTCCATTCTTCTATTCCCCTGCGCAGACAACTACAGAGGAAGAATGTGAAACTCGACCAGTCCACGGACGTTGTGGACATGCTGCAGCAAGGTCTTCGCGTGGAGATCTACAAGGTACGTGCCAATTCTATTTTCTTCCAGGGGTTTTGCAGCATTCAGAGGTCCTAAGCTCAGGCGGAACACCTTCACATTGCACAAATATGATGCGAAAAGGACTCGTCGACTAACATTGGACTGTAGGATGATGGCTCAAAAGTGCCCGTCGAGTCGGTCCCGAGCCTGCAGGCGGACATCAAGGCCCGAGACTTTGTTCCGCGGAGGAGCAACTCTGAACTGCCCAAATTTGGCGAGGTGCAACGGCATTCTGTCAAAATCACGACTCCAGAGGGATACGGCGGCCGAGCTCGGTCAGACTGAGCCGAAACTGGCGAGTGGTGAACCCAGGGCACGGAGTTAATGGCTTTGACGGTGTGACGAACGGCCGGAGAGGAGTGTCTCAGCAGGTGTTGGATTTTGACTCGGCAATTTACTTGTCTCGGAGTCCCCGGGACCTGTGTGTAGGAACCCTTCTTTTCAAGGGGTTATGTGGTGGGTATATCTTGATATTCTCGGGTTGGGTACGCTAGGAGGGGGTTATTTGGCTGGTTAGATGCTACGGTCTTCCACTACGCAGCACTTCTACATACATAGGCAACTTCGCATTGGATATCAAAGGGAAAATAGGGAGAGTAGATTAATATTTTTGGCAGATTGTGCCATTTCTTTGAAATCTCCGAATCATCCTGTTGAACCACATATGAAATGTCTTGTTAGCCTCTCTGAGCTACAGCCAGACGGTTGACTGTATCCACGATCCATTGAGCACGGCAGAGCACAGGATTAGGCATGATACTATAAGAGTTAAAGAGTTTTATTCTATCTTCTGCTTCAGCATTGGATACAGGTCTTGCATATCGAAAAGGCCTCCCGCTCATGAAACTCGATCTTTCCACAAGTCTTGTCGAACTGGCTAGGAGCCTTGCCGCAGTACGTCGTGGTGATCTGCTTGCTAGGTCTCGTCTCCTTCCAAACCTTGGAGACCTTGTCATTGAATGTATATTCTTTGTAAATAGGCTTGCGGCAGTTTCCGCAGATGAATGATGTCGTGCATCTTTCGCACATCGTGATGGTTAGGGTGATGATATCTTACGCTTGGGATTGACGGTAGGAGAGTGATAGATGTTTAGCCAACCACGGGACCCAATGAGCTACATCTTCCGATCGTCTTTTTATCATAAAAAGGCCCTCCCATGAATCGCAAATTACCACTGTGAACAATGGTAAGGTTTGGGAACAAGACGAACAAGGCCTTTGATGCGAGCACAAAGACTGGGCTCGCTTCGGAGACAAAGAAAGCCTCATGCAAAGCCACATCGTGAGAGAAAGAAATCGCTTGGCCAGCTTGAGATGCTCCAAAGAGAGACCCTGCATACTTTCCAGCCCTTGTAGCCTCTGAATACCGGTGTCCGATACAAGACAGCGCTGTTGAGACAAATGGATGCAGCACCCAAGGGCGTCTACCCTTGGAGCCTCGCAAAACCCAAGCACTCAGTCGGCAAGATCTGCAAGGCGATGATCTCTTGCTAATTGGATGATTTACAAGCAGAAAAGAAGGGAGGTTGATCAATATCGTTGGCGCATCGTGATGACGCAATTCATCACCCGTGAATCCTGGCCCATTGCGCCTTCCTCTCCTCTACCAAGGCAGACGCCCACCTTCCCTTGCTATAAAATATGTGTTGCCTGCCAGTCTCGTTTGTTAGCATTTGCAGAGATAAAACAGTAATTCTGCAGGGCTTCATCTTTTGCGCATTTCCAAATGTGGCCAATGTCGCTATCGTCTTCTCCTGGAACCCGTTCTCAGCACCGACATCAGGCAACACAGGCATCACTTAGCAAACACTCAACAAGTTCGAATTGCTCGTCAACCAGCCCTGCTTGGCACTTGAGACGACCTTCTGATCGGTGGTCCTGGGCTGTTGTCTGCCAAACCCGTCTGGGATGTCACCCTGAGCGAATCTCTTCGTGGGGTGTCGGACGAAAGCAAAGGTGTGCTGTGAACGCAGCCTAGGGTTACCATTTGGGGGCCAACACATCGTTGGTGATGCCGGGATGTCCTCTCGCGACTTTTAAAACAAGAGATCTCGAAATACACTAGCAGCCCTTCACATGCTTGTGCCCTCAAATTCAGGCTCGGGGATTTGATAGGCCGGCCCGCGCCGAACGAACGAATTTGACTTCAACCGGTCCCAAGCATCGTGGACCCACCTGGTGCCGCATTAACCCTGCCTGGAAGCATAGCACACATCTCCCCGGACGCCGTTATTCAAGATCGGCTGAGGCTCTGAGAGCACGATGCCGGCAGCGACCGAACGGCAGATGTTGCTCGCTCCAAACATGATGGCAATCTTTCAGCGCGAAACGATGCTCAAGCCGTCTGACGAGAGGCACATCGAGATCGAGATCAAGACGTGAGAAACACACCACCCTTGCAGGACATTGGATACAGGATACTCGGGCTCGAGCACACGACACCCTACTTCGTACAGGGCCGCGTCCTCAACCCGCCGCGACACGCTTTTGTGCGTGTGCTCATTACCTTTCACTGGTTAGCACACATCAGAATGTGTGCATCACCACACGGAGCAGGAATTGGGCTGTGGGGGTCATATGCAGGAGCTTTGGCGGTGTCCCTTTTGGCTTGCTGCCGTTTCTCTGATTCGCGGGGCAGGGTAGCCCCAAGACCGTTGCTGGCACAGCCCCGAGGCCAATCAGGGCCGCGCTCATTCTCGTCTCCAGACTCGGGGACATAAAACGTTGCCCAAGTGTGCCTATCGATCCAAGCTCGAGACGGGCCGCCGACCAGTCGAGACCTCGCATGATCGCAGAGCAACATCGATGACTGCATATCCTGCAACGCGGGCAGGTCGTGTCTTGTTTGACCTTACTTCAACCGGCTTGGCGAGGAAGTTCAGGAAGCAGCGCCGCCAATGATAGGATGATCGGACTGCTTTTTGCTTTTTGACGCGAGGGCAGCAATATTTGCAAGACGGGGGAAGCAATTTGCGTCCAACCTTGGGCTGCTCCGCGGGTTGCTCCGCGGGGGCGGAGAGAGAGAGAGGGGCATCCAAGCTTGCATCCCGGTTCACGACAACAATGACGGCTCTACCAGAAGATCAAGTGCAAAGGCAAAGAGCTCAGCTCATGCCAAGTTGAATACGTACTGGCATCTGGCTGAGAGTTTGATGGAAGCTGTTTCTGCTCGGTAATAAATGTCTTGTAAGTCGTTGAAGAGCTGGCGCCGTCTTCCAAGTACATTCTGACTCGGCGCTATCGAGCGATTACGTTACAGGTTTTTCTGATCCAACCAAAAACTGGACCACGGTTTTTTTCCATTTGGTAATGGGCTCTGGCTGTGGTCAATCGCTGCGATTCCACCAAGCACGCCAACGCTGGCGCTGCGAGTATCGAGTACTTGTGCGATACTTAATTTCCATCTCGATGCGCTGTTCTCCACCCTGCCAGACTCGGGTCCGGATTCGTCTCTTGTCAACGAGGAACAACGCTGTACCGGGCAGCCGGTACCTAGAATGCTCCCAGAAGTGAGGCCCAAGGCCCCAGTTTACCCCAGAGTCGCGGGCAGGTCCCAGTGACTCGGCCATGCGGACCATGGTATTTTAGCTTTTACCATTATGTATTTCTGTGTTGAAATGTTTTCTCAAACATGATAAGGCCAAGCTTTCCTTATCAGTCACCATCTCCTGTTTTCAGTGGTCCCTGCAGTGCAGGACCCTTTTTTCCCACCATCTCGCTCGCACGATGCTGACCAAAATCATCACCACTGCCTGTCATGGTGATCGGTGCAGGCATACAATGGCGAGAGACAAGGAACAGCTGGCCACCGCTTCCGAGGTAGCAACGCTGAACCCGCTTTCGTTCCTCGAGTTGCGGGCCCCCCTCCGAGGCGAAGCTGCCAGACATCCATCACTCTCCGTATCCATACACATTCGTCATGGTCTATTCGTCCATCTCTGTTCACTTTTCTCCCCGGTGGTGTCCCGCAGCTGCTGCAAATCATGGGGGGTTAAAGCCTGATCAACCCAGTCTACCTGCTTACTGACATGTACAAACCACATCTTCCCTTTTCTAGTTACATGACGTACGTACCTTGTAATTAGGGCTACCAAAGAGTCTGTGGGTTTTCCACTTCTGGCTGGCTGCACCTCCTCTGGTACGTGGTATCTATCTATATGCATGCATCCAAAGGTAGGTATCTCCAATTTACACCGCAACGACACAGCACATTCCATGGCCCGTTTTGACTTACAGCTAAGACAGACTAGGGTCCCGCTTAGAGTCACCGTATTCTCCCGCGTCCTCGTAGCCTAGCGTCATTTTTTATGCTCTTCCAAGGTTGCCTCAATAACTCTACGCACCGGCAGTCCGTCCAGTCTGGTGCCGGTGCGCTTGCTGGCACCAGCACCCGCGCCAATTCGAGGGCTCCGCTACGTGCTCTTAAAGTAAGTACAAGTAGGTAATCAACACCACCAATCCAACCTTAGATAAGGCATATGACAACGATTCTGCGAGTCTATTTGCCATTCGGCGGATTTGCGACCACCCCCTAGCACTCTCCCTTTTCCCTCATACCTCCGTACCTTGAATCCTCATCTCGTTGTCCAGTCTTGGTGGGACCTCCTGTTCTAAATACCTCGAACCACAACCCTATCTCGAGCTGCTGCTTCTCTTTTTCCGGCCGTCTGCCCCAATCGGACACGGATCTGCGGCCTGCTCGTGCTTGGCTGAACGCAGCTATCTCTGTGGCTGTCATTGTCATTGCGGGTCAAGACAAAAGACGTTGTGACCGAGTCCTCTTACTCTACGGCCAAGAGAGCCCCAATCCAATGACGCGGATAAGCCAGTCTCGTCTTATCCTTGTCTCGATCGTCACATAACCGGCTGGACCCAGGACCACCACCCAAACCACGCCAACCCACCTTTCGATCTGCTCTCTGGGGGTGCGCCTCTCTCTTACGGAGCATTTTGCCGCCTCATCAACGGCGACGGCGTGCATCTTGCTGCTGCGCCTCTCCGCTCCCGACCCTTTTATCTCTCTCAAAAGACCCCATCCATCCACTTGCCCCAAGAGGGGCTCCGCGCCCTGTCTGCTCCCCCTCCAGATCTATCACACTGATAAGCTCAAGCCTTGTGTGTAACTGTCAAAGATCTGTGACTTTCTCTCCCCCAATCCGCGCCCCGGGTCCGTCAGGCACGCAGAAAGAAACGTGGGCTGGTCTGGATAGACTTGAAGCAACACACCACTGCACCGCAGCATTGGTCTGACCTGTCTGTCGCGTGCTCCCCGCTCCTTCAACCCCCCCAATTGCTCTTCTTCTTTCCTCTTACAGGTCTTATCTATCTCCCCATCCCGTTCCTTATCAGTCCCTCCCTCCCTCCTTGCGGTGCAATCTCAACGCTTCGGACGAGGCCATCCGCGTCTCGGCAGGTCGTGGACCCTGTACTCGCATAAGCAGGATCGATTCTGCTTGGTTCGCTGGAGACCCATTACATCACATCCTGCCGCGGGGCTCGATATCGAGACAGTCCTTGCCTCCTAGATATCCCGGCACGCGGCGGTGGCATCTGCTTAGCTCCGGGCACTGGTCCAGCGCAGCCCTGCTTGGCCACGCCGGCCATCTGGTGTTTTCTGATTATCTGTTCCCCAGCATTGCCATTCCTGTGACTGGTCTGCTTATCCGGCACCGATCAGATCCCCCCCGTCTTCCTTTCCTTTAAAGCATCCACCATGTCCACCCCCAGTGCCGTCGCCCGGACGGCTCCTATCGCCATTGCACCCAAACCTTCCCGTCCACCCTACCCTCCCAGCCGTCAAGGTAGCGCTATATACAGCGAGGGATATGCCAGCAGTCTTGGGGCGGGCTTCGACTCGCCAGACACCGGTTCACCGCTGACAGGACACTCGTCGATTCCTTGCGACGTCTGCCAGCGTCGCCGCATCAAGTGCGTCACCACGGACAACGACGACGGCAGCTGCATTTCATGCCAGGTGAACGGCAACGAGTGCTCTCTTGTCGGAAGCCCGCAGCCGCTAAAAAGGAAGCTCAATGGTGACCTGGAAGAGAGCCATAACAAGCGCGGGTAAGAACTCCCCAGCATCCCGAGTTCGCGCTTTTTCGCAATTGCAATTTATAGGAGCTGAATGTCGGGCTCTTCCTCTTTGAGCCCGACTGCGTACTTTTATCCGATCTATTCGTCTGCATTGTTTGTTGGTTATGTGCTGCTATCCTTTTGCGCGTTCGAATTCCCCGAACAGCCATGTGTGTTTTTGTGCGCAGAAGTCATTATCTAACACCCGATTGGCCCGTATAGTTCACCTGGAAGATCCGACCTCAGGAGGAGGAGGCCGCACCAGTCCAGCCTATCGAGCACTGCTACGAGTGCGGCACTTATTGAAGACATGGCCAACATAGGCGGGCCGCACCTGCTCAAGCGGACTTTAGGTCTGCAGCAAGACCGGTACTCTCAGTACATCGGACCGACGACTGATTTTGAGCCGTCACTGATCAACCTGTCGTCTTTTGACCCGCACGATGAAAGCCTCCTTGCGAGGGGCACTCTCCGCAAAGTCAGCGATATCGACACCTTTCTTATGCTACCCGACAACCTCACGCCTGGGTATGAGCACATTACCGAAGACCTCGAGGAGATCGAGAGGCTCGTGGCACCACACGGCCGCAAGCTAATAGACATATACTTTCGGGTCGTGCACCCGGGGTTTCCCATCATCCAGAAAACAGTCTTTTACGAGAAGTACGAGCGGTCATACCGGGAGTTCGCGCCGTGTCTTCTCGCTGCGATCTACCTTTTGGCGATCAACTGGTGGGACCAGGATGAGACGCTCTCTGCTTACCCACGACCCAAGGTCCGAGAGCTGGAGAGGCTGGTAAGGACGACACTTGCAGATGCGATGTTCAGGCCAAAGCTCTCGACGATACAAGCTGGGCTCTTGTTGTCGCAACGGCCCGAGGGGGATCAGTGGGCACCTACGGCGCAACTGGTCGCGATCGCACAGGAGCTAGGCCTTCACCTGGACTGCTCTGGTTGGAAGATCCCACCTTGGGAGAAGGGGCTGAGGAAACGACTCGCCTGGGCCTTGTACATGCAAGACAAATGGGGCGCTCTGGTCCATGGACGGCCCTCGCATATTTTCACTTCGAACTGGGCAGTGCAGCCTCTGACACCGAATGATTTTCCGGACGTCGAATCGGAGGAGGACGGCGTTGAGGAGAGGATCGAGATCGAGCAGGGACGCACGCTGTATGCGCAAATGGTCGTCTTGTCCCAGATCCTGGCCGAGATTCTGTACACGTTTTACACGTTGCAGGCAAATCAGACGGTGACAAACGCGGGAGCCCAAGGGACACATCTCGTCTTGTCACTTGCCAAACCCATACAGTTGAAGCTCAAGGACTGGTACTCTGGCCTCCCTCAGCAGATCAGGATGGATTCGTCGTTGACGACCACAAACACCCCCTCGAGTCGGCTGTCCAGCATCGGCTACCTGCACCTCGCCTACTTCGCCACCGAGATCACCCTCCACCGCCGCATCATTCGCTCCATGGCGGCCGCCGACGCCGGCCCCAACGGGGTCAACCCCTCGACCCCGCCTTCGGGCCAGGGCGCCGTCGACCCGTACGTGCAGCACATCTGCCGCTCGGCGGCCAAGGCGCGCCTCATCTCGGCGATGGACTTTGTCAACCGCCTGACGCCGCAGCACCTCCGCTCCTTCTGGTACTTTGCCTCCAAGACCAACTTCGCCCTCATCGGCACCTTCGGCTCCCTGCTCTGGGCGACGTCGCCGGGCCGCGAGGAGGCGGACTGGTACCGCCGCCGCCTCGGCGAGTACCGCTGGACGCTGTCGGTGTCGTCCAAGCCCGGGGAGGGCAGCCGGGGCCTGACCGACTTCGCCATGGGCATGCTCGACATCAGCACGGGCCTGCTCAAGCAGCTGCCCGAGAAGCCGATCCTGAGCCGCAGCGGCAGCATGGCCGACATGGACGCCGCGCGGCGGCAGAGCATGCTGGCGCTCGGCAACGACGGCGGTGGTGGTGGCGGCGGCGGCATGGGCATAGGCATGGGCATGGGAGGGGGTAGTATTGCCGGCAGCGGCGTGGGCAGCTACAGCGGCCTGCCGAGCATCGGGGGCAGCGGGATGCAGAGCCCGCAGAGCGAGAGCGGGGACAGCAGCGACGAGGAGATGTACGGTAGCTTTGCGCCGACGTCGGGCATGGCTGGTATGGGGGAGTAAGTGAGCAGATTTCGACTACGTGTGCGGGGGTCTTTTTCGTATCGGGATGGACGGTTGCGGAAGGGGCAGGGGATAAAAGAGACGGATTCAAAGGGGGGGTGGTTGGATGTGGCTGGGTTAATGATCGGTATATGGCAACCTCGGACAAAAAGGACCGGATGGACTGTTCTTTTCACGACAATTTCGGCCCTGCTACTTTCTTCTTTTGGTTAACATGACGCTGCCTCGGGCAGCTGAACGACACAAATGACGGGTTCATACTAGATGGGTTTTTGCGCGTCTGGGAGATTTCTGCAACTTCAGCATCTATCTTCTTTGCATGCATGGCATGGGACTATTCATGGATGGGACGGACGGAAGCGCAATGTCTGTGTGCGTTTTCAAACCCCTTCTTGTTCTGGTGTCTCCATTGATACCCCCCTTGGTCTTTTTTTCTTTTTCTTTCTTTCTTTCTTTCTTATTTTTTTCCTGATTAGGCACGGACATTTTGATCATTGATAGACTACTACAACTCTGGTTTCTTTGTTACAGTCTCCTGATATCTCGCTAAGCCATGGCTGCTAGGTCTGGCTGCTGGGACTTGTTTTCTCTGCTGTGTGGACATGGACATGACAGCACTGCATGGCTGGCTGACTGGTTCGTCTGGTCTGACCTTGCTAGACAACCTCCTAATTTGATAGTGGATAGCTTGATGTTGCATGATAGAGAAGAGATATACACGAGAGTTGAGTGTGAGTAACTAAACTATTGGTGAGATAGACTGTGTTGGGATGCGTTGTGGGTCGTCAATGAGTAGTAGGGAAATTCTATCAAGCAGTTGAGATAACTCTTTTGCCCGAACATGTCCGTGAAAATGTGATGGTGGTGATGATTGGGACATGAATCACGGTAATGAGGATCACAAGCAGCCTTTCGCGAGCTCCTTCCAGGCTCATAGCGCATCCTCTCAAAACATTCTTGGCAATCGCTCAAGGTCAGTGTGTCGGATGCCACTCTTTGACTTGCTTGCATTGCTCCTGAGGGAACCCTTCTTTGTTCCTGAGGAGTCGCTGCATATAATTAGAATCGCTGCGTGGCTGCTACCTGAATCTCCTTTTCTTCAAACACATCTTTGTGTGTTTCTAGATCTATTCTCGGACCAAAGAGCCAGGAGTCTCTTTGTCTGCGCTTGGGCAACTGAATAATTTTCTCAACATTCGTGTAAACATATGGCCTTGCGGTCCCAGCACAACCCTCATGAGCACTTGAGACAAAGAGAGGACCAAGAGAACCATACTGCCAGGCCAGGCTTTGTTCAGACTCATCCAAGTTGAGGGAGATGAAACTTTGCCCATGGAGCCGTATAAAGTTCATCATGATGACCCCTTTCAGGGGGGACAGTTGTGCTCTTGAACATTGGAAGAACCGTACACGAGAACAGCGACTCAGTAAAGAGATCACTAACCATCATAACCCCCTATCCAACCTTACTAGGGGCCAGGTTTCTCACATCTATATACACATATATATTCCCAGCAAGGGACAGTTCAAAATGAAGGAGAGAAGCAGCTCCGTGGCCTCGAACCACACCGAGAGGGAAAGGGGGAAACGCATCGGCGGCTCGCGGCCGGCCGCGGGCAGTCCCTCGCGAGTCGAGAAGTCCTACAGCAGGGACAGCTCCAGCCGCTCGAACCACTCGACCAGGCGGCCGCAATACACGACCACCTCGCGGGCCGAGGTGAGCGCCAGGGAGTCCAGGGACATCAGGCGTTCCATCTCGACCGCCAGCCGGCGGCCCACCTCCCTCCGGAACGAGGTGCTGATCAACGAGGGCAGGGCCGTCGCCGCTCGGCAGCAGGAGGCGAGGACGCCCAGGAGATCATCTGTCTCCGCCGCCCGGGCCCCGGCCTCGGCTACGACCGCGCCAGCTGGTCTGGCCCTCGCGAGCCCAACGTCCCCGGGGAACACCCAGCTCCCCTTCTACCCCTATGACCCCTCCCAGTTTCCCAGCACGCCCTCCCCACAACCCCTTACCCCGACGACCCCGCGCCCAGGCAGCTCCAGCTCGCAACAGCGCAGGCCAACCCCAGGGGACCGGTTCGCCGAGCTCCGGCGCACGGTCCGCAGGCTCAGCGCGCAGGTCGAGGCTTCGGAAGGCAAGGTGCTCGCCTTGCACCGGACGAGCGACCGGCGGCATGACAGGCGCGACTACTTCCTGGGCCAGATCATGAGCATCCCGCACCACTCGCAGGCGGGATCCGACGACTCGGGCATGCGCACGCCCATCAACGGCGGCGAGTGCTCCCCTCCCGAAGTCTTCTACAGCCCCGTCATGCCGAGCAGCCCCGCCAGTAGCGACGGCGGCGGCGCGTTCTCCCCGGTGTTGTGGTCGCCCGCCTGGAGCCGTCGGAGCTCCGTCGCCGACGGCCTGCCCCCCTGGGACCCCGCGCGGGCCCGCAACAGCGTCTCCTTCCTCGACGCGTCAGACCCGCACTGCACGGCGACCGGCTTCGGCACCGTGCACTCCAAGTACCGGAAAGTCGTCGTCGTGGGCGTCTACGCGACGCACGTCACCGCCCTGCCCATCTACACATACTCGGGGCGCGGGGCGGCGCGCCTGCGCTCGGGCCGGCGGAACGAGTGCGTCTCGATCCGCGACGTCGACGACGCCAACCCAGAGCCAGCCGAGACGGCGCACGGCACGCTATACTGCGAGAAGGACGCCGGCGCGCCGTGCGGGCGGTTCGTGGTGCAGGGGCTCAGCTCGGTGCACCTGACGGAGCCCATCACGCACCGTTACGACCACGAGGCGACGTTCGAGGGCCGGATGATGGAGGAGGACTTTGAACGGCTGCTGTACCTGATGAACAAGATCTGCTGGCCTACCCAGCAGGACTTCAGGGATCAGGTGGAAAACGGCACGTCTAGATTGAAACGGCGTCCGCGGCCGCGGGCTGGGCGGGGGACGATAGAGGGTTCATCGGCTGGGCGGGGGGGGATAGAGGGTTTATCAAATGAAGTCACGGCCTTGCTGGCAAGATATTCCGCTGGGAAATAATGACTAGATATTTATGATATAGAGAATGTTAATGCAGCATGGGAATGTAGAAACTCGTCAAGAATCACACGTTCATCGCAAGAAGAGGGTATATTCAATGAGTGAGAAAACAGGGCCCGGAAAGCCCAATGACAATCGTACAGAAAACCTGATAAGATGGGACAATGAAAAATGGACTTAGCGACCTTCGATCTTCAGGCATTGACGTGCAACAGACCACTAGCCATCTCGCACCCCGTTAAACACAAGTAGAGGACAGCACTCGTCCAAGGAGCGAGGCCCAGCCTTCAGCCGCTCAACTCAAATTTGCTAGTCGGTCGCAGGGGCAGATCCGACTTCTCGTACACCATGTCCACCATTTTCATCTGGGAGATGGTGTCTTCGTTCTCGACATAGAGACCAGAGCCCTGACGGCCGCGGACACGGTTGATAAACTGTTCGAGCTGATGGCGGTACGACAACCAGTACGGCTCGCTTGGCTGGTCGAGGATGCCAGCATCGCGGAAAGTGTAGATCTTCTTGGACTCGGTGGTCGTCCATCGCTTGATGACGTTGCCGCTGCTCTTCTCGCGCAACACGAATTCGTCCTCGAGGTCAATGCGATGCCAGAAGCCGGAAACCATGTAGTTGTGCAGTTTCAACTTGCGGGCCCGTGTCTTCTCCTGTTCGGCTGGCAGTTGATCATCGGGCACGGGGACGGGGTTGTGAGTGACCTCGACTCGGGGCACTGTCAATTTCCACCCGGCCTGCAGGTCGGCCTCCGCTTCTCCAACGATTCCTCCGGGAAATCTGAACTTGGCCTTGACGGCAGAATCGCAGAGCTCGTTTGGTGGAGGACACTTCCTGAGTGTGCACTCGAGGCACTCCTCCGGCTCCGCACCAGTGACTCCACGCAGGACGGAGAGCTGGTAGGTGCCGAGATCCATGACTGTGCCACCGGCAAGTTCGTACTTGAAGCGGATGTCATTCTTGTCGAGGAAGACAGACGGCAATCTCACCACGGAATACACGTGAGATAGATTCGGCCTGTCCACGAGGGACAGGAAGTACTGCCATGTAGGCTGGAAGCGATAGTGGAAAGCCTCCATCACGACAGGTGCATTGGGCTGCTTGAGGAGAGGATGGCGGAAGAGAGACTCGGCCTCCGAGGCATTGGACGTGGCTGGTTTCTCCAGCAAGACATGCTTCCCCTTGGCGATGGCCTTGAGGGCCCACTCGTAGTGTAGTCCATTGGGGAGTGGGATGTAGACTGCATCGATGGAAGGGTCGTCGAGGATGGCTTTGCCGATGTTAGTGCACTCAAACTCCTGCCCTGAAGGAATGGGAGAGAGGGGTGGATGAGCTACCTTGGTAGTTGTCAAAGACTTGGGGGATGCCATGCTTCTTGGCAAAGGCTATTGCCCTGTCCTTATCGCGCGCTGCAACGCCCTGAACGATAACCTCTGGATGCGATTTGGCGGGCGTGATAAATGCGACGGGACTGGAGGTGGTTGTTAGAAGGATGCTCAGTACCCCCAGCACGAGGATTTAGAGTTCTTACGCAATGCTTGCAGCTCCCAGGATGCCAAACTTGAGAGCATCGGCAGTTTTGGGTGCTTCGGGCGGATTGAACGCCTGACGCATGCGTTGAACCAAGCCGAAGAAAGACGCCATGGTCGAGAGTCGGCAGAGCACTTAGTCTACCTGGTTGAAGCAGCGCATCAGTTCTGCGACGGTGATGGGAGATGGGGAGGCTGAACGGAATTGACAAATGGTGGCGGGTGGTGATGGTCGCTGGCCAGCTGTTTCGCCCTTTCCGTTTACAGGTACAAAATGCGACGTGACATGCCTGACATAGCAAGAGCGAGCCTCACACTCATATCTTGATCCGTTGTTGCCTACTCGCTTTGAGAAGCTTGGCTTTGCACGCCCAACTGCTTCCGTTTTCGAGTCAATTTTTACTGTCCCAGCTACTTACTTGTAATACCTACCTACCTATTCTTGATTGAAGTTGCGGGTTGTTCAGGATTACACAAGGCACCTGGTACCGAAATGACTGACATCCTCCTCCTGGCGGAGTATCCTGTGACTGACCACGTTCCGTCCGTAATTTCAAGGGGAGCAGGAACTGATGCACAGCAAGAATACAGCCATGGACGAATGAGCAAGGTATTATTAAAAGCTGAACAGAGGTTGGTTGAAGCGATTCCTGCTCTCATGTGCTGTACTTGTAACACCTGCAACTCGGTCGGGAAACGCAGTGTGGAGCGCCGGCCTAGCGATCCACGAATCAAGTGTGCACACAAGAGACCTGGAGAGGCACGAACCGAGCCTGGTTCAACTCGCATTGGTCCGAATACCGACACAAAAGAATTCGCAAGCTATTCGCCAACCCTGTGCTCTCTCTCGGAGGCGTGAGAGAGAGCGAGGTCCGTTGGAGACCGTGGGCGGATTCAACCGATGCATTGTAGTGTTTCCTCGTCGGAAAAGAGTTTGGCAGCGACAACAGAGTGGGTGGTGCATTTGGGTCACGGGCTCACAGCAGTAGCAGCTTGATACTGGAAGACTCACCTCAACCAACCACAACCCGTCTAGCGTGCGCCCAAGGTGAAGCATAACGGCGAGTGGATGGTGAGTGGTGCTGTGCTGCAGGAAACCGCCTAAAAGGTCATCATGATCAGTGCCTGTGCTTTTTATCCTCTCTCTTGTTCCTGTTTCGACTTTGGGGGGAAGGAGAGCACGGAAGATCGGGTCTAGAACGCCAGCTCATTCGCCTAGTCGGGGACCGCTACTGCAAGGCTGTCGACCCTGTGCTCTGACAGAAGGCCAATCAGCGACCCGCCTGGGCGACCCTGGCGGCGGGGCGCTGCCGCTGTCGAAATTAGCCCAAGTAACTGCCATGTCAAGGTTACCCCCGGCAGAGCAGCCGGCGAGTCAGTGGCACGCCAGATGACGAGGTCTCCTGTTCGCGGGCGCTACCTGTCGCAATCTCTCGGGTGGGCATTGTACGATTCCCCTCCTCAGCCTTCCACAGGTGGTCTGATTTCTGCAATTCTTGCAACAGTAGACACAGCGACCATTGGCACAGAGGAACCACCCAGAGAAAAAGACTCCATCCACTCCAGGTCAGGCCATGCCATTCCCGTCGCTGTAGGAGGGTGGTGCATTGGGAAAGAAGGGGGACGCGGACACAGTTTTTGATGAGAGACAGCGAGAGAGAGAGAGGCCACAGAGTAGCAGACCAATTCATTCCCCCATCCCTCCATCCCTCATCCCGCTGTCGTGTGTGGGTTATACGTGCTGTGTGTGTCGTTTCATGCCCTCTGTCCGGGAATTTTTCTGTTCAAGTGCAACCGCTTGCTGTCATTGCCGCGAGAGCGAGGCTTGCTTGACTGTCGCAGACACACCACCAAAAAGTCAGCCCACTTTCTCTCCCTCCATCTGCCTCTCTTGCTCTCTCGCCTCTCTACCCACAAGCACCCGAACGCCACTGGTTGAGCTGCGTTGAGCAAAGCGAAGCAAAGCAAGGCCAGAGCCAAAGCCTCCCAGACACGCAGACCACCGCCAGACCGACAAAGCGACCGCTCCGACTCGCTCCTCTGTGTGAACCACCCCCGTCCGACATTCGATCCCGCCTGTCGACCCTCTTTTCGCATGCCAATTTGCTGCTGTACAGCTCATTGAGAGACACCTATTCCTCTCGGCACCACGAATTTCGGCACTTGACGCATTCGAGCAGCCCATCGCCGACGCGCTCCCAGCCTGTGTACGACCGTCCAGTCTCCAGTCGCTCTCACCCCTCGCGATCTACGATCCGACTCTGCAGCTCGCACGCGACTCGTCAGTCCTTGCTCCTCGATCCGACACTCTCCTCAGCTGGGCCCGGCATCACCTGTCTGCGCACACCTCCCCAGCGGTGGCGACTTGCCAACGTCTCTGAACCCCATCCACCCACGTCGAAGCGCCCCAACCAAGTTCCGCTTGCATCCGCTGCCTCGGCGCTCGTCACCAGAGGTCCTCTGTTGCATGCGATTCGCCTGTGACTGGCATCGGAACCCAGCTTGAACGACGTAGGGATATCCGGAGTGGCCTTACCGGGCCCGTTCCCACCTAGATTGGGTTAACCTTTGCGAGCACCACCGATCGCTTAGCACCACCGAGCCTACAAGATCCTCGATCGCCTTCTGATCTTGACCTTCCCTCGCGCGCGCCGCCGAACCATGCATGTCTGTCTCTGAACCACCCTTTGATCTCATCCCAGCCGGCTTTGGCGTCGTTCCAACGCCCAGGAGTGTCCTGCAGAAGATTGGATCCATCACCCCACGACAGCCACCAAGGCGGAATGCTCAGGTGACCATGGATCCCAATCTCCTCCGACAGATGCAATATTTCTCGGTTCCCAATAACCAGGTACGGGCTGTTCTAGATGCCTCAAGTGCCTTGTCAGGCTCCTCACCTAGCGGCCCTCCATGCTGACATTCACCAGACCTCCAACCGTAGTGACCAGTCTGTTGACCCAGCGGGGTCGTCTTCCACGCAGCCAACCTCCCTCTGGGACCCCCTCGCTCTCAATGTCGATGGCACGCTAGCAGGTTCGTCGACGATACCGTCGAATTTCTCATTTGGGAACTATCCTCAGTCCACGGCCCCGACGACGCCATCCTTCAGTGCCTCGACGCTCGGTCACCCTCTATACGGACAGGCGCCTAGACCTATCTTGCCGACGAGGACACCGAGGTCGAGGGACGGACGTGAGAGGAAACGCTCAAAACTGAGCACCGAGTCGACGCCCTTTGATTCGGTCGACTACTGGCTGCAGTTTGACGGCAATCAGGACCCCGTGGCGGACAGTTCAAGTGCTGAACCATCCGTCTCAAACATGTCGAACCCGCATAAGAGGAGCCGGACGGCGGCCTCACAGTAATACTTCCCTCTCTTTCCTCCTTGTTCTGCTTCCATTATGTACTAATACAGGTCTAGACAAGCGTCAAACCCACCGGCGGCAGCAGGTTCCTCTTCCAATGCGCCATTGAAAGCAGAGGAGTCGGCCGACGATACAGCCTTGGAGAAGGCCCTATCAGACGAGGATGACCTGTTTTCTATGAGCTTGGCGGATCAAATGTCCAAGATTGAGTCCATGCCACCGGCAGATATACCACAGCGGGAGGGGCTCTACTCAACACCCCTGAGCTGGGAGAAACCTCAGATGGGACTCCGTTTCGATTCTCTCATGGGGCTGCAGCCGCCGTCATTGAACGAGGCAGAACAACGGCGGCTGATAGCGATAGCAATGAACTCGGGCAGCTCTATGGGCGGGCTGGGCTCCGATATCCCCTTCAGTTTTGGGGCGGCCTACCCTCCCAACTTCAGCTCAGGGTTCGGAAGCATGGGGATGGACCAGATCACCGACATGGCACCACACCCGAAACCCGAGCCGCCAGAGGACTCGGACCAGAATGCTGAGGGATCATCCTCGCGCGCGCAGGCGTCATCAGCCAAGCCGAGCGCATCAGACAAGGGCAAGGAGAAGGCCCTACCCATCCCGGGCGACAGGACGGCGCACAACGATATCGAGCGTAAATATCGCACGAATCTGAAGGACAAGATCTCGGAGCTCCGAGACGCGGTTCCAGCACTGCGCACGATACCTGAGAACTCGGTCGATGACGGGGACAGCTCCAACAACCCGTCGAGAGCACCCAAAGTCAGCAAGGTAAGTCCTGCATTGAAGATCAGCCGTGTGTGGCTACAAGTTCTCACGGGGAGAAAGCTAACACGAATATTCTCCTAGGGAACTGTGCTGACCAAGGCCACGGAGTACATCCACTACCTTGAGAAGAAGAACAAAGCCATTATGCAGCAACACCAGGAGTTGTCGAGGCGGCTGCAGGCCTTTGAGCAGCTGCTCAACGCTACCGCCCGACCATCCTACCAGATGCCGATGTACAGCCGGACTTTATTCGATCCCAGAGCATTCTGTTAAGTGTGGACTCGAAGAAGGAGGGTTACGATCATACGATGGTCTTTACGGTCATTGTCTACCTAGGAACACTCGTTGCGCCGGAGTTTCAACGATGTCTTTTGAGAAAACGTCCATCTGATATGCCAACTCTTGAATGTCTTTTGGTCATTTATGATGCACGGGAATGGTTGCATCAGCGTTGCTTTTTACAACTCCGGCCGATCTCGAATGGGAAAAACGGCGTCAGCAGCACTGGGGCCCAGGACTATAACTACTGTATGAAGGTGTTCTGTTACATATACATACGGATAGATGGCGCAATATCAGGCGCAAGGTGAAATTAAGGGGGGGGAATATCAAAAAGTGAGAAGAGAGTTGTATGGGAGCTTTGATGAACGAGAAAGAGATACAGAGCCGCATCAGCTTTTGGGGACGCGGAAAGTCTTTAATGATTCTACGAAGCGTACCAAGCAGCTACTTTTTTTTATATTATATCCGCATTGTCGTCTTCTGACGCCGGCACGATCAAATCTCACCGAGCATTGAAATATTGAGCAACCTTGACTGGTGGGGATGTATAAATATCTATGTAGGATTGGGTTTGATACTGAGCGAATCTCTTCCTCTGGCTTGATGATTCTGTCGAACTTTTCTTTTCTACATTTGTACTTTTAATATTACATATTGATCAATACACCTGCTGCGCGCTGCGCAATTGACAGCATCTATCATGCACTCGTACACTCCTATCCTCACCACCGACTCATGATCTAGTCTATCCCATACTCCCACCCCCAACTGCTCCCACAGTCTCGGGATGGGTCACCACCGCCTACTGCTCCCGCAGCGCCTCGATGTCGTCGACCTCCTTGACCGCCTCGGTGGTGAGGATGTAGGGGTCCTCCTCGCCTACGCACACGCTGTCCTCGATGCGGACGCCCATGCCGCGGAAGTGCGCCGGCCAGCGCGCGTCGTCGGGCACGTACACGCCCGGCTCGACGGTGACGCAGTGGCCCGGGCGCAGGGCCACGTGCCGCGGGTAGCCGGGGGTGTCGTGGACGTCGAGGCCGACGTAGTGGCCGACGTGGTGCGGGAAGAGGACCGACATGGCGTCGCCCGAGGTGTCGAAGCCGAGCTCGACCAGCCCGGCGCGCAGGGCGTCCTCGACGACGGCGTGGATGCGGTCGAGGCTGAGGCCCGCGGCGGCGCGGCAGAGGGAGACGCCCGTGCGCTGGGCGCGCAGGACGGCCGAGTACAGGTCGCGCTGGGCGGGGGCGAAGCGGCCCGAGGCGGGCCAGGTGCGCGTGATGTCGGCGACGTAGGTGCCGTACTCGCCGCCGGCGTCGACGAGGACCATCTCGTCGGCCCGGAGGGCGGCGTTGTTCTGCACGTAGTGGATCATGCGGCCGCGGGGCCCGCCGGCGACGACGGGCACGTAGGCCTGGCCGTCGAGCCCGGACAGGGCGTACTCGTTGTCCAGGAAGGCGGCGAGCTGGCGCTCCGAGGCCCAGGGGCGGCGCATGGCGTCGGTCAGGGCGCGGCCCGACAGCCGGCCCGCGCGGCGCATGTTGGCGACCTCGGCCTCGCTCTTGATGGCGCGCTGGGCGTGGACGAGCGGGGCGAGGGGCTGGGCGCGCAGGCGGCCGAGCAGCGCGGCGAACTTGGTGTCGCGGCCGCCGCGGCTGAGCTCGATGTCGGTGTAGACCTTCTTGGCGCCCTTGAGGAGGCGCGGCAGCTCGGCGTCGACGGCGTTGATGTCGAGGGCCTCGTCGGCGTTGAAGACGTCCTGGGCGGCCTGGGTGCCGCTCCAGGGCCCCGACCACTGCTCGGCGCGGGGGTCCTTGGGGCGGACGAAGAGGGCGAAGAGGAAGTCCTCCGGCTGGGGCCCGGTCTTGCGGATGACGGCGAGGGAGTCTTGCTCGGCGAAGCCGGTGAGGTAGAGGAAGTTGGAGTCTTGTCGGTAGGGGTAGAAGACGGCGCCGGAGCGGTACTTGAGGTCGGCGGCGGCGAGGACGGCGACCGAGTCCGGGGCCAGCTGCGCGGCCAGCGCGGCGCGGCGGTCGTGGTACTCCTGGGCGGATATGCCTGGGGTGACTGTTTGGAGGAGGAGAGAGCGGCGTGTTAGCTAGCTGTTGTGAGAGAGATATTAGGGGGAGGAAGGCCGGTGCTGTAGACTGTATAAATAGTGGCTGCTTACTTTCGCCGGGCTTGAGGAGGTGGGGATGCGTCTCATATACCGGCTGGCCGAAGGTGAGGTCCGAGGCCGAGACGGCGGAAGCGTAGCATCTTCTGGGCCATGGTTGCGATATGCTGGATAGGGCTGTGCATTGCCTGGTCCGTACGGGTATAGGTAGCCTCGCGGCGGTCCGGGGTATATGTTGCCGTGTTAATTGCCCGAGAGGGCCGGCCCGTAGCTTCATTGTTGTGAGCCGGTTCAATCAAGAGAGGCGCATGATCTTATGATCGGTAGTGGAAGTTGGGGCGTGTGTGTGAAGAACAAAAATACCCCACGTTTTTGTTCCGCAGCCAGATACGGATAGATATATAACCAAGGATGTCTGCTACCGGAATCTCATGACTGAACACCCTTGACGATAAGAAAAGGAAGACAAGGCAATTTCACGACTGATGTCAACACGCAGTGCCGTGAGTTGAGTGGGATGGCTGTTTGGAGAGAGGATAGCCCGACTTTACATGTAGTCTACAAGTACAAATTGATATCAGATAACGAAGCACAGGCGACTGGACTGACTCCTTCTAGAAATGTTCCACGCGATTGCCGGATAGGTACCTTACTTCGCACAGCTGTGGGCGTGGCCTGCGCTGGGAAACGGCGGTTGCTGTGCGGGCGGTGGGTGCCTGCGTCGTGTGGCCCGTGCTGCAGCGAGCCTTTCCATAGTGGGATTATTATTGTTGACTGACAAACCAGATCCGGCACGCTGCCCCGAAAATACGCCCAGGGAACGCCCTTGCGCGGTCCACGGTAGGGGACTCGAGCTTTGCCTGCTTACACGACACGGTCTTGCTCTGCTCTCTCTCTCTCTCTCTCTCTTGCGTCTTGTGCTCAATAAGCTTCCCTCAAAGACCACACACACCACCATCGCAGCTTTAAACCTACTCCGTAGCTCTCGGGAACGAGACTGTCAAGAGGATAAGCCTCAATTGAGCCCTAGTTTTTTCTCTCTCTTTTTCCTTTTCCCATTTACTGCACTTTTCTGCACCGTCGTTTTCTGTGCGAGTTCCTTGCTTGAGCTGGAGTTCCTTTTGTTTGGCCCACTGTGGAAGGCACGCAGCGGCAGCGAAGCAGGGCGTGTTTGGGTTTGCCAGTAGCACGTCGCGTGTAGTCCACAGCAACCCCTCCCTCGCAGCCAAGGCCAGCCCCATAACTAACACCAAATCTGCCCTCGACACATAACATTCCCGGACCTCTCCCCCCAACCACCTCTTCCCACAACAGGGAGGGATTCAAGGCCAAACACAAGCAGCAGCATAATAGCATCTGCTTCAATCAATCCCCTCCAGAACCACTGCATAGAGCATGTCCACAGCAGTCGGTCAATTATATGGCAGCAGTATCTCTCTCCCCTTCTCCCCTTCCTCTCTCGGTCATGTCTTCTCGACGAGTCCCCCTCTCCGCCAACCCAAATGTCGCCAACTCGCCGCTGCGGGGAGCTGCTGCCTCCCTCGCAGCTGCCAATGCTAAGCAGAGACGCTCTTACGCGAGCACCCAGAGAGAGGATGCCTATGGACAGCCTCCTCCGGCCAAGAGGCAGATGCTCGATCCCAGTGCACGCACGGCACTGAGGTCCCCCGTCAAGTCCAAGACGTTGGTCCAGCGCGGCACGTCCCGTTCCTTTACCACTGAGCGACCATCCCAGTCTTCTTCCGTACATAAGCCGTCCGAGAAGGAGGTCGACGAGGTCCGCAAGTGGCAGCAGGGCCAACGCTCCAGGTTCCCCAAGCTTGTCTTCTATTTTGAAAGCATTCCCGACGAGCAACGCGTGAAGCTGGCCAAGCAGGTGGCACACCTTGGAGCTGTAAGCCATACACTATTCTCCAAGTCGCTGAGCCAGACAAACTGACGCGTTCAACAGCGGGAAGCCAAGTTCTTCTCCATCGACATTACCCACGTCGTCACATCGCGCTCGGTACCCCCCGAAAGGCCAGTCGCTCAGAAAGAGGAGCGAGTCGAGTCCGCCGAGGTTGAACACGAGCAACCCCAGACTATCAACCCGTCTTTGCTGCATCGCTCGGCCAATTCAGTCCCTACGACCTCCCTTGCGCCCACGCGAAGACTGTTCGAGACTGCCACAAGCCGGAGAATGCCGCTCCAGGCACAGGACGAGGCGGTTCGACGACCCAAGCCTACCACGAGCAGGAATGCGGATGTGCTCCACCGCGCCCGCGAGATGGGCAAGAGGATCTGGTCCCTGGAAAAGCTGCAGAAGGTTCTCGACATGCTCATCGAGCCAGACCCGTACCGTAGTGCGGCGCTCGGTTTTGGCTCGCGTGGCGCGGGTGCTGGTGCGTCACGCACCACCGAGGAATCGACGCTCTTGCAGCTGCTCAATAAGGAGCGCGTCAACGGTCCATCCGACCGCGATCCGACTGTGGCGACACGCGAGCTCAACTACTTCAAGGGCCCTTACATCTACGTCTATGATATCGAGGAGAAGCAGAAGCCGATCATGGTCAGGGAGTACAACAAGGTTGCAGACAAGAAGCAAGGCGATTGGCCGCAGTTTCGAGCCAGCAGCACGGGACGCTGCCCTTTTGTGGAAGACTACGAGACTGCCGCGGAGAAGAGGGAGCGACAGCGAATGAGGGAGGCCGCCGCTAAACCCGCCGTCGAGTCTGCTCCTAGGTTTCAGCCACCTGCAGTTGAGCCTCCCAGGGCTGTCACCGGAAAGCGGTCGTTGGCCGAGATGGAAGACGGGCAAAACCGCCGCCCCTATGCTACCGTGCGGCCGACAGAGGTCTTCGACGCCGCCAAGGCTGCCATGGCCCCGTCTGTTGACTTCCAGCCTCAGAATGCATTCACAAGTCGCGCCAAGACTGGTCTGTTCCTTGCCGGCGAGCCGGTAGCTTCGGGCGTGCAGCCCTCGGGTATCACATCTGCCATTCGCTCTCAGATGATCTCTTCGGCGACGGGCACGCTGGGCTCCAGGGCTGGAACAAGCAAGGAGATCCACGGCCTGCAGCGGAAAGTGCTCCAGAAGAGTGCCCCCACCTCGCAGGATCTCAGTTCCCGGAGAATGACCGAGAACAGCATGGACCCCATGTCTTACACGCGCTCACAGAGCCTTGGCCGGGCTACTCACCGCAAGCTCGAAGTGATTGACGACCAGTCGCAGTCTCGTGAAGAGAAGCACAAGCGCACGCAGAGTGTTCCCGTGCAGGCTGCCAAGCAGAAGAAGCGTGATCCCAAGCCGGGGTACTGCGAAAACTGCCAGGACAAGTTTGACGATTTTGACGATGTATGTATCTGTAGGCACTTGGGTTCCCCTTTGATCATTATTGACCCTGTCGGCAGCATATTCTTTCTCGCAAGCATCGCAGGTTTGCCGAAAACGACGACAACTGGACTCACTTGGACGCCTTGCTTTCCCATCTCAAGCGAATTCCTAAATATGAAGTCGACGGCGATGATGATTGCTGGTAAAAAGCGCGCATTAAACCTCGACTGACTTCATGACGGCTAATTCAACGGCCCTTGCATCGGGTCTTCCAACATACTGTATGGCATCATTCTGTTTTTGGCTTCAGCATTGTCAACTGCCCACCAAAAGAAACGCTACATCTTCTCATGGCCAATACCCGGACCTCGGATCCTCAGCGAATCCCTCGATCCCGAGGTCCTTGTTCTCCCTGCTTTACTTCTTGTCCTTATCTTTTACGTGTTCGGCGGGCATCATCTTGCGTTTGCGGCTGCGGCTTCATACCCTCAAGACTTCTGATATCCCGAAGCAGAAGCATTGATACCCCTTCACGCATATATTTTTGACCTTTTTTTTTATATTCCTTTTACCCCTGAAAATCCAGCATTACAAAGCCGTGGGTTCCATGGAAGGCACCTCGGCACCGCATAACATTGCATGGCATCAAGTCGGACAAATGCATTTACAACCAGGCATCCTTTTGGCGCGGGTGTTGAAAGGTCGGCGACTCGGGTTTCTCGATGTATACCTTTTTCACCTCTTTGGTTCACTTTTGGCGAGCAGGGCAGAGACGACAGAGATATAGGCACATGGGATGGTCAATGGCGGCGGAGGGCCGGAGCGTTGCTTGTCTGAAACAAACATGGCGATTGCTATTCGCTGCTCTTTTTGTGTGGCTCATGAATATCAAGGCGAGAAATACGCCTCCAAGACTTACACCTCACCATCCAATACGTGGATGGTTTGTAGATATAATTCATGCATGTGCATAACTGTATGATAGAAACTCAAGTACAGCAACTGAAATGCCATGAATTTTTTTGATCTTTAAGATTTAGGTTTGCATAGAATTATTACTTGTTATTTGATGTATCAAACATGTTCTATTCTCCCATGAATCAATCATATGAATATCTTGTTCGTTGGATTCAGGTCTGGCAATATCCCTACTTGCCAGGCCACACCCGCCTACTGTAGGGAGCTATTAGTGGCACATCATAGGGGTCTGGTGGGGCCGGAACGACCTCCAGCTTAAATATGACCTGTGCTGCTTGAGCCTCTCACCCCAAGTTATCCATATCTTGACAGGCTACCTACCACACGGTGTGGCTGAGAAGTGTGAGCATATTTTCGGAAAGGGTCTTTAACTCTCTCAAAAATCATCGCTCCCAAGAGGACAACAAAAAAAGCGAAAACAATACCGATACGTCTTCAGACCAGCCCATATCAAGGCCTCTTCCGGAGGGGGGAGACACCTTTCCCACACATACATACACACGCCCTGTTCTCCTCTCATAAGCCATCCCCGAAAGCCACCGAGGCAAACCGCCATGGAGGAAAGGCAGCCGACCCCTTCCCCGCCGGCCGCCGCCGCCGCCTCCCCGACCATCCCCTCGCGCGAGCAGTCGCCGGACCTGCCGCTCACGCTCACCGCCTCGGCGGTCCTCACGCGCCTGCCGCGCGACGCCCTGGGCGCGGCGGCCGAGGCCGTCTCGGCGCTCGAGGGCCAGGGCCAGGGCCAGGGCGACAGGAAGGTCGTCGTGCGGTTCAAGCCCGTGGGGTCGGCGCCCGCCGTGCGCAGGGAGCTGTGCAAGATCAGCGCGGGGCAGAAGTTCGAGGCCGTGGTGGCGTACCTGCGCCGGGTGCTCAGGGTCGGCCCCGGCGAGAGCGTGTTCCTGTACGTCAACAGCACGTTTGCGCCGGCGCTGGACGAGGTCGTTGGGAACTTGCACAGGGTGAGTTCTTTTTTTTCCCCATCTCTCTTGGAATCTTATGGGTGTGTGTGTGGTGTCATGTTTATGTTGGGTGCCCTTTTTTACCTTTCGCGAGGGAAGGGTCCCCTTCAGGGAGAGGATGGTGCTGATGTTCTACGGAAACGATGTGCAGTGCTTCAAGGACTCGAATGGCCAGCTCAATGTGTCGTACTCTATGACACCGGCTTTCGGATGAAGTCTCGTCATGAACGATACAACACAACTTGGGCACTTTGGAGTGTGTTTGGTCATGATGAACCTTCATCGCATCTATTCACTACCACCAGGCCGAACAAATGATCGGATCGAGGTTTCCACCAAGGTATCTATCAAAACAACGCCTGCCATGCGGGAAAATCCCCTTGGCTCTGGGGAATAATATGCTAACCATATGAACAAAAAGAAAAGGATCGGAACGCTTCAGACATTACTTTTCCTCCACAGCCTTGGCAAAGGCCTCGAGCTCGTCCTTGGCGATGGGGTACGTGTGCTCGGGGGCGGGGTACGCGCGGCTCTTGACCTCGTCGCGGTACGCCCCGATGGCCCGGAAGCTCTCGGACCAGACGTCGCCGTACTTCTTGACGAACTTGGGGATGAAGCGACCCGGCGGGAAGTTGCCCGTCATGTCGATCTGCACGAGCACCTGGCCCGCGCAGCCGGCGCCGGCGCCGATGCCGATGGTCGGCACCGAGAGCTCCCCGGTCACGATGGCCGCCACCTCGGCGGGCACGGCCTCGAGCACCATGGCGAAGCAGCCGGCCTCCTGCAGGGCGAGGGCGTCGTCGAGCACCTTGAGGGCCGCCGGGCACGTCTTGCCTTGCACGCGGAACCCGCCCAGGGCGTTCTGGCGCTGGGGCGTCAGGCCGATGTGCCCCAGGACGGGGATGCCCGCGGCGGTGATCTTGCGGATGGTGGGGGCCATCTCGCGGCCGCCCTCGAGCTTGACGGACTGGACGCGGCCTTCCTTGACGAAGCGGATGGCGGTCTGCAGGGCCTGCTCTGGGGAGACCTCGTACGAGCCCATGGGGAGGTCGCCGATCTTTATGATTATGATACGGCATATCAGTATATGGTCTTGATACATACAAAAGCAAAAGAATGGACTTACAGTGAAGGCCGCCTTGGCTGCTCGTGAGACGGATCGGCAATGGAGCAGCATCTCTTCTACCAGGACCTCGCTCGTGTCCTCCATGCCCAGCGCCACCATGGCCAGACTGTCCCCGACGAGGATCATCTCCATGCCGGCCGAGTCGGCGACGTAGGCACTCGGGAAGTCATGGGCGGTCATGACGGTGATGGGCTCCTTTTTCTTGAACAGCGACCGTATGGTGCCGAGGGTGACCTTCTTCCTTGCCACGGGAGAGGCAGCACCCATGGGGGAATGCGAGCTCCATCTGTGCTGGGGTTGTTGTGATGATAGGGCTGGCCTGGCGAGGCGGAGAGCTGGTCGCGTGCTCCTGACCAATGAGGCGCACGGCCTCGTCACAGCCGGCAATAAATTCATCACTGTGTGATGGAAGCGGGGGGATTACTGTTATATATGTAGAGTGCTACCAAACGAGATAAATAATCCGGGGGAAATTTCATATGGCTTAACTAGTCCATTGGCCTCGGGCAGTGAGAATAAAAGGGAGAAACAGGCGAGAGTTGAATTGCGTTGCTGCCGGTCGCAGGGGACTCGTTTTTATTTGACTCTTTGGTCATGATGGTTTTTACCGTGTATAATTGAGACTCTTGGTGGTGTTTTCTCCATACCTGTCCTGCGCAAGCCGTTTTGGGACCCGGCGGCTGGTCAGCAAGGCAAAGGATGAAGTACCTTTGTACCTCATGGGAGCTCAATGGCGTGGGGTTTGCCGGGGAAAAGCCAGGCGAGGTACTTTGGCTGGTTGGGGGTGGTGGTCAGCTAGCGTGGCAGCAGCGGCCGCTGAGACCGAATGCCGAGGCTCAATCCGAGGGGCGGTTCAGGGCGTATGTCCAGGCCTGGATGTACCGGTTTCCAGGCTGTCAATGCCAGAAAAGAGATGCCGACAACTGGCATGGATTGGGCTGCCAGCTGTGCAGACTTTGTGAGCCGAACATCACAGCGCTGTCGTTCTTAATAAGGTCCCTCCCTCGCACCCCCACAACCATCCAGGCATTCCGAACCAACATCCAGTGTGAACAGGAATAACGGTCACAGGGTCAGGAACGCGCCCCAATCAGGCATGGGATGTGATGTGATGTGGTTGCATATGGATCCTCCCAGCGCCTCCGTCCAGGAACAAAGGGAGACGCCAAACAGCCTGAGACTTGCTTGGAGGTGTCATTCATGTGGTTTTAGGCTGTGCTGGCTCTCTTGTCTCAGCCCGGATGCAGGAGGGCCATCTGCTCTGGCTTTCCCGCAGCAGCTGAGCAACGGTGTTTCGCCCAGGCTGATGGTGTTTGCGGTACCTAGGAGGAGCCAGGAAAATGACCCTGCTTGGTTGGCACTTTGTTCCTGAGCCCAATAACGTTGATCTTCAATCTTTGTACCTAAAAGCACTCGGGAATGGCCCAGCCTCATTTTGCCTTTGCCTACATCGGAGTGATCTGTCTTCTTACTTGGCTGTAATGATGCGAGTAATTCGTCCGTCTTTTGATCTCGAACCCAGCTCAACCCGGTCCAATCCAATTCCCCTTTGGGATTAACGCCAAAAGTCACCCCAGTGCCAGTGCCCCCCAACGATTCCATCTTATCGCCTCCGGCAGCTACCTATCTTCGCTCATTAGGCAGCCCCGCAGCAGCATCGTCAGTGGAGGGAGTGACTAACTTATCATCACCGCCCACATCATCACTCACTAACAAGGTGCCCGTGACCTGGCTCCTCCGATGGGCGGTCACGTCAACCTGCCGTACTTATTCCACTTGCAAAGTACCTACTGACCTGACCTGACCTTTGGCCTGAAACCTTCAACTCCTCACGCAACCGCGACGTCTCTGACCACGCCTCTTTCATACCCTTCTACTCTCCGCGCCGCCCAAATCCCTCTTCTACTGACAAACACCCACAGAGAACCAGAGGAAACCTTGACCCTTCCCAATCTCTACTTATCTGGCTCTGATCCTATCTCCAATCACCAACCCCACGGATACTGGTTCAGATCTGCGCCAACGCACCCGCAAGCTCGACCGCTAATACCCGGTTGTCTGCCCTCAACTACTGCGCTCATTCAAGCGCCCAACCACAAAACTCCAACCCACAAACCCGGGAAGATCACTCCAACATGTCGAGTCCACGGCGCAGAATTGAGACAGATGTAAGCGAGCGCTCTGCAAATACTTACAGCTGGTCCTGAATATGCTAACAGCGAGCTCGTTGCAACTAGGTCATGAAGTGCGTCATACCACGACTCTCCAAATACCAACGTGCCGTGCTAACCTTACTCGCAGGATGTACGACCTCGACGATCCCTCGCACGAATCCCCCCGCGTACTGACAGAAGCATCTTGTAGGCTTATGAGCGACTACGAGGTTACCTTGGTGAATGACAACAGTAGGTCACCCATGGAACGGCACTCGACTGTCTGCCACCTGGTTGCTAATGATCCGACCTAGTGTATGGCCACCTATTCACTCATTTTCCCCCCCTTTCGGAACCCGATTTTGACATCCATGGAACGCCAGGCAAGAGTTCTATGTCCGTTTCAAGGGACCCGCAGAGAGTGAGTAGCACTGCACGAACTAGAGTACAGGCGTTGGGCGATGTATTAACGCACAGCAAGCCCCCTTCGAGGGAGGAGTGTGGAAGGTCCACGTCGAGCTCCCCGACCAGTACCCGTACCGATCCCCTAGCATTGGATTCGTCAACCGCATCTTCCACCCCAATATCGATGAGCTGTAAGTGGAGTGGACCGGCACGGAGCGACAGTGGGGTTAGAGCACCGTTACAAGGAAGGGGAATACTGAACAAGGGGTTTGTTTGCTAGGTCCGGATCTGTCTGCCTCGATGTCATCAACCAGACTTGGTCGCCCATGTACGACATGATCAACATCTTTGAGGTCTTCCTGCCCCAGCTTCTCCGCTACCCGAACCCGACCGATCCTCTGAACGGCGAGGCAGCTGCGCTGCTCATGCGGGAACCCAAGAGCTATGATGCAAAGGTCAAGGGTGCGATGTCCCCCACACTAGGGCTTACATTCGGGTTGATTTGGGTCCCACTGACACACCTGGTGGTTATACAGAGTATGTTCTGAGGTATGCGAATAAGGACGCAGCCGACGAAGCAGGTGCCGAGAGCGAGGACGACGACGACATGTCCTCAGTGGCCAGCTTTGGCGACGAGGACGACGAGCCGGCCGGACAGATGGACGACGTATGAAGAGGGAGGAACATTCCCATTTCCGAGAGGATCGGCGTAACTGGACATGAGGTTTACTATCTGGGACTTGGTCATGAATACTGGAGTTTGCATAAGATTGTTTGCACCCTCTGCCAACCTGGGGCATGCATTGCCTTTTTTTTTTTGGGACGGTTTCTTTTCCCCCTTTGGCGTACACTGGTTTTGCGAGGAAGGAAGCCGAGCCAGTTCTCATACCATCAATCATCAGCAGCGGGCGGGCTGAGTATTGCTTGGATTTACAAGCGCAAATCGTAGATAGAAACCCCTCGCCCCTTGAAAACACACTTTGGAACTCAGCTTTGCATATTCATCTTGGCCGTGCAATGTGCTCGCAACGGACTGGCTCTAAATGTGGTAGGTGTTCTGGATGTAGAATTGAAGTCTATGGGGTATCATAATAAAACATATCTCCAACAAGCAACTTGGCCCCTTAGAAGGCTCTGCCACTCCCTCCCTGCCCCTTGTATCTCCTCCATCTCAGTCGGAATCCGAGTCATATCCTACCAGACTCTTGGACGCAGGTGTCGGTTTGGCAGGAGGCGGCGACGACTCTTCGGTTGCAACCGCTGTCTCGACCGTCGAGCGCTTCCGTTTCAGTCCAGGGAGCAAGCCGGGAGACTTAGTAGACTCCTTGCTCCAGCCCTCCAAGAACGGATCTTTGGCTGCTCTTGTGTTGCCCAATATCTCTGACACCAGAGCTCCCTTCGTCTTGTCCGCCACGACTTCGGACTTGAGCTTTTTGGTCTTTGGCGTCCCATCTCTCGTCGAGCTCCTCTTATTACTCCTCAGGACCTCCCCGGCGCCCTTGTCGGTGCGGTCCGCAGCAGACGCCGCCCCGCCCTCAAACAGCGGCCGCGCCAGCGCCTTGTCCACGGCGCCCGCCGCGTCCCGCTCCGCGGTCCCAAAGTCCACGAGCGCCGCCCTGCGCGCGTCCTCGTCGCTCGCGGCGACGAGCTCGAGCCCGAAGCTCAGGCGGTCCCGCAGCGCCTCGGCCGCGGCGCCCTCGGCCTCCCTCTCCTGCCGCCCGGCCCGGAAGGCCCGCCGCAGCGCCTGGTTGCGCGCGTAGGGGTCGTCCCAGCGCCGGCCCGCGGCCTCGGCGAGCTCGCCGATGCGCTGCCTGCCCGCGGCCAGGGCGGCGCGGTCCTCAATCGTGCGCTCGAGGTGGGCGAAGGCGCTGCCGCGCGCGGCGTCGCGCTCCCGCGCCGTCCGCAGCTGCACCTCGCCCGACGCGGACACGAGCGACTCGCCGGCCCCGCCGTCGCCCGCGGCGTCGTGCCGGCGCCCGCCCGAGGCGACGACGTAGGCCGTGTGGGCCGGGTCGGTGCGGATCTCGATCGCGCCGCCGCAGGGCGGGTGGCGCATGCGGAAGGCCCAGACGGGCGTCGAGTGGTAGGATCCCGCGCGGCGCTTCTCGGCGTTGAAGCGCACGCCCTGGCCGATGAGCGTCTCGCGGGGCCGGCAGGTCGTGCACCAGACGGGGAAGGGCATCTCGAAGCGCACGACCAGGGCGCCGTCCGGGCGGGCGCGCTTGCCGAGCGGGTGCTTGCCGTGCAGGGCGTTGGCCGAGGCGAGCCCCGCGTGCTCCGGGGGCACGTACCGGCCCATGTTGAAGCCTTGCATCTTGGGCGGGCTTTTCTTGGTCCCGCGCAACCGGGGCCGGGGGGTGTTAGAGGGTGTTGTTGGGTGTTTGTGATAATGTGGGGAGGGGGGGTCGGTCGAGGTCGAAGTTGTGTTGGAAATATGTTCCCTTGTCGACTGGCAGAGGGCCTGGGACCGGCGGTCGCGGAATGTGTGAATCAAGAAGGTTGAGGGTGTGGTGTTCAGTAATGTCACATTTCAAACCTGGAGGGCGTTATCGTTGATAAGCATTGGCGTCTATCGGTGGCGTGGCCGATGTCATGGCGGGTAAGAGCGGGACACTGTACAAGTAGTGGGAGTCTTTAGTGGGCTTTTGCTCCAGTCTCGCTCAGAATCCTGACCAAAGGAGGCAACTCTCATGCAGCTACGCAGATACATACACCAGATAGGTATCATATTATTCATTTATTATCACAAGATATCTATCTGTATCTTGTTGCAACCCTAGTTCATATCCATGGCGCCCATCCAGCTTGGTGGTCGATCCTCCACCTTGCTCCCCCAGTCGCTCTCCTTCTCCCCCAGTTCCAGCTCCAGCACCCAGCCCTCTGTGAAGAACTCGTGCCCGATCCAGCTCTTGGTCCAAGGCTTCCCATTCACAGTGGCCCTCTGCACATACATCTTCTCATAAGAGGCATCAAAGTTGATGTTCTTGATAGTCGCCGTCTTTCCCGTCACCTTGCTCGTGATGTTGACCTCCTGGAAGAACGGAGGCGAGATGAGATAGACGTTCTGGCCTGCGACTGGAAAGAGCCCGATCATGGAGAAGAACAGGAACGAGCCCATGGCCCCGGAGTCGTCGTTGCCAGGCAGGCCCCCGTTCGTGGTGTTGAAGCCAGCCGGCACGTACGTGTGGATGCGCTTCGTCGACAGCCCAGGCCGGCCAGGCCAGTGGTACAGGTACACCGTGAGGAAGACTGGCTCGTTGGAAATGTCCGCGAGTCCCGACGTGTGGAAGAAATCAAGCCGCGAAATGAAACTAGCATCACCGCCCATTAAGGAGATTATGCTGGAGATGGACTGCGGCACAATGCTGTCAAGGAGTCAGTATCGATTACTGGATTGAGCCGCTGCTTGCTGACTTACAATTGGTACTGCCATATGCTGGCTTCGAAGGTCTCGCTAGGATTCGAAGTAAGCGAGCAGAAGCCTGCCAGCGCAGAACAAGCAATGGGATCTTGGAGGCCCCAGGTCTGGTTCAGGTACTTGGGCTGAAAGAATCCGGTGAAGCCAGTGTCAGTGCCGTGGATGGCTGACTTTTGGTCCGCCCTCCACAGGTTACGCCAATTTGTGCTGCGCTTGATGTACTTGGCGTACAGATCATCCCTACCCAGGCCTTGGGCTAAAGTAGCAAGGCAGAAATCGTTGTACGAGTACTCGAGTGTCCGCGAGATGCTCCTTGAGTTCGTGCCAAAACCGACAGGGTCAAAGTCGAGGTACGGAATGTAGTTCAGGTTCTTCCAGCTTGTCAGCCCGCCTCGGCCCTCGAAGGACCACTCTAGGGGCTCATTCTCAGCATCGTTGACGATAGCTTCCAGTGCCAGCTGCCAGTCAACGCCAGTCAGGTTCTTCACGTAGCTGTCGACAAGCACGACGTCGGCGTTGCTGCCGCCCTGGGTCCATCCCTTGCACATCGACATATGGCAGTCTGGCAGCCATCCCTCGTACTTGTATATGTCGAGCAGTGAGTTGACCAGCTGCGTTTGCGCTTCCGGGTCGATGATGGTGAGCAGTGGGTGCTGGGTGCGAAAAGAATCCCATATGCTGCAAAGAAATCTCAGTCTTGATTATCAAGCTATGGGAGGAGTAACTTACCAGTAATACGAATCAAAGTACGGCCGACCGCTATCCCAGTTCGGATTCTCACCGGTGTAGTTCTGGGGCGAAACCATCGTTCGGTACAAACCACTCCAGAAGCTCTTCTGCAGATTGTCACTGACACCTCCCGTAGCTATGGAGACTGAGTTGAGTTTGTCTTCCCATGCAGTCTCCGCCTCTCTGACCAGGCGTCCAAAGTCTTGTAGCGGATCAGGTACTTCTTTCTCGGCGCTGCGGCAAGCTTGATCAGCGCTGATGAAGCTCATGCCCATCCTCGCCGTCACGGTGTCATTGGTGAGTGACTTGAAGCGCACAAAGCCGCCAGCCTCAAGGTAGAACAGGTTGAATCCCCTCGTCACAAAGAGCTTCTTTGGCTCAGTGCCGGCTCTGTTGTTGACCCATACGCCCGTATCGAAGATCTCGGCCCCAAAGAAGTCCACGCAGAAGTGTAGCATGTAAGTCCCCGCGCCGAAGCTCGGCAGGAAGGTCCCATTGCCTGTCATCCTGCCCGTGATCGGGTCCACGACGATCGAGGCATTCTGTCTGCTCTGCCACAGATCCGTTAGGTCAAGCAAGATCAACGGGTGACTTTCTGGTGCCGTTGCGTTTGTATTCCTCTTATATGTGCCATTTCCGCCCTGCCCATCCTTGGGGAAATAGAAGCGGTACAGCGCCGTCCTCTTCGCCACGGTCATCTCGGCTCCGATACCCGTTTCCAGCTCGACGCCGAAGTGACCCGGCCGAGCCTGCACGGAGCCGTTGACATAGTGCCTCTTGCGGTCTCCGATCCGAAAGTCGCAGTTGTCCAGCTCATCGCCGGGGCAGACCTGAGGGAACAGGGGAAAGTTTCCGAGGCTCGGATTGCCCCCGGTGCCGCTGTCGTGCACGGAGCTGAACCCCGTCACGTTGCTCCCGTCCGTGGCGAAGCCGCCCGTGTTCTGCCCGTCTACGTCGGCGACGGCCTTGGCGAGCCCGTACGGGAGCGTGGCGCCGGCGAAGACGTTGCCGCCGTTTGTGGAGCCGATGAGCGGATCGACGTACGAGAGGGCCCCGGACGCGGCTTGAGCTGATGCGAGGCTCGCCGTGCTGAGTATTATTTCGAGAAGCATGACAATCATCGGTCTGGTCATATTGCCGCAGTGACGAGGTGCGTTTTATCTATCATTACTTCTGCACAGGAAATGCAGATACGGATGTTCCGGATGCCCGTTGGAGTTGCCGTAGGAGCTTGTCAATGAACCGGGAAGTCGATCCAGGTTAAATCGCAGCATTGATCAAGCTGATGTGCGAGTGGACAAGAAGTATCTCTATTTTCTCCCGCATCACTGTCCCTTCGACAATGATGCATCGCATCGCGGTGCAGTACCCTACCCTGTAACCTGCCAGGTGACGTGACCTCGACTTCCCCGCCGGGCTCCTGTAAACCCGGAACGGGAAGGTGACGAGGGTGTTAAACTTCACAATATATGCAGATCACTCCTACATGTGCCCACTTTATCTTCAAGGCATATGGTGCCCCATACTGGCCATTGATATGTTCAAACAATGCTGCTGTTTTCGGTAAGTCCGGAGATGCGGTGAGAAGTCATATTTTCTTTAGCTGTCTTGTATGGCTACGGACTTCTTCAATTGCTCATAGACTATCATCACTTCAGCCCATCGTTTTTCTTTAGTAGGGCTTTCTATCCTCTATTTTAACCGGCCCATGCTTCTTTCTACATACGCGGGGCCTTCACCCAGCCGTGATGGAACCGGGATGGGCTACTACATATACATCATAAGACTCGCACGTTCTACAACTGATATGAAAGAAGGGAAGCATACCTTGCAACCTTGCAACTCGCAAGATCGAGGCATCTCGGTAATGCCCGTGGAAACGCCGTTTCCTGCGCTTTCCCATTGACAACTCCTACCAGGTCTCGGCCCAAGGCGATCCCAACTATGACGACATCCCCTGTACGTGTAAAATGACTGCTCGCGCGCGCTTCTCAACACCAGCAGCCGCACCCATTATGAGGAGAAGAAAGGGTCCGGCGCCCCTTTGTGCGAACTAGTGTGGTGAATGAGGTGATTCCGCGCCTGGCTGACCAAGCACCCGCGCGCTGCGGGTGGTTTGCCGAGTGGGCGGGCCGGTGGTGGGGCAACTCTTCGCCGCCCCGCGGGGCCCTCGAGTCGTGCAGCATGAGGGCATCCCCGACGGCGGGTGCGCGCATTTCTGTACAAAAAAGGCTCGAGACTCGTGTTCTTCCATATTCGTCCTGGGAGGCTGTTCGGTATATCAATTTATTGTATAAAAGCTTACTACTGCCTCTTTTGAAAGGATATTGAACAGCTTGATCCCATCACAGCCAGCACCGCATCCGGGTGATCCGTTTCCGAACTGAGGAGCCGAACCATGGCCGACATCTACAACCCGCCCGTGTCGTCGTATCCCTCACCCCTCAAGGGCTACGAGAATGCCGAGCCTTTGGGTAGTGAGATGAACGAGGATGGAAAGAGCCTGAAGAACGCACAGACTGGTGTCAAGAGCGAGGCCTACACCCGTTTCACCGAGCCTCTTGACAACGGTATCAGAGGCGGCTTGTATGTTGTATCTCTGTCGACCCAATGCAAAATCCAGATACTAACAGGTTTTCACACAGTGATGTTCACATCTACTATTTTCAGTCAAATCCTGAGCAGGTCAAGTATGCTCGTGAGCTGTTTGAACGTGTCCGCCACGAGTGTAAGCAATCCCTCAGAGTCGACCTCAACCAGCCGTGTTGTTCAAGGGATATTGACCATTGCCACAGTCCCCGAACTGCGCATCTACAGCATCTTTGAGGGCCCCATAGGTCCGCACCCGATCGCCATGTTTGAGGTCAACCTCTTGAGCCCGGCAGAGTTCGGCGCGTTCATCCCCTGGCTCTCCGTGTGGAGAGGGCCCCTGTCGGCGCTGGTGCATCCCAACACCGTTGTAGCGGAGGGTACGAGCAAGGCCGAGAGGGCGGTAGAGATGAGGAAGGACCACACCACAAGGGCACTCTGGATGGGCCCTGAGGTCCCGCTGGATGCCTCCGTTTTTGAGAGGATGGCTTCCTCGTGAGCGGTCTTGTATCATATGGCTGGGCCCAAGCTTGCACACTGTAGCTGTCAAGAAGCAGCCATCGCTCTTGTCTAGTTTTGATGTCTCGAATGTGTAATCCTAAAAATGTCGCCTTATTCCTAAAAGAAGTAAGCAGTTCAAGGTGATTTTTCGGGGCTGAGATTAATTGGACAGAGTCGAAGTATCTCACCCGAGCGACTGCATTTCTCCTAGCAGATTTCTTGTGTCTGGTCATAGCCACCAGAAACCCTCAAAATTGCGAGACTCGGCTGTCTTATTTGGTTGATGGAAGAAACGCGGAAGAGGGTTGGTTTGCATGCGAATTGAAGTAGCTCTGATTATTGGGCTCGGCGCATCTCAGCTAAAGCATAGGTCGTCTTAATAGCGCATCGTTCCTCGCAATTTGTCTGACCACTGCAAATACTCCACCTCATGATGCCATAAGTCTTGATATTCGCGACAATGTCCATCCGAATCCTCAAATCATGAGGCATCGCAACTAGCCTTGGTTTTTGCTTCAGCGATCGAAAGGCCAGTCAACCCTCGCCAACGGCGCGGATGACACATCACACGGCTCAGCCCGAAGGACACTGTTGCCGGCGAACGGCTTATCATCCGCACAGATATGCTCAACACAAGCAACTCCTTTGTCTTTGATGTACATAAAATGAATACAGTCGCCATGGAAGATGAAAAGATCAACCTCTTGGTAGCTGCCAATGGCCTCAAGGAGGTCGCCCAGGCCCAGGCCATCGCGGTGCGCCTGTCCAAGGAACCCAAGATCGCGATCACGGTCCTGGTTGATGACCTGACCCACCGGCTCATCCAAGAGTTCCCCGCGCACGTCAACTCTCCCATAACCCTGACGCAGAGCGTCCAGGCAACCGAAGACATCCGGAGGAAGGCACACGACTTGGCCGCGTGGGCGGACCTCCTCGTGGTCGTACCCCTGGGAGCGAACCAGCTGGCGCAGCTCGCGCTGGCCTTCACTGGCGATGTGCTCTCGGAGGTCCTGCGTGCCTGGGACGTGTCGAAAAGAGTCATCGTTGCCCCAGGCATGACGAGCCAGGTCTGGAACCAGCCGGCCACAGAGGAACACATGGCCAAGGTGAACAAGAAAATGCCGTGGATCCGTTTGGTGCCGCCCATCTTGTGGGGGTTTGACGAGGCGAGTTTGGACTCCAACGGCCGGCCCATGGCTCGATGGGACAGCTTCAACGACGTCGTGAGGATGATCAAGAACCACGCAGATATGGCCACCCTGGGCAGCGGCTGGGTCAACTGGCCGTCGAAATTGCCTTTGATCGAGATGGTCCCCACGAACACGAAGCTGCCTCCTGAGATATGGAGCATGGTGATGGAGGAACTGGGCGACTGGGAGTTGGCGCAGACATTGGGGGTTCCTGCGAACCTTCCGTTCCCCAGCGAGCTGGGATGGCATAAAGAGCCCCATAACCCACACGACCCAACCCAGGTCTTCATGCATGAACTCGAGTGGACATTGCTGAGTGCTGATGAAGATGCTATATGCAAGAAGCTGTCTGAATCTCCAGAGCCCCTCGAGGAGATCTCGGCCCTCGCTCTGAAGCTCGTTCTCCGCTACTCTCTGATTCGAGTCCTCACCGTCCTCGAACACCACCATCCTCTAGTCTTCAGGCACATGAACCAGTCATACATACCTTGGAAGGCGGCTGGCGTCTATGGTCGGACGGATGTCCTTGACTGGTGGTCCAAGGCAAGCTGCTTCCAGGACCTGCAATGGGACAGGCGTGCGCTCGACACCGCCTCCAGCAACGGCTATGTGCATGTGTTGGAGTGGTGGAGGCAGTCCGGGCTGGCGCTCAAATACAGCGAAGCAGCAATGGAACTTGCCACTCTCCACCGGCACAGCGCAGTCCTGGAATGGTGGCGAGGCCTCGCTCTCAAAGACCCGGAGGTCCCGCTCAAGTCGGGGAGGTCTCTGACGTACGCCGTGTCAGTGGGCGACCCGGCGATGTTCAGGATGCTCATGGAGAGTGCGGTCGGGACGGCGGACCGGCGCATCGGGGTCTGGGAGGCTTCGGATTGGGGCAACGTCGAGCTGCTGAATGTCTGTCGCGAGGTTATGAAGGACGAGGATCTGCTGTATGGCACAGAGCACATCCTGGACGAGCCCACGCGCCGAGGTCACTTTCCCGTCCTGGAGTGGTGGAAGGACTACGCTCTTGGGGAGCCCCCGGGCATGAACGGGAAGAGGGCCAAGAAGGTTGGCTACAGGATTGCAGACATACTCGACGGCCTGGAGGACGTCAGGACAAGGAACAAAGGCAGAGCTCCAACGAGGGATTGGTGGACTCGAACCTGGCGCGATGTCGACACAAGGGACGCGCATAGGTGGAGGTATTTGGGAGAACCGTAGTCCACGGCGGTTGATCGCATACAACTCAATCACCTACCTGCTATGATGGAATGATGGATATGTATCGGTGAAAACTTTGGTTCATGACCTGCTATTTACGCTTCATTCCACGACTAAGGGCCCGACAGCTTGACTGTCTCCGGTTCTGGATCATGATCGAAAGTGAGGAAAAACGGAGACATAGTATTGGGGTATCATGCAAATCTTGCCGGATTGCTGGGTATCAATCTTCGAAGCACTTCAATCTGCCGCGCCTGTGCCTTGCCTCTAAGCTCCGAAACGCCCCTCTTGTCCTGCCGCCTGAGCCCGTTCGAGTATATGACGGTGAAGTCGGGAATCTTCTCGCCCGGTGCGACGACTGTCTGTGGTGCCAATGTACAGTGCTGTATGAAACTGCAGATTAGCATCCTTATGACCACATACTCTGCGTTCGTCTCTTTTCGTCTTTCTAGAAAGACAACTCACCCTCCCGATAGAAGCCCCCCTGCCCACCCTGGACTTAACACCCAGGACGGTGCCCTCCCCGACGAAAGTGCCGCCCGTCTCGACCACGGCGCCGACCTCGACCGTGACAAAGTCGGCCAGCGTCACGCTGCCCTCCGCGCCGCCGGGCCCCGGGGTGGCGCCGACGTGCGAGCGCTCGTGGACGATGCACCGGCGGCCGATGTTGACGGGACCCGAGGCCGAGTCGAGGCGGGCGCGCGGGTGGATGACGCTCTCGGAGCTGATAGTAATAGGGTAGGAGCCGACGAGGATGGACGAGTCGGCGACGGTGATGTTGGACGCGAAGTGCGCGGGGGCCTTGGGGCCGGCTGTCCCGCTCGAGGGCATCATGGACTGGCGGCGGGCGGCGCTGGAGGCGGCGGCGGCGGCGGCGGAGGAGGAGGAGGCCGAGGCGGACATCGTGAGTGTGTGCCGTTGATTCTATTGGCCTCGTAGGCGGTTGGTATGGTACCTCTGTGAGAGGGGAGTGTTCATTGCAGAATTGTTGCTGCAATTCCTGCGAGACCGGGTGGCTCGAGGTGATCCCACTGCCAACGCAGGTCGGTCAGACAACGGCAGCAGGAGATGAGTCTGATGCAGCTCGAGATACCTAGGCTATGGCACGGCCGCGCTACAGCAGATGTACAGCGGCGGACCCACCTGGACTGTAGCGATGTCCAGCACTGAACCAAGTCTTGACATCACCAAAAGCCCGCCGCCGTTGGTGCGGTAAAGCTCTCGCCACGGCCGCGCACAGACCACACCCGCACCAGCCAATCACGGCTAGGCAAATTGCGATCCCCATAATCAACCTCAAGTTTCCAATTCCATCCGGCAAACTCACGCACCAAGCCGTTCGACCACGAAAGCATCAACCGACCGCTCGATTGGGGCTTCTACACGGCCAATTCTGCCACCACCAGCAGCAACCATGTTGTCGAGGACTGCAGCACCGTCAAAGGCCTCGGCCAAGACGCTGTCGCGGGTCTGCGTGGCCCAGCAGCAGTCGAGAAACTTTGCGACCGTCCAGGATGGCACGCCGGCCAAGCGAACCTACGGCGGCCTCAAGGACCAGGACCGCATCTTCCAGAACCTCTACGGCCGCTATCCGCCCGACCTCAAGCACGCCAAGAAGATGGGCGACTGGCACAAGACCAAGGAGATCATCCTCAAGGGCCACGACTGGATCATTGGCGAGGTCAAGGCCTCCGGCCTGCGAGGACGAGGTGGTGCCGGTTTCCCCTCGGGCCTGAAATGGGTATGTCGCCTAGATGCTCCTTGGCGAGATTGGAGGACATAAGATTTACGAATTCCGCGAGAGATGTACTGACTAGTTGTCATTCTGCAGTCATTCATGAACTTCAAGGACTGGGACAAGGACACCAAGCCCCGATACCTGGTTGTCAACGCCGATGAGGGAGAGCCCGGCACCTGCAAGGACCGCGAGATCATGCGAAAGGACCCCCACAAGCTTGTCGAAGGCTGCCTGATCGCCGGCCGAGCCATGAACGCCACCGCTGCCTACATCTACATCCGTGGCGAGTTCGTCTACGAGGCCGCCGTCCTCCAGAACGCCATCAACGAGGCCTACAAGGAGGGTCTCATTGGCAAGAACGCCTGCGGCTCCGGCTACGACTTCGACGTCTACATCCACCGCGGTGCCGGTGCCTACGTGTGCGGTGAGGAGACCTCCCTGATTGAGTCCCTCGAGGGCAAGCCCGGAAAGCCCCGTCTCAAGCCGCCATTCCCCGCTGCCGTCGGTCTCTTCGGCTGCCCCTCCACCGTTACCAACGTCGAGACCGTCGCCGTCGCCCCGACTATCTGCCGCCGCGGTGGCAACTGGTTTGCTAGCTTCGGCCGTGAGCGCAACCAGGGCACCAAGCTCTTCTGCATCAGCGGCCACGTCAACAACCCCTGCACCGTGGAGGAGGAGATGTCGATCCCCATGCGCGAGCTTATCGAGAAGCACTGTGGCGGTGTCCGCGGTGGCTGGGACAACCTCCTCGCCGTCATTCCTGGTGGCTCGTCCACCCCCATCCTCCCCAAGAGTGTCTGCGACGACCAGCTCATGGACTTTGACGCCCTCAAGGACAGCCAGTCCGGTCTGGGTACCGCCGCCGTGATCGTCATGGACAAGAGCACCGATGTCGTCCGTGCCATCAGCCGTCTCAGCCACTTTTACAGGCACGAGTCCTGCGGCCAGTGCACGCCGTGCCGCGAGGGCAGCAAGTGGACCGAGCAGATCATGAGCCGTTTCGAGAAGGGCCAGGGCCGGGAGCGCGAGATCGACATGCTCCAGGAGCTGACGAAGCAGGTCGAGGGACACACTATTTGCGGTAAGTCGAAACCCTGACAAGAAGCTGGAAGTTTTGCAGTAAATGCTGACGATATTCTTGTAGCTCTGGGAGAGGCTTTCGCCTGGCCCATCCAGGGTCTGATCCGCCACTTCCGGCCCGAGCTCGAGGCTCGGATGCAGAAGTTTGCTCAGGAGAACGGCGGCGCGGCGCTGGGTGGTGGCTGGGCGCACAACACGAGGCAGCAGGGCAAGCTGGTCGCCCCGGGACAATAGATGTGTAGGTAGAGAGAAGGGGCTTAGAACGGGGTGATGCGAAAGATGAAGAGAAGGAGTGGCGTCCCGCGACTGAAAACGCGGACCTGAACACCGCATTTTCCCTTGTGTAACTTATTGTGCATACGAATCATCAGGTAGACCATATTCTTTACCTCTCAGGGACCAGGTGGTGGTGTATTTACTTTGTATCTCTAGATGGAAAGATCTGTTTACTGTGAAGACTGACGATAACGTACCGACAGCGACAAGCAAGGCTACCCTCCCATTTTCTTTGTTCGAGCAATTTGTTTATCAGGCTCGGTTGGAACCTTTCTATTTCAGTCCCCGGCTCCTTACTTTCCTCAGCTGTACCCTCCGCCAATCTTCTTGTCTTCCAGCGCCACCCCCTTCTTTTTATCCTGCATGAGCTTAGTGAGCGCACTGACAAGGGCCCTGACGGCAGCCTCGGACGTCTGATGATGGAAGACCAGCCTGGCCATGGGGAACACGGCGATCTTCTCGCGCGCGCAGTACTCGACAAAGGCCGCGGGCGGGATCCCCACGGCATCGAGGTCCAGCAGGATCATGTTTGTCTGCGGCGGCAGCGAGAAGCGGTAACCCAGGGCCTCGAGCTCGACGGCGGCGGCGCGGGTCATCCCGTGCACGGCCGGCAGGCGCGGCAGGCTGTGCTCGAGCGCGGCCAGCGCGGCGGCGGCCATCATGCCCGGCTGCCGCGTGCCGCCGCCGAGCATCTTGCGGAACCACCTGGCGCGCGCGACGAACGCCCCGCTGCCGAGGACGACGCTGCCCATGGGCGCGCCGATGCCCTTGGCCAGGCAGACGGAGATGCTGTCGAAGCAGGCGGCGTAGGCCCTCAGGTCGGACCCCTCGGCCGCGACGCCGTCGAAGACGCGCGCGCCGTCGAGGTGCATCCGCACCGGCTGCTGGCCCTCGGCCACGGGCAGGCCCCGGACGTAGGACGAGATGGCCTGGGCGTCGGCGAGGGGCAGGACCGTGCCGTAGAGGGTGTTCTCGAGGGAGACGACTCTCGTGGGCGGGAAGTGGACTTGCAATCGTCGTGGCTCGCGTTAGCCGCTGATATAAGGGACGGGGCAGCATACCTTCTGTTAGGGGGGAGGAGAAGGGGGTGTGGCCTTGGCTTACTGTTGCCATAGGGAATGATGTGAGGTTTGATGTCTTCGAGGGTCAAGTGCACGCCGTTCTTGGGCTTTACGGTAGTGGTCGACGCCTGGGAGATGACGGGCAGGGCGCCCGACTCCCAGCAGTGGACGTGGGCGCGGTGGTCGAGGACGACGCCGTGCGGAGGCTGCGTCAGGTGCGTGCGCAGGCAGATCTGGTTGCCCTGCGTGCCCGACACGGCCCACAGGGCGGCCTCCATGCCGGTGAGCTCGACGAGCCTCTGCTCGAGGGCCTTGACCGAGGGGTCGCCTTCTTCGTCGTAGATGTCATCGTTTACGGATGCCTCCAGGACGGCCTGGCCGGACGGAAGGGGAAACGCATTAACACGGGCTTTTAGAATTCGTACTCCTCCGAGATACACACACGAGATGCTTTTCGGTCCTTTCACCATACCTTCATCATGTCCTCCGTCGGGACGGTTACGACATCGGACCTGAAGTCCCGGGAGGCCTTCTCCGCGTTGGCCTGGAACCTCGCCCTTACCTCAGGCGTGAAGGGGGATGGTGTGGTCTCGACCATTCTTGGCGAGCTGGCGTGTGGATATTACAAAGATAAACCAGGGGGGGGTTGAACAATGGGATGGTTTTTATCTTCGGCGAAGTAGGCATGGGTCGAGAGTGACGCGATAGTTGAGGATCCCACAGACTCAAGACCGTGCAGTTTTATAGAGATACGTACCACCGACCCTGGGCAGTGGAGTATTCTGCATGACTCTCGGCGCTCCCTATCCATGTCCAGAGCTATCTGTGATGCCTCGAATCCGGGGTAAAATACAGCGCCCGGGGCTCACCCCCGATAACGGGTCTGGCGGGCCTCCCGAGGAGCGGCACCCTTTCCGTGGGAAAAGTATCTGTGTGTGTGTGTGTATCTGTGGGTAAACTGCCCACCACGCTAGATATGGGATATGGGGCCGAGGCCTTTCCCGCGGAAAAGTCTGAGTCAACCGAGAGGTGGCTTCACACGATGCAAACACTGAATGATAAAAGCGCCGGAATCAACATCTGGAATCCCTAGGATTGCATTGAGCGTTTAGAGTTCGATAGCGTTTGACGCCAGTTGTCTGCCCAGATCAGCTCAGCTTGTTCCAGCAGCCAGAGACCAACGACCATACACCATGCCTAAAGCGGCACATCAGGAAGATATCGTGATCGTCGGGTAAGTGCGGCCTTGGACTGGCTCGGATAGCGACCTATCATTGCTGACTGGCTTGATGAGCGCCGGCGTCATTGGCTTGGATGTCGCCCTTGTGCTCGCTCAGCGCGGGTTCGGGAGCCGTGTGACAGTCATCGCCGAATACCTGCCAGGTGATACCGCACCCACATACACATCCCCTTGGTAAGAAGGAGCAGACATGAACAATGATGCAGTGAGAGAAAGAGTACATGACCATGCTTACACGTCGTCTGTCCCAGGGCAGGGTGTAACTTCTCGGCCATATCCGGTCGTGACAAAAACGCGCTGCGCTGGGACAAGCTGGGGTATGCTCATCTGCTCAAGCTAGCATCACAGGAAGGTGCCAAGTCCTTTGTTCGACGCACTCCGTCGATCGAATACTGGGATGACGAGGTCCCACACGAGAAGATCCAGGACATGGCGGAGTACCTTGAGGATGTAAGAGATCTCTTGATACCCCTGTTGGCTGATATGAACGAACATTCACTAAACCCAAAGCAGTTTCGAGTAATTCCCAAGGATCAGTTGCCCTCCGGCGTTAAATTTGGAGTCTCCTTCACAACTCTGACCGTCAATGCCCCATGCCATCTGGAATACCTTTATCAGGTACTTTTGCAATATGGCGTCCGGTTCTTACGAAAGAAGATCTCGGCTATCGGGGATGCCTTTGCAAACCCCAAGACCAAAGTTGTTTTCAACTGCATCGGCAACGCCGCAAGACATCTAACGGGCGTGGAAGACACAGAATGCTATCCCACAAGAGGTCAGGTGTTGCTGGCCCGGGCTCCCAATGTGCGAACCAATATGATGAGACACGGGAGAGACTATGAGACATACATCATCCCCAGGCCTGAGTCAAACGGAAACGTCATCCTCGGAGGCTATATGCAGAAGGGCAATGGGTAAGGGTCTTCCATTACTTTGTGCTCCGGATTTCGTCGCGTCGAAGCTGACATGCCTCCAGTGACAGCGCAACCTATTCACACGAAACGGAGTCTATCAAGAAGAGAACCCGAGCTCTGAGCCCCGAGTTATCTGCCAAGAACTTCGAGATACTGGCAGCCGTAGCTGGCCTACGACCATCACGGAATGGTGGCGCCCGTATCGAGCGCACAACTGTCAATGTCAACGGAGAGCCTCGTGCTGCGGTCCACAATTACGGTACGGGGGGCACGGGCTTCCAAGCAGGCTACGGCATGGCTATCGAAGCAGTTGCAACGGTAGATGATATCCTTCAAAAGTGGAGCGCGGAACCTATTACTGCGAAGATATAGGATCCAAGATCTGCAGGAGGATCATTTTGGTGTAATAGTCGAGGGGTGTTAATCAGAGTCTCGGGAAACGTGGTCGGCAAAGCCTGGTTTGGAGATGGAGTCGGGAAAGTCTTCGGGAAACCTCGTCGGGCAACCCTAACTTCGGCACCGATCATAGTTTTTGTTGAGATGAACCCCCTTTGATGGGCAAAAAAGTCGTACAAGGGACAATTGTATCTCGAGACAAATCTTGAGGGGGTTTTCTTCATCAGGAGCACAGTCCACGTTGGATTGATTCCAAGCCGCACAACGAGTATCATATCACCACTTTCAGCTCGATTCCACAACTGATTGTCGATGAATTGTCAACCATGGCAAGGAACCGTTGGCCGCGGTCGCAGAGTGGACCCCCAAGAGATAACCTAGCAAGTCTCACTACAAGCTACTGTATGTCGGACCCGTGTCGAGTCTTATATAGACGGACTCGGTGATAATTCTGTCACCATCGGCAAAGCTGCCACGCCAGCCTTATCTGGGGTGGAGCAGGGATGCATCTCCAGATAATCCCCCAGCTTTTGCTCCACCACACCCCATGATAGTGGTATCTGAGGGGGCTCCAATTAGTCCATTCCATTAGTGTACATAAGGACGACAGGGACGACTCGTGAGGAGGTCCATCTTGGCACACTTCCATCTATCTTCCCTCAAGATCCATCATTGATCAATCAACTTCTATCAGAGTTACGGGGTGTTCAATCCAAGTCTCAAGATGGCCGAACACGAGCAGTCCCAGCCGCAGCCTCAACCCTCGAAAGGCGGCGAGATCGAGCTCAAGCCGAGAGACCTGGACGTCGAGGCAGCAGATATGAAGCACGGGGTCACCGTCGAGCTCGACGAGGCCGAACTCTTCCTCCAGCAACATGGCATCCCGCACTCTCGCCTCGCCGAGCTCATGGCCGACGAGGCCGCAGTCAAGAAGCTCCGCCGCGTTGTCGACTGGACGCTGATGCCCCTCCTCTGCGGCACCTACCTCCTCCAGTATGTCGACAAGCAAGCCCTCAGTTACTCGGCCGTCTTCGACCTCTTCAAAACCACCCACATGACGAGCAACGAATACAGCTGGATGGCGTCGATCTTCTACTTTGCCTACCTCGCCTTCGAGTGGCCTGCCTCGTACCTCGCACAGCACTTCCCCACCGGCAAAGTCGTCAGCATCTGTGTTCTCTGCTGGGGCGTCGTTCTCCTCTGCACGGCCGCGGCCTCCAACTTCGCCGGTCTCGCTGTCTGCCGCTTCTTGCTCGGAATGTTCGAGGCCGTCATCACTCCTGCCTTCATGTTGATCGTGTCGCAATGGTATACGCGCGATGAGCAGCCGGCTAGGGCTGGTCTGTTCTACTGCTTCAACGGCTTCGGTAGCATGGTCGGCGGGATTCTGTTCTACGCCGTCGGCCAGGCCAAGGGCTGGGCCATCTGGCGCATCATCTACGTGCTGTGCGGCGGCCTGACCGTGGTCTGGGGAGTCGTCCTCTTCTTCTTCCTGCCCGACAACATCCTCACGGCCAAGCGCTACACCGTCGAGCAGCGCGCGATGCTCGTGGCCCGCAGCGCTGCCAACAACACCGGCATCTACAGCCGCAAGATCAAAACCGCCCAGATCAAGGAGGCCCTCTGCGACGTCCAGGTCTGGCTGCTGTTCTTCTATGTCTTGCTCAACGAGACTATCAACGGCGGCATCGCCAACTTCTCGAAGCTGATTGTGCAAGGCTTCACGCACGACGCGCTCCTCACAACGGTCTACGGCATCCCTTACGGTGCCTGCACTGCCATCTTTATGTTCACGGGGCCGTACTTTGCGAGCAAGGTCAAGAACACTCGGACGATCGTCATGGTAGCTTGGCTCTGGCCCACCCTCATCGCTGCGTGCTTTTTCTGGAAGATGCCGCGCGGCAACAAGGGCGGACTCCTTGCTGGATATTACCTGGTAAGTTTCCTTTTTACAAATGCTCCACCCGTGCCGCCTTTGTATCCATCTTGACTGACCATTTGCCTTGCCAGTGCGCTGCCTTTGTCGGTTCTCTCATCGTGGCCCTGCAGATGCCCGCTTCCAACATCGGCGGCTATACCAAGCGCACGACCGCGACGGCGTTCGTCTTCCTCGCATACTGCATCGGCAACATCATTGGCCCGCATGCTTTCCTCGGCAGGGAAGCCCCCATCTATGAGACCGGCTGCAAGGTCATCATTGCCTGCATCGCTGGCCAGAGCGCCATCGCGGTCATCCTGCGCATTGTCCTGATTCGCCGAAACAAGGCTCGCGATGCTGCGGGCGTTCCGCCCGGATTCGACCAGAACGATCTTATCCAGGATCTGACTGACTTTGAGAACCCGACTTTCAGATACTCGTACTGAGGATGCTTCATCGTGAAGGGTGTGATATCATCGTCATGTGATGGGAATCTGCACCGCTGGCGTCTTGTCTTTCGAGTTCTAAATTAGTTCACTCTTTATCTTTCAAGCGTAGTACTAGGAGGAATCTATCTTTAAGTTAGTAATAGGATCAGAACTGCTTGTCTCCTTTCCTTCGATATGAAGTACTCTGCCTCAAGGCTCATCAACCTCAAGTTCTGGTAAGCTGTGATAACAACAAGCGGATGACCTCTTAAACGAAGTGCATCACCCAGGCTACTTTAGACAGCTACATATTGCGGTACCGAACAATGAGCACATTATCTTTCGCCAAAATCAAGAGACGTAACTCTGAGCGAAAGAAATCTAATGGCGGGATCGTAACAACAGTTCGTGAGCTGATACTTAATCATTGATGTCTCGTTCGATGGGGTCCTCCCTTTGATTTCTCTGCCATTTCAAGTAAATGAAATCCAATGAATAGATCACTCTTCCCATTTCCCCGATATCCTCCACCAAAAGTTGCACTCCTTCTCAGCCCACCGATAGTCCTGGAGCGCCGCTGCAACCCCAATACCTGTCCCTCCCGCTCGCTCGTCGTTGCCCTCGCCAAGCACCATCGTCAGGCCCTTGCCACCGACAAAAGGCTTCCACTCGGGCCTGTCGGCAAACTTGCCATCCTTCATGGCGTTCGGGTCCGCCTTGGTGATGAAGCTCACGCAATACGCGTGGAATTTGCCAGCGACCTCGTCCTGGGCCGGCGAGATCTTGCGCACCTCCGGGTTATAAGTCTGGTACCGCATCTGGTCGCCGTGGTTCGCACCGAACAGAGCAGTCTTGTTCAGCGCCCAGTGGTACAGAAAGACGGGCGGGTCAGACTTGGCGTGCGAGGTGCCCCAGATGGCTGTCTGCCGCACGGGACAGGTGTAGGCGTAGTGCCCGTAGGCGGCCTCCATGCGCCGGTACTGAGACCCTATGCCCCGGTCGCCGCTCGTGTCGGCGTAGGGCGACCTCGGGTCCTTCTCCGGGTCCGGGTATAGCCGCTCTAGCTCGTCGTAGTCGGCCCCCGAGAGGTGCGGCAGCAGCGTGCGGAAGAAGTCGGTGAAGGCGGACGACGCGTTGGCCGTCCTGGGCACGTAGAACGAGCCCTCGTTGTGGGCGGAGCCGGTGAGGATGGGCACCTTTTGCCACTTGCCGGACTTCCAGGCGTCGAGGGGCCGGCGGGAGATCACGTCCCCGTCGATGACGGGCTGCCACGCCCAGCGGACCGAGGGGTCCGACCTGGCGAAGACTTCCTTGCCGGCTCGGTCGACGACGTCGGAGGGCAGGGCGCGCAGGCAGGCCAGGATCTCCGGGTCTAGCAGGTCGGCGAAGTGGGCGCACGGCGTCAGGTCCAGGAGCTCGCGGAAGTGCTGCTTGTTGAGCTCGGCGGAGGGCAGGTGCATTGCTCTCGCGGTGTGTGCGCCACTGTCCATGATGGCCTTGTGGAAGAGACGTTTGGGCTGGTTGACGTCCATGATGAGATGGCCGATCTGTCAAGTTGGGGTGTCTGTCAGTGCCACTCGTCTCGAATCAACCCAGGTCTCAACATGAGCTTACGCCGTGTGCCGCCGCGCTGAGGCCCATGATTGTCACATCATCGGCGTTGCCGCCAAACGCGGGGATGTTCTCTTGCACCCACTCCAGTGCAGCATACATATCGCGCAGGCCGAGATTCAGAAGTTTCTCCTTGGCTGTCAGCTCGGTATTCAACCCGCCAAACACGCCGATACGATACTGCATAGAGACGCCGATGAACGGCTCGGGCGAATGAGCCAGCATGCTGTGGGTGTTGTGCATCCTGGCGGCTCCCCGGTTGAACGCGCCACCAGGGATCAGGACCGCAACAGGCAGTTTGCCCTTCTCCGGTGAGTGCCCCTTTGGCCGCCAGATGTTGATAGTCAGGCAGTCTTCAGATTCATAATCAGGGCCCAGACCGTCATCATCTAGGAACGGCACAAGTTGCTTGCCGGGGCACCTAGTTTTCACAAGCTGATCAATTGGATGCACTCCGAGAGTAGATAGTACAGGCGAGCTAACCTTGGCCCGAGATAATACGCTTCGAAAGTCTGGTTACTAGACGGCACAGGCACAGCAGGCCGGAACCTCAGGTTGTCGACCGGCGGCAGAGCGTACGGGATGCCCATGAAACCCTCGAGAGGCTCGGGAAACGTGCCATCGTCAACCATGCGGCCGAGGATGGTCCCTTGTCTGATAGTCACCGTGGGGGTTGGCGGCTTGCTGAGGCCGAGCCGGTCTCGTACACCAGCCACATTGGCAAGTATCAAGGCTCCCAGGACTACGGGAAGGCCAGCGAGCCGCACCCAGTTCGTACTGCCTCCTCCCTTTGGAGGGGTGGCTCTGGCATTCGCTTTCTGCGCAGTTGGCTTTGCCATTTTGATATGGGCGACAAAAGGACCAGTTGCCAGCCTTACCTTGGCATGATTGATCCCTAAAGCGCATCCGTTCGATATATCTATTAATAATTAGAGGCACTTGAGGGGGCGCGTGCCCGCTGTCGGACCATTCCCCGCTACATCCCTTTCCCGTTTTGGTGTAAGTCGCTCGGCGAGAAAATGAATTACCGAAGCGCAGCGCGGATCTACGCGCGATACGACTCTGTTTGTCAGTAACAACGGATAAGATATGCGGGGAGACTTGGCCGCGGGCAGCCGCATCGGACAACTCCGTGGGGAACTTGGTTCTTGATTGCTTTGCACCCCCGAATGCTCGGCCTCTGAGCTCGTTCTTAATATCGGAGATTGTATGAGAGGGATATTGAGACTTCTTCAAGTTAAATATCCCTAATATTCTCAGGAAGTTGTCCATGACAGCGCTTGCGGTCCAGTGTTGTCTCAGCGGTTCCCCGTTGAGAAAATGCTTTTTTATACAACCCAGCAATCTGTAGAGCCTTTTCTACAGTTGAGAAGCTCAAATGATTGTTAAATCTTTACTTAATTATCTTATTGTTTGTTCTGTTGTCTGCTGAGCTCCCAATATCGTCAACGGTTTGCTTGAAATATTGCTTTTCCAACATCGAAAATGAAACTTTGGATACCCTTTATTGTTTCTTCCATAAGCTATAATAAGTGTCGTTCAGCCAGCCAGGCATTGGACTATGTATATCAGCAACATCATCAACTTCAAATGTGCCGATATCGATCATCTGAGGTATGCTATCATAGAGGATAGCGTGACTCTATCTGTCCCGAATCGGCTTAGGTATGCGCCAAGGATATCATAGGACAGGGAACAGAGGGGCCACACCTTGCGAAGATTCATTTGAGATTTTTCTAAGCGACAATTTCAAGCTGCATAATTTACTGTTTATATTCATTCAATTTTTATCATACTGCCTCGGTGCCTTAACGCAAATCGCAAGATTCAGCAGCCAGTTCTTAATTTTGAAGTGCAAAGATGGATGCGGGTACAATAGATCAATTCATCCGCTTTGGGACTGACTCCTGTGAGTATACAGGCATTCCATGAACTGCAACACAGCTCATCAGGCTGTTCAAAGCCGGCCCTCATACGCTGTCACACAAGAAGGACCCAGACTAATATACATATTTGTTCTTTCCTCTCACAAGTCGGCATCGACCGCATATGCCGCTTCTTCCAAGCCCTGCTCCAGATCATCCTCTCCTACCCGGTCCTCCTCACCGCCACCTTCTCCCTCCTCCCACCCACGACCGCCCTCACGGCCGCGGGCCTCAACGCCCTGCGCCTGCAGCTCAACCTCGTCCGGCGCTTCACCCGCGCCTTCCGCTTCCTGGAGAACTTTGTCGTCGTGCGCCGCTTCTTCGCGGAGAACGCCGCCGCGGCGCCCCCCTCGACCGAGGACTACCTCGACATGGCGTCGCGCGCGCACAACGGCATGTACCTCCTGCTCGAGGTGCTGGGCACCCTCGACGCCTGCGGCATCCCCGGGGTCGGGCTCTGGTCCCCCGCCACCGCGGCCCGGCTCAACCTCGAGGCGCAGCGCATGTGGTTCCTGGCCCTGGCGTGCGGCGCCTGCGCCGGCGCCCTGCGGCTCGTGAACCTGTACGCGCTGGCGCCCGTGCCGGAGACGGCCGAGGGCTTCGGCGGCGGCGGCGAGAAGACCAAGACGAAGGAGAAGAAGAGCAAGGGGGAGCTCGAGAAGGCGAGGGCCGCGCGGGCGGCGGAGAGGAAGGGCAGGGTCTTTACCGTGGCGCGCAAGCTGCTGGCCGACGTGGTGGACATGGCGCTGCCCGGGTCCGTGGTCGGGTGGGTCGACCTGTCGCCGGGTCCCGTCGGCGTGGCGATGCTGTGCACTACCGTGTTGACGAGCTGGGCTTTCTGGGAGCGGTGCGGCGTGCAGGTGCGCCAGGGCTGATAAGGCTGGTTGGGGTGGGTTGTCTCGTGAGCTGGTGAAGTGCATGTCTTGCGAGCAGGTTTGTACGCTTTGGGGAATGACGTCGCGGCCATGTTGAGATAGATCATAGGGGATCTCTCATGATATTTCTTACTGGATATACAAACGACGATATGACTATGCAAGGATGAAGAATCAGGGATGCTAAGGAAGAACTAAACCATACATGTATATATTGAAATCATATAAACGCCTTGATAGACTCCGTAGTAACCTGCCATTGTAGTGCCTTATGTTTTTGTTTCACAATTTGTTTTGTCCTGACGTTGTCTCACCACCATCATAAGGAGCCGTACTCTCAGCATTGCGAACGGTGGTGACACGGGGCGCGATGCGGTTCTTGAAGTTTTGTAAGGGGTCAATTATCTGATCAAGCCGCGACGGAGATGTTCTTTCCTGCGTTGTTTCGCTGCTCAGGTTCGGTGGGAAGGCGAATACGGTACTCATACTCGTTCTGGCTTCCAGTCTTCCTATAGATCTTGACACAGGACATGATGGTGATAAAGAACTCGAAGAATCTGGTCTGATGGTCAGTATACATATAATTACAAGCTTTCAGTGATCTGAACTCACGCAATGACAAAAGCAAAGGCCAGTACACCCTCATCGACGTCGTAGCGGCGGTGGTAGGACACCATGATACAGATGAACATGATGAGGGCGATGAGACCAAAGATGAAGTCGATGGCCCACGTCCGAGAAGGACCGGATACTTCCTTGTGGTCGTCATCGCGCCCTATCAAGACTGCTCTCTCGGGGTCTTCCTCGTCCTCGTCATCGTCGCCATCGGTGGACTCCGGGTTGCACAGACAGATAAGCCTCCCAATCTGAAGGCTGAACTTGGGGAGAGACCACTCCAGCCTCGACTTGACGTTGCCAAAGAGCATACCGAGGATCAGAGCGAGGTTCCAGAACAGGCAGAGGAAGAAGAGGATGACGAGGAAGACTTGACCCAGTTGACCGTAGGTCATGCAGCCGACGATGATGCCAGTGAGAGCCAGGAAGAAGAGAAGGACTCGCACGGTCACGAGAACGATCCGATGTATCTTGGTCGGTTTGCTTCCGCGAGGAGCATTGTATGAGGTGCTCGCGGGAGTGTCTGGACGGTAGACCATCTCTGGGTTGAGGGGACGGGTCTCCTCTTGGGAGCTACCGGTCGCCATGATTCTTTGCTTGTATCGAGGTTGCAGTTGGGTATGTACAGTTATCGGGTTGGTACTGTATTTGATAGTGGTCTCTCAGGATGGCTTTTCCGTTTTTGTTTGGGTCTCAAGAAGGCCAGCCATAGACAGACCCTTTATATATGTACTCTTCCACAGGACCTGGCAGTCACTCGAGATCTGCAGAAAAACGACTGCTGGAAGTGGCATTGCATGCTCACTGCCTCCGTTGTGAGAGGAGTGGAACCCGTCCTCCAAGTCTTGTCTGACATGGTTGGTCTGTTATCTCGGTGCCTGGACACTATCCAAGCGCCTCCTGTTTCGGCGGATGTCAACAACCACCAGAAGCGAACTTGACAACTCACCCGAGAGCCAATCGATAGTCGATCCCTTATTATCCCTTTGTGAGTAGTATGGATTCCCCATATCAAACCCAAGTGGCGCCCGTCTCACCCTGGACCACATTTGTGCCATCCGGCGAACACGAGTGTTGAACTATGGGGCTGGAAAAGACATTTGGCAACTGTACTGATCCTTCGACCCATCATAGGCAACAAGAGAAAGAATCTTGCGTAATCGCTCGAAAACAGGGCCGTGATCGTTCGCTCGATCGGGAAAATCAAGGTTCGATCATGGGATGCAGGATAGATATATTACACAAGCGCATGGGATATTGCTCCCTGCCCAGCCCCTCGCGATGAGCCCTGTTAACATAGTATTCAGCTCAACCCGTAGAAGGCTCTGTCCACATGCTTTGCTAGGTGCCATACAATTGAAATCTCCACTCCACAGAACAATACCATCACCGTCGTTCACTGAGCCAGCATGCTCGAGATTGCGTGGCAAAAAAGCGGCGTGCTGGGGATCACCACCACACAGCCCTCTGGCTCAGCAAATCGCCACCAGAAACCATGACTACTTGCCGATCATCCGGCACAAGAGAGTTGGTTCAGCGGCTAGAGACGTCGGTTGGTCGGGAAGATGGGCTTCAGGGAGAGGTCGAAGGAGGTGCCAAGATGTATGAATTCGGTTGCCTGGAGGGTTCAGGCCCACCAGCCATGCGCGCTCGTGGCGCCGTGTCTCATACAAGTACTTGTACAAGCGATACCATACTGGAGTAGGCTTGGCATTGATATGGTTTCTCCTTGGCTTCGCACAAGCTTCAGAGGTCCATCCATACCTACCTACCTTAGCCTAAGGTAGGTGATGTGATATGGGACTGAAGTGTGCTAGATGGGTAATTACTGCAAGTCCCACGCTGAAGGTAATTTGTCAACTAAGGGTCGGATCAATCGAATTCTATTCATTGAGGTGTCTAATTCTAAGGGAGACAAGGGGGAAGGCTGCTAGGGGGGCCGCCGGCCCTTAGGGGTGGCCCTAAAGGGCGGTGTGGTTAGGCAGAGACAGCTCCATATACTAAATTTGCCCTAGGGTTGTCCTTAGTAGACCAGCCCCTTCTGATACACCCCTCTAAATCTCTAGAATCTAGAATTCTAGGAGATCTAAAGTTATTTCTATATCTTAAATAAGAAATTAATAATTTTACTTAATATTAAAGATTAATTAATTACTTTTAGTCTTTTTAACTATATATTAGATATTAGTATAGATATATATTAGATAGAAGGTCTTATAGGAATTATCTCTTCTTATTATTAATTCTTATATTTTTTTTATATATCTTAATATATCTTATATAGCTTTAAATAACTTCTACTCTTTCTAATAACTAATCTAATAATTTAGTAGTTATAATACCTATCTTTTAAGATAGAAGACTTAAGTTTAAATTCTAGTTAAATCTATTTAATTTATAAAAATATTAGCTTATTATATCTTTATAAACTTAGGCTAAGTCTTAGTTAGGATATTTCTTAAATTTATTAGCTTCTTATTTAGATTAACTAGACTAGAAGATTTTATAGGTTTAATCTCTATAGAGGATATTAATCTTTTTATTCTTCTCTTAAATAATAATAGAAAGAGATATATAGAAAATAATAATATAATGCTTTCTATAAGTAGTTCTAATAGTTTAATAATAGAATATCTATCTTTTTTAGTAGGAGGTTTAAATTTAACTTCTAGTTAGATTCTTTAATAAAGTCTTTAATATCTTTAAATCTAAGAAGTTTATTATTTTTATTTAGTATAACTAGAGACTACTAGTCTTTTTACTAGTTCTAATTATCCTTTAAGATAGTAATAGAATAAAAGTAAAGATTTAACTACTTAATAAACTCTTAGTACTTATTAATTAAAAGAATCTTAATTAGCCTATTAACTAGTATCTAATTAATAACTAGATATTCTATCTCTATTATCTTTTTTTAGATCTCTTATTAAGCCTAATAATAGTAGATATTAATATATCTTAAAGTTATCTTAAGTTATAAGTTCTTACTTTTAACTAAATAAATAATTTAATAGTTATTATAATAAATAATAAACTAGTCTAATAATTATAATATTATCTTTTTAAAGAATTATATAATAATAATAGTCTTTTAAAGGAAGCTTATAAGAGCAAGCAACTCTACTTTAGTAGATAAGATAATAATAATATTTTACTTAACTACTTTCTAATTAATAATACTTCTAAATAATATTATAAGATATTCTTAGAAGGACTTCTAGTTCTTTAGGTCATCTCTAAATAAAGTATTAATATAGACTTTAAATAAGAGATCTAGGTTATTCCTATTAAATAGAATGTCTAGCTTCTTTATCCTTAGAAGGTAATAGATAACTCTATCCACCTTCTTTATTATATTGGCCTTTATCTATATCATCTCTTTAAATCACTTAGTATAGCTATTAGATTAATATATATATATTAATAATAGTTTCTATATAATTCCTTTATATTATTTCTACTTCTTAATAGTATTAGTGTTAAGAGCTAGTTTATTATTATTATAATCTTATTAGACCTAGAGATCCTATTACTAATCTACTAGGCTATAGTAGTTATAAAGAGTTTTAAGAAGAGTATACTTCTTCTTATTTAATAGAGGGTATATGACTTTTAAGCCTAAGAATTTATCTTTAATAATTAAAGCTATTATTAAACTATTAAGATAGTCTAGTATTATAAAGAGGTCTAGATAGATTTAATTAAATAGGTATTCTATTAGTTGACTACTTAGCCTTCTTAAGACTTATTACTTTATCTTAGCTTTAATATATACTTAGTAAGGCTAATTAGACTTACTAATAATTATAACTTCTTTAATATTAGTAGATAAGTAGCCTAGAGCTTTATTATTAAGATATCTTATTCTTCTATACTAGATATTATATCTTATCTTACTTTCTAGAATAAGCTTTTATAATAAGGCTGTATTAATAGCTTTATCTAATTACTATTTATTAGTCTATTCTTAACTTTAATAGAAGTTAATTATAATATAGCTCTTAATTTATTTAGTTAAAAAGACTACTAGTTTTAATATAGAACTCTTAGTGATACTATAGTTATTATTATTCTATTAGTATTCTATCTCTCTTATTACTCTATAGGAGACTAGATTAATATAGAAGCCTTTAGTAATAATAATATTCTTTAGCTTAAAGAGAGCTAGGCTAATAAGGATATTAACCTTTATTATTACCTCTTCTATACTATAGTATAATATTATAATATTACCTATATTAATAATACTAGTTACTAGTTAATATATTAAAAAGGGTGAACCTAAACAGACTATTAACAACCACAACACTGCCTAGATTCTCCTGAGGTTCTAGAAGTAGTTATATTATAAAGATTAAACTCTAATCAGAGTTCAAGACATCACAGCTTATTTTAATTAAATATGCTTCTTCATAAAAAGAGTGTTATTATTTCTTCTCTACTAAATCTTATTGCTAAACTAATAAGTGTGGTATTTTAATAAATTTTTCAAGCTAATAGACCTATATATATACCTAGAAGGCTGATCTAAGTAAACTTATTCTACTCCTCCCTCTATAAAAGCTTAATATTATTATTTTTATATCTACAACTCTTTAATTAAATAATTATAACTAGCTAGTAGTACTATTATAAAAAGCAATCTCTATTCCTATACTAAATCTAATCTACAATTAATTAAGCTCTCTATTTTACTACTATCTTAAGATTAAGGCCTATTATCTATAAAGACAGGCCTCTCTCTTAGTTACCTATTATAAAGTAACTTCCTTCCTACTTAGGCTCTATACTTAATAGAGTGTATTATACCTAGTCTATCTAATCTATCCTAATAGATATATAGGTAATATACTCTATTTTAGTAAACCTAAGTAATTATAGGTAGGAATTAACTGGCTTTTAATATACTGTAATACTATTTAAATTAATTTATTAATAATATTATTAAAGGCCTCTATATAGTCCTTCTATTATTTAGAGTCTTTAAGATCTTCTAGATTAAGATAGCTAGAGAGGTAGTAGAGATTAGCCATCTTAATCTTATCTTTACCTATTATATAAGCCTTATTATTAAACTAGTTATAATTTATTCTAACCATCTTATTTCTCTTTTTAAAGAGGACTATCTTCTACTACTAATCTATAGATTGATATATAATATATTAAACTTCCAGCCTATATATATATATCTTAATAACTACTTAATAATCTATTTCTATAAACTTAAGAAGATCTATATACTAATTAAGCTATTCTTTCTAGCTAGCTTCTAGATATCTTAGGTTCTTATTAAAATCTACTATAGGCCTTTTAGCTTTAATAATATAGTTATTTAAATAAGACTTAGGTTATAGTAATATTTAATTAAAGTCTAATATAATTACTAAACCCTTAGGATTTTCTTAGTAGTAGTATATAATCCTATTTTTAATAAGATAACTATTTATCTACTTATAAACCAGCTTCTTAGTTCTATCTAGATTAATTAGAACTTAAGATATCTCTATAAGAGCAAGAGACTCCTACTTATCTATTAATTAATTCTATTATACTATCTTAAGAGTCTTAGTCTTATTATTAGAGGGGA